ATAGAAAATCAAAGAAAGGGGTAATCTATAGGCCTAATACCTTAGATATCTTCAAACGTTTCTCAGTGGAATCTACTATGTAACCGTCTTTACTGGAGTCAGACCTCCATCTGCCGTGCTTCTTTAAGCATCTGTCACTAACATCAGCGTTAGCCGCCATCGTGGCCCCACCGGATCTGAATGAATGAAGACCTATGTTTCCCTCTGGACAAATTGTCCGGATTCTCTTAAGAATTGACTCTCTAGCCGCCGTGTAACTTAGTTTTTTATTTTTTGTAATGAGCTTGCATGTATTACGAGATCTATAAATAGGCCGAAACAAATAACAGTTTTGCTGACCAGAATCACCAAAACCTGCTAACCTAGTGTATCTTATAAACATTGTGTAAGGACAAGCAGATGAAACACCCCTAGAAATCAAGACTTCAGAACTTTGTCTATATTGGTCGGTTTTACTTTTTTGAATACACAAAATTAAATGAGACTCGTGTACTTTAACATCACAAAAACGTAAGGAACTGACCTCATCATATCTGAGAAATCCTGAAAAACTCAAAATCATCATTGCCAAATCCCTTATAACAAGTAAATCTGAAGAATCTTTAAACATGTCACAAAGTTCAATTAAAGTTTCAGGAGTAATTGGATCTTTCTTTTCTGCCTTTTTTGATGCTACTCTTTTAGAAGCTTCAAGAATCGATGTTACGAAAGTGTTTGTTGTAGGATCATTTAGACCATTTATCTCATGTGCCCATTTAATACCATAAACTGCGTTAGAAACAGGGTGACAAGTTGAATTATTGTTCAATAAATGTGTTAAATACAGTGCAACATGAACTGGCTGAGCTGGCAAAGATTTGTGACCTTGCAAAGTAATGAAACGTTCCCACCGTTTATATGAATTAAAATATGATTTAATGGTATTGTCACTTTTAGAGTTGATCAACAGTTCACACATTTTCGGATAAAGCTCGTACATATAACTGCCAACTTCTATCCCACTGTCCTGGACGGTCTCCTCCACTGTACGGTCTAATTTAACCCCTGTCAAAATAAATAACGTCATAAGTATATTGCAAACTAAAATTCTATTCTTATAGCAATTAATCTAAATTTTAAGCGCTGTTGTCCAAATACTCCGCACTGACCTCTGCCTCTTTTAGTCAGATTTTCCCCTTGAAAAAACTTGCTATCAACTATGAAATCCTTAAAATTTCCAAGTCGATCCACCAACATGGGCCAAAATGGTGCCGATGTCCATTCCGGGATGACTAAAGTGCCATTACATTTTTCTATACTAATCTTATTTATTACCTTTGGAATCAAACTTGGTGGTGGAACTACCCAATTATTATGTCCACCCCATTCTACTGTAAACGAGTCTATCCCAGCAGTCCCGGGGCACCAAAACTTTGAATTAAATTGCTTGCACTTGGCATTGTAATCATGCGCAAACCTATCTATATCATGTGGACCCCAAACATGATTAAGGTACAGAAAAACCTCATCTTGTATTTCCCAGTCATCGCAATCTGTTACCCTACTTAAAGTATCTGCATACTGGTTTGTTTCTCGTGGTATCCAAACCAAGCTCAACTTAATTGCATTCTCTCTGCAGAATTCATCAATGAACAAAGCGATTTTGTGCAAAACCATCTTCCTGCTACCAACATTAAGTATATGTGTGATATTCAGGTTATCTGTGAACACTCTGATAATCTTACCAGTGAGAATATTGACAAAATTTATCAATATTCTTTTTACAGCCTCGAGCTCTCTCCAGGTCGAACTTTCGGACTGTTCCGTCAACAACCAACTACCAAACATTTCAAAAGGTTCGTCCTCTGAACCAGTGGTAACAAAACCACCGAAACCTGTACCAGATGCATCGCTGAACACATAATAATCTTGTGTTTCATTATAAGTCAACTGACTTAACCGAGATCCTATCTCGTTAAAGCTTTTAGCTTTATGTTCCCAAAAAGTGCATTCCTTGAATGCGTCCGTACTAACTAGTACTTGGGCGTTCCAACTTGCCCTTTGCAATATACATTGATACAAATACCTTGTTCTTAAACGTGCCTGATCTCCTAATACAGGCTGCATTGATATGATCTGTCCTACAATACTTGCAATGAATTTCACCCGGAAAAGCCTAATCCCGTAGTGAAATTGTGTCCTGAAAACTTCTAAAATTTTCAAAAGCTTTTCTATTCTTTTTTCGGTAATTCTTATAACCCCTTCTGTCATATCCCAATGAAAACCCAACCATTCTAAACTTTGAATAGGGGCCCAATTGCACTTCTCTGCTGCAAGAACAAAACCAAATTTCTCCAAATCAGAGTGAATTTTTTCGCTCGCTAACATAGCCTCTTTCATGTTTTTGCCCCCGCCGAGGCCATCGTCTAGATACATGACGATTTTTAAACCTGTACTTCTCCAATATTTGATAACCTCCCTGACTACCTTTGTAAAAATATATCCGCTAGTTGACAACCCAAAAGGCAAAACATTATACACATAATATTCATGCTCCCATTTGAAACCTAAATATGTAGTGTCTGCTTCAAAAATACTAATGTGATGGTATGCGCTTTTTAAATCGTAAGAGAATACAAAATCTCCTTTATCGTATAGTTGTCTAGCAGTTTTTGCATCTTCGTATTTGTGTTTAAATTAAACGACATGTGGATTGATATGTCTTGCATCTAATACTAATCTGAGTTTTGAACCTCTATTATGAGCTACAGTTAGAGGATTAACTACATATGGCTTACGAGACACTCGAGTAATACATCCTTTTTCCAGCAGTTTTTCAATCTCGCTCTTTACAAAATCGGGATTGTCTCGTGCCGATTTGTTATTTTGTAATTCAACCGTGCATGGAATGGTACTGAAAGGAATTTTATACCCGTTTGCTATAATGTCTATTACAAAATCCGTGGCACCTATTTTCTTCCATTCGCTCAAGCTCTCTTTTAAATGACCTACACCTGTACCGTTATTTTTTACTATAGTAGTAGTATGTGTATTGCTCATTGACTGGACATCACGTGATGTCTGTGTTATTGAATTTACATTACTCATTGAATAGAGTTCACCCTATGCTAGATCGGTCTCTGGGTGTGTATTCAGTTTTACGTTATCGATTTTACATATAGTAGTATCAATACTTATCTTGTGTTTTTGCTCTGCAGCAGACTTTGGACAATTCCTAATCCAGTGCCCGTACTCATTACAATGAAAGCATCTACCGGGTCGTACATCAGACCTGGATCCACCACTAACGTTCACCGGGATCGAATTTGCTGCTTTTGCTGGGGCCTGTTGTGTGTATGGCACGCTCTTGCGGTCTGGGCGTCTTTTTAACTTTTCCTTCTTCAGCTTGCTTTCTGCTCTATTTTGCGCTTTATACATCTTCTTTTCGTCCTCTGAGTCTTCTGCGAGTGGGTTAGTTACGTATTCATCTACCACGCGCCATCCCGCGTCTGATGAATCGGCAAGTTTTATCAGCTTTTGTCGATTTTTAATCAAGTCCATACCTTCAGAAATTTTTCTCTTGGCACTGTTAATGTTTGACTGCGTCAAATTGTCGGTCTCGAATTCGGCGTGTGCTTCTCTAATTTTAACGAACACTTTCTGGTTGTGCTTGTGTTGCTCCTCATTCCCCCTCTTTCGAAATTTGTAATTGTCGGTTAGTGATTCGTCCATTCTTGCTATTTGAGTATCTGACAGCACTTTCTGGTTGTCTTGTATCCTCTTTTGGAAACCCTCCAGACGTGAATCCAGTAACTTCGTCATGTTGTTCAACAACTGGTCCTGCGTAGATTGAACGGCATTTTGTACCTCTGTCTGAATAACTTGCTGTAAATTGGCGTCCATAAGTTTACTCGGTCAATACGACGGCTAGAAGTGAAGTTACCACACAAAAAACACATTATATATGACCACAACTCAGCCCCCTGATTGGATAGATGTACATCGGCCTACCGAAAATTAATGATTCCATACCGAGAATACAACATTTTCCCGCTATACTGATCGAAACGCGGGAAAATATTATTATATATAGTTTATGATAAAACAAATAGCCAGAGGTTATATTTATTGATTGACTTATGACCTTTCAAATTGATTATGTTAAATCAATGTCTAACAATATCCATCTGAATATACATGTAGGTAACAAGCTAATTAAGGTATAAGACACTGACTTACTAATGGTTTCTTTTAAATACAAATTATGGCATGTTTCTACAATTTTTTTTTTCTTTTTTCTTTTTTGTTTATTCATTACAAAATAAAGAATCTTCCATGGTTGTGTAATTACAGAAGGTATACTGTGTAGGCTTTGATTTGTCAGCTAACTACATTTGCTAAGGTCATGGCTTTTCATAATTTTTTGAGAAAACACAAGATTCAATCGTTCTGATCCCAAATTTCAAATGTAATTGAGTTGTAATTGAGAAGTAATTGTCAATTACAGACAATTTTGGCTTTGTAATTCATTCCTTTCAATTACTTGTAATTGAAAAAATGCTCAATTACACTTTACATTCAATTACTTGAGAAATTGTAATTACAAAATGTAATTACAGCCAATTACAATTACATATTTCAATTACCCCATGTCTGGTCTTAGTGGGTGTACACCATCCGTTTCCTTGACCAAACGAAGACAATCTCATGTTTCTCACAATTTTTATGAATTTATAAGCATAAAATTGCCCCCAAAAAAATACTTTGAGTTCCTCTGCTCGGCAGTATTTATTACCTTTTTTGGAATATCCCCCCCCCCCAACTCCCATTTCAAAATTCCTAGATCCGCCCCTTTACATGTAAACCAAACCTGTGTAACTTCTCTTCCAAAATTATTTGTGACAAAATTCAAATTCCTATTTCCATTCACTTAAGACTTAAATTTGAAAAATTAACACTCTTGTCAGACAGAAAAATAAAAGCCTCTTCAGGACAATATGTTTATAGATATATAGTCTTACTTCAGAAGTGCCCTCCTTGCCAACGCTACAGCATAGCTATCAATCAGACATCGTCCATCCAATGTCAGACTGTCCTTAGATAGACAACAGTTACCTGTGCCAAAAGCTACAACCTGTGGTTCAGAGTCACCTGAAAATGGACTTAATTTCAGACAGATATTTCACAAAAGTTATCTTTCTTGACTCACAAGTATATTAAAATATACCTTTAAAAGCCGGAGAGTTAAGACAATAAAACATTTGACCTGCATTTTTCTCTTATTGTAGGATCATCAACATTCCTAGTCCAAATAATTATGACGTCTTCAAAGGCTATTTTATTTTTTTGCTTTGACGCCTTACTGCGACGTCATAACGCCAAACTCATTTTTTCAGTTGGACTTTGAGAGAGAATTTACTGCTTTATTAAAACGTTTAGCTGATTTCTACTCAAGATACTTGACTTTAGGAGTATAAAATAAATTTTTGCACCAAAATTTGACGGACCTGAATTTCCGGATAATATAAAACTTACGATCCGGAATTTCGGGTCTGTCCAATTTTACCAAGTTTGGTCCAAAAATTTATTTTATACTCTCCTAAAATGAAATCAGCTAAACGTTTTAAAAAAAGCAGTAGATTATCGTCCGCTTCGGATGGAATTGTAACTTATTTTATCATTTCTTTGGGAAATTATTGCAAAAATTTTGCACTAACAAACGTATAAAAGGTAAAAACATATAAAAGGTAAGCATTTGTATATATGCAAAAATTTCTAGCCATCAATGAAAATTTTATGGCTAAATTGGGTCTCAAAGTTGAGAGCAAAATTCCCTCTCAAAATCCAACCAAAAAACATGGCTTCAGCGTTATGACGTCGCAGTAAGGCGTCAAAGCAAAAAAATAAAATAGCCTTTCAAGATGTCATAATTATTTGGACTACAACATTCCTAATGTACAAATTTTCTTGGATTTCATGGTTATATGTGAAATACAAATTCCTTAAAAAGCAGATTTCGTCAAAACTACAAAATCAAGTATCCATGAAAAATATATTTTTATTTATGCATTAAAAATAAGTACCAACACAAAAATAAAATGAATCCACATTTTCTTAGATTCTCATAGATAACAGAGCTACTTCAATTTTATCTTAATCAATTACAGTAAAAATATAATCTGAGGACTTCCATCTTTGACAGCTGATGGTTTCTTCTTGAACTTACTCAGTCATGTCAGTAAGAGTGGTATCATTAAATTTCATGTGTGCGTGGATGGAGTTTTGATCTGAACAAATCGCAATTTATTAAACCCTAGATCTGTATTATCATGTGTTGTGTCTCTTTTTTTCATGAATTTTGCTAGAATATATGAGCCAAAAGTATACTGTGTCTTAAGAGAGCTATGGGGTATATTTTAAATGAAACTAGTATGTTTACTTATAATTTTCTTATCCACTTGGGAAAATGCTTTGCAATAATTCATTGCTAATACATAGCATTTGTGAAAGAGTTTGTGAGTGGAGTAAATGCATTGATACAAAACTATGACATGCATTGCAACTCAGAAGTATTTTCCATTTCCTCAGCAGGGGCTGATCCAGCCATTTTAAAAAGGGGGGTTCCCAACCCAGGATAAAAGGGGGGTTCCAACCATACATCCCCATTCAAATGCATTGATCGTCAAAAAATAGAGGGGGTCTGGATCCGCCACTACTCAGGATTTTGAAAAAAACTTTTAGACCATTCCTGAGTCTAGTCTAATGTATTGAGTGGCCATGCCATTGTCTTCTTTTACCATAGCTCTCTTAAGTAGCAGTATACTTTTTAATTGCTAAATACTGTGATAGATTGTTGATGCTTAATGCCACTTTCAGTACTATTGGCTATATTGTGATGGTAAGTTTTTATTGGTGGAGAGAGCCAGGGTGCCCAGAGAAAACTGACAATCCTACTCAATTAAGATTGGAGTCGAACCCACCTGCCACATGCAGGGTTTGAACTCACAACCTCAGTGTTGACAGGTGAGTGATACAGTAGATAAATTACTCAGACCACTCAGCCACCAAGGCCCCATTTAAATATGAGTTATTAAGCATGGGCTGCCCACATTGGGCAATTGGTAGTGACAGATTCCCATGTAGTTAATGCTTTATTCTGCAAAGCCACAAACACAGAACTTCAAAGGTACCCGTATGTAAGATAATGATAAACAGTTTTCAGAGATCAATCTATTTTGTATTGAAGGGATTCATTTTTACCTCTCTTTATAAGAAATGCAGCTAATGAGATCTTATCGTTGGCTATTTCTGGAACATCTTTTAGTTTCTCGTTTAACACTTTAAACGACAGTTGAGCTATTCTGTCCTCTTCAATAATCTTATTTACAGAAGGGTATGTCTGAAAATATAATGTACGAATTGATAATAGATATTTACATTTAATTATAAATGTCTTTCCTGAAAGATATAAAGGCTGAAACATAAAACAAACATATATGAATAAAAGAAGATGTGCAGTACCGGTATATTTCAATGAGACAGCAACCCAGAGACCATAAGACATCTAGAGGTCAACATACAGTCATCATCAATAGACATGTGTCTATATTCCTTGTGGATAGTTATTTCCATGGATAAAAAAAGGTGTTGTACACAATCATGGACTTGAAATAAGTGTGCCTACAACTAATCATTATCAATTAAAATATAATGTGGCCATGGGAAACAGATGCCCCGCCTACATAACGCAAGAGCAGCATCAGTAATTTCTGAATAAAGCTTAGAATTAATTACCCTTGTTTTAGGCTGTGGATGCATTAAAGAACTGTACTGGAACCATCCACTGTTTGCTTTCTATCTTGGGTTACCTGGAAACCCACCAGTTGAGGTATTTCTCTTAGTATCAAGGGGCAGAACTCCAGAGGGACAAAAATATGATAATAATTTTCAAAACATGTTCCTGCTAAATCCAGTTATCCTCTCTCATGTTCAGTCACTAATTTACTTGGGTAAAAAATATTCCCATATTCTGTTTGCTTAGATATAAGAAGATGTGGTATGAGTGCCAATGAGACAATGACTAGCAGACATACAATAACTATATCTCTTTTGTTGTTGCCTGACGTTTGTTTTTCATTTATTGCTTTATGTTGCGTTTACACATTACCATTTTTCATCCGATTTGTTACCATCACCCAGGTTTATGGTACAACGTTCTGTTCACACGGTGCAATATTGGCTGAAAAAACATTAACCCTTACCATGCTGTGCCAGTCATATGACGGGATTACCCAAACCACCGTGATTTGGCTCCAATGGCTCTCCACACTTTTAGAGGTCAACTTTATGATACTTATTTCGAAATTGATGCATGTTCCCTCACCCTGAGGCTATCTATTGTCATGTTTCTCATGTTTAAGTTGCATTTTGAGCTCAATCACGAACTTGGAAAATTGAAATCGGATAAAACTAGTTTTTCTGGAGGGGTGGGCTTCCCTTCGGTGTCTTACACAGGAAGTTCAGAGGCCTAAAACTTTCAAAAATAGTGTAAACCCGCAGGCATATATCTTATGATCATAATTATTATTGAAATTTGCATAGGAAACGACTACTTCCGGTTTCAGGTCCAGTTGAAGCCAAAAATCGGAAAAAAAATTGTGAAATTCCGTATTTTTGGTCCAGATGACCTTCTTTAGACTGGTGTTTCCAGATCAGTTTAACTCCAACCTAAGAACTGTTGGGGTTAATGTGTTTACTGGGGTCCACTGTACATGCAGACTACAGCTGGATACCTATATCAGCATCCCTCTGTCTTTGGGGTCAAGAAATAGGACGAAAAATCGTCAAAATTGACGCTTTTTGCACCTGATGACCAAATTTGCATATAATTTGCATATTTTTGCAAATAAACGAAAATTAGACATTTTCAGAAAACAATTCAGATGGTAAGTGTTAAAGGTAAAAAATCAGATGGAAAATTATACTGTGAAAAAACACCTTTAGCATAAATTTAGGCACTTGGATTTCTCTACTAATTTTTTCATATTTTATCATGTCGGTGCATTTATAACTGACTAGAAAATATTGGTATTGCTTTATTTTGAAGGCAGCATTGTGGCTTATAGTTGTTGACATCCTTATTATTTGGACTCTGGTGGATAATTGTCTCATTGGCAATCATATCACATCTCCTTATTTTTACATAGGAAGTTTGAAATATTTTACAATAGTATGTTAAAACACAAGTCTTTTATTGTTATTTTTTTTAAGTATAAAATGAATTCCCTTTTATAAGTGGATAAGAATTTTATGAGAATTTATATGAGACTGTATAAGAATTATGTTGCAATTATAATATGCATGAGTTTATAAAATAGGTTGCATTTTATCCAGACGCCTTTAAATACCATTTTTTTAAGAAATCTTGGACTCAGTTCACAAAAATCTTCCGATAAAAAATACTCACAAGTTTATAAGATGCTTTTTTACTAAGGTAACTTAGTTGCATGTTGCTATGGTAACTTACATTATTTATATAACATGTATAAGTTGGTTGTTTCTAAGGTAACTTTCATGAGTTTTAATAAGTTAGTTGTTACCATGGTAACTTACATTAGACTGTATGAGAAGTGATAAAGCCTCTGATACAGCTTGGTTCTTGGCATCTTTTTTAGTTCTGGCACTTTCTTTGGCAATTAAATCATCATCCACATATACCATGGCCTCAAATCTGACAAAACAAATTGAGACTTTTTATGCATTTAATATGGTCTAGTAATTTTTCTGAATCTTCACATATAGTTTGAGATCTGGTATGACTTATTTACATTGTCACACGGTTGTGTTTGTTATAGGTGAACAACAAGGCAAGAAGTGGTAAGTTTGTTAAGAAATAAAACAAAAATGCAGGTGTTGATGTGCTAAGCATTTCCCCTCTTGTAAATCAAAGTATCAGAAAACAAAAAGTAGGTGACTAAACAGATCTGAAAAGGGTACACACTTTACAGATAATCTCTGTTGAGCTGCTGAAGTCTTTCTGTACAGTATTATTGGAAGCAAGTGTGACGAAAAATTTTCAATTCATTAAACAAAATTTTTAAATTCCTTCATCAAAATTTTCAAATTCAACTGTCAGCAAATAGAAAGAAGGTATTACAAAGATATGAAAAAGTTCACACGTAATATCTCACTTGTCAACCTGATGACCTAATTCTGCTTGGTAGTTTCTTAGAAAAGTGTAACAAAAATGTTTGTTGACAAACGTATGGACAGACAGATGGACAAAAAGATTGTAAATAGAACTTTTAGAGTAGGGGTAAAATTTTTGTTCATTTTCATGTTGCGTTGGTGCAGTTGTAGTGTAGCCCCTTGTCAAAATACTGCATCAGGTGATTTCCTTACTACTAATGTAACCAATCAATACCTTATCATTACAGTTAAAGAGTTAACGATTAACCTGTGCATTAAACAGCACCATTCCTTTACCTACCCAAATGGTCCAGGATGATCACTGACTTCTATGTTAAATGGTACTCTTCGTTGTGAACAGTATTCTTGCAGCTGTTGGACTGGTGTTTTCTGTAAAGCTGCTGCTGCTTTGGTCTGTGAAGAAATTACTTAATCAGTTAACATGGTGATGTGGCTGCCAAGAAAGTACAGATCTCTTGAAAGTGGAGCTGCTAAGAAAGTTTTGGGAGAGTGTGGCTGTCAGGAGAGTAAGACTGCAATAAAAGTGTGGCTGTCAGGACAACGGGTTGTCACGAAAGTGTGGCTGTGATGTGACTGGCAGAAGAGTGTTGCTGCCATGAAAGAGTGGATTTCAGGTAAATGTGGCTGTCAGAAGAGTGTGGCTGCCATGAATGAGTGGCTGTCAGGAAAATGTTGTAACCATGCAAATGTGGCTGTCAGAAGAGTGTGACTACTATGGAAGTGTGGCAGGAATGTAAGGCTATTAGGATTAAATGCCCGTGTTTATTAATGTCTTTACTCTTTTTGTTACTGTTAAGTGGTTCATTTACACAAATCTTATATTTTGCAGTTTCTATCCTGTTCACTAGCACAGGTTTCTTTTTGTGTTTTTCGAAGCTGAAGTCTTGATCTTCTTTTAACTGTTTGTTTGTTACAAAGTAGGAAGATATGGTTTCTCTAACCTGAAATGAACACTATAGAGTAATACATTTACAATATTAGTACAGCATAAAAGCTTTCTAACATGTAAAATCTGTCTTAAATAAGTGACCTAGAAGATAAATAAAACGTTTCTTTTATTATCATGCTATATACAATAAAGCAAATATCAATAAACTTTTACATTGGTTGCAACATAATACAGCCAAAATAAAAATCTATTTTCAATTTTCTGACTCTCAAATCCCTAATTGACAGCAGTAGATATTCAAATAGATTAACCATCTAAGTCCATCTTACATACAAATGTATATATACTTAATGGCCTTTTCACTGTAGATTTGGCCATAAAAAAGAATATGTTTGTTTTCCCTTACCCTACCTACCCAGAAAATAGCTGCCTAGTCAAAATCTTTTATTGTCCTGATGTGAAAAAGTTTTTTTTTAATCAGATAGGCTTGAAGACTAAAAAACATCTGACATTTCATTTTCTCTTTTCCGAAAAAGAAAAGAAAATGCCTACCTACCTGCACACTGTCTCTACCTTTGGGTAGGGTTTGGGCAAACCAAAATATTTTTAAGTGTGGCCTTGAAAAGAGGTGGTGTCTTCAACAAGACACATATACCATGTATATGTTCTTACCTCAGCCTGTGCAGTGAATGGTGCATTGACACATACAGCTCTCTCATGACCATCTTTCATTACTATCTTTCTTCCCATAGAATCATATATCACATTTCCACCTGTTTCAGATAAATAGAACAAACTATTGTAAATTCAGAAATTATTGTGTGCATCTATTATTGTGATTTTCTAAGAATGGACAAAATGTGAGATAAATTATTGTGATTCCAGGAATATCTGTCATGTCTGTATACAGACATACAACACATCTTTTTATATCTATGTACAGTATGTATGTATCAGATATCAGAATGTGAGTTTTTATTTTTGTGATACTCACCCAGTCGCATTATTTGCATTAATAAAAACCTCATAATAATTTCTGAATTTACAGTATATAAAAAGCAGTATTGTCCACTTCCTTGTTAAGATACTTGTAACAAATTGTTTCTGATATGTCTAAAGGTCTACATTATTTAATATCAGACTAATCTGATTACTTTTGTTTAATGTTCATACCTTGATTCTGTATCATATACAACTGAATTATTAAATTTTCAGGAATACATCTCGGTACTTTGATAGTATTTCCAAACGAAGGTTCTGGAGGCATTTTAAACAATAATTAAGTATGTACATACAAAACTTATGATTTATCTGGGATTGCTATTCAAATATCTGTGGGGAGTCAAAAAGAAAGTCTGTTTTATGAAAAAGAAGGAGACACTGTCTAAACAGGAAACTAATCAGTTGGAGTATAATTTAATGTTAAATGTGTCTCCGTATTGTAAACTGTGCATTTAAAAATTTAACATCACATTCATCAGTACCAGTAGTCTTGGGAGGGGAAGTATGCGTAGTGTTTACCCTTGTAATTTTTTTAAGGATGGAGGATTGACAGAAATAAAGTTAGTCATTGACTTTGATGACAGATTTTTTTTTATAATAAGGAATTTCAAATTTTGAATGATGGGGGTGAACATTAACATGATTAATATGAGGACCCTGACATGCACCAACCCTCTTGGTAAGATGCTGTATAAAACTCACTTTCTTCTTCATCTTGATGGTGATCTTGCAGACCTAACAGTATGCTCAGTGCTATATGTGCAGCATTGGTTTTAGCCTCTTTCTTAGTTTTTCCAACCCCCTGTGGGAATTTTTTCCCGTCCACATCACATTGGCTAGCAAATGATACACTAAGTGTTGGTACAGTAACTGCAACTTCTCTTACTTCTAATTTCCTCCGTTGTAAGGCACAAAATTCATTCAAAGCACTCACTGGATGTTTAGCTCCACTCTTGAAATCTCTAACTAACTCTGGTGGAATCTATTAAAGATAGCAAAAGATGTACAGATAATCAAGACAAAAACAAATTAATTTTATTCACTTTATATGTGCTGTCTGAAAGTGTATAGATGTAGTTGTTTATTTGTTTGTTTGTGTAAACGCCACTTTCAGCTACATTTATTTACTTGGCTGGGGCTATTTCTTATTGGTGGAAAAGGTCAGAGAATCAAGAGAACAGCAGATCTCTAGAAGGAGAACTTAGTTATAATCCTTGTCAATTACGTCTTATAAAATCAAAGACTAGTTGAACTCACCTTGCCACCAGCATGATATATGACCTCACTATGTCAGAGTTGACAGGCTAGTGTGAACTACTTAAGACTACTCAGCCACCCAGGTCCCTGGTTCAAAGTAAATAGTCAATGTACTTACATCTTTAGGTATTTGACTGTTAGGTATAACATCTTCCTGTGTTACATCAGCTGGTCTTTGATTGAGACCTGGTAAATAGTCAATGTACTTACATCTTTAGGTATCTGACTGTTAGGTACAACATCTTCCTGTGTTACATCAGCTGGTCTTTGATTGAGACCTGGTAAATAGTCAATGTACTTACATCTTTAGGTATCTGACTGTTAGGTACAACATCTTCCTGTGTTACATCAGCTGGTCTTTGATTGAGACCTGGTAAATAGTCAATGTACTTACATCTTTAGGTATCTGACTGTTAGGTACAACATCTTCCTGTGGTACATCAGCTGGTCTTTGATTGAGACCTGGTAAATAGTCAATGTACTTACATCTTTAGGTATCTGACTGTTAGGTACAACATCTTCCTGTGTTACATCAGCTGGTCTTTGATTGAGACCTGGTAAATAGTCAATGTACTTACATCTTTAGGTATCTGACTGTTAGGTACAACATCTTCCTGTGGTACATCAGCTGGTCTTTGATTGAGACCTGGTAAATAGTCAATGTACTTACATCTTTAGGTATCTGACTGTTAGGTTCAACATCTTCCTGTGGTACATCAGCTGGTATTTGATTGAGACCTGGTAAATAGTCAATGTACTTACATCTTTAGGTATCTGACTGTTAGGTACAACATCTTCCTGTGGTACATCAGCTGGTCTTTGATTGAGACCTGGTAAATAGTCAATGTACTTACATCTTTAGGTATCTGACTGTTAGGTACAACATCTTCCTGTGTTACATCAGCTGGTCTTTGATTGAGACCTGGTAAATAGTCAATGTACTTACATCTTTAGGTATCTGACTGTTAGGTACAACATCTTCCTTTGGTACATCAGCTGGTCTTTGATTTAGACCTGGTAAATAGTCAATGTACTTACATCTTTAGGTATCTGACTGTTAGGTACAACATCTTCCTGTGGTACATCAGCTGGTCTTTGATTTAGACCTGGTAAATAGTCAATGTACTTACATCTTTAGGTATCTGACTGTTAGGTACAACATCTTCCTGTGGTACATCAGCTGGTCTTTGATTGAGACCTGGTAAATAGTCAATGTACTTACATCTTTAGGAATCTGACTGTTAGGTACAACATCTTCCTGTGGTACATCAGCTGGTCTTTGATTTAGACCTGGTAAATAGTCAATGTACTTACATCTTTAGGTATCTGACTGTTAGGTACAACATCTTCCTGTGGTACATCAGCTGGTCTTTGATTTAGACCAGGTATGTATCTCTGGGCAGTCTGGGAAGCTTTAAACATTCTTTTATCTAAAAAAAAATATTCAGTTAAAAATGGAATATCAAAATAATCATATTGATAAAAAAAAAGATAAACTAAATACCATACTCAGAAAAAATTAAATTAAAAATCTGAATAATGTATCCTACATTGTATATAAATTGTTTGGGCTGAGATTGCATATAAATTGTCTGGGCTGAGATTGTATATAAATTGTCTAGGCTGAGATTGTATATAAATTGTCTGGGCTGCGATTGTATATAAATTGTCTGGGCTGCGATTGTATATAAATTGTCTGGGCTGAGATTGTATATAAATTGTCTGGGCTGAGATTGTATATAAATTGTCTGGGCTGAGATTGTATTTAAATTGTCTGGGCTGAGATTGCTGCTGATAAGTGATAAAAAGTTGTGTTAACCACTAACTAGAGCATTGTAGAGGCTCACTTAGGTCTATATGCATCTTCAACCATGGACTCTCCGACCAGTCAGGGGACTTACTTAAATGAGTGATTTTCTAAATCACTGATTCAAGTAACATTATGTCCATTAAGTTAGAAGTAAGAGTTGTCTTTCTTTAATAATCACCTATTTAAGTAGTACAAATTAATCACTAGACTAAGTGATTTAATTTTATTGTAGCTTTAAATATAGAATACTAATGATCCAGGGACTAATTATGTTGCTAAAATTATCAGAACCAACATCTGTGTTGATAGGATGACCGGGTCATGTCAGGTGATGACCTTGTACGAAATCTAGGATAATGACATAAAAATCACTTGTTTAAGTATCATATCTCAATTTCCTTCCAAAAAATCACTTCTTTAAGTATCATTATTTTAATAACCCCCACTAATTTCAACACCCGCGAACAGTGAAATTTTTGTCGCGAACAGTAGAATTTTATTACATAATCTCTGGGACTATTATACTAACGGGACTGGAAACTGATCGATCTGTTGAGATTTCATTGCCCCGATAGCAGATTATTGATTTTTTGTTTTGATTGACAGCTTATCGTGTCACGTAGTAAATTAGCATTCGGTACATGAATGTAGACAATAGATTTCGGCAAACAAGTCAGCATATATATAATACTGTTAAAATTGGTGGATTTGAAATAAAAAAATAATTATTAAATTAATTAGTTTAAATGCAAAAATATTAGTGTTGAAAATAAACCAGATTTAGTCGAAATGACGGCGCTTTACTTGACCGCTAAGAAAACAACGTATCAAAGGTTAACAGATCATAATTATTCCTGATAAAAACAATAAGTGTGCAATAAAAACAATGTTTACAATTTCAGTTCATAATTAACATGATTAATTCATATAACAAAAGTTACCCGGGTCTCATAAAGATATAGCCACATTGTTTTGAACTTTTGTGAACTTCGTGTTTTCACCAAAATTTCAATATGGCTGTGAACGGGCCTACTTTTGTAGTTCTAATTATGGAACCTAGTGTACATATTTTCACGAAGTCATATGCTTATGCCACCAGAAGACCATTACTAAGAAAAATTAACCCTGATTATAATAAAAATATTGTACACATAAAAAGGAGTAGGTAATTTTATAGGAACAAGTATAATTTATTTGAGCGGTGCATGTAGATTCCGGTTGTAATGAGAAAGAGATTTATATTCCACTTTTTATTTTAAAAAGTGACAATAAAAATAGGCAAATCCAAACTTTAACCTATAAATATGATTTTACAGCAAACCGAACTTGCGTATCTCTATTCAATCAACAGTTATAAGAAATTTAATGAATCATATACTTTTTTCCACATTGTCCCCACGCTATTTTCATCCTGAAAATTTCAATCTTTATGTGTCATTTTTTCACTTAAGACAGGATTTGGTGGTTAATAACAACTGTCAAAGATCGAGATTTATCTTTTATCATTATAGTAATCATGTTTATATTAAGGATTATCATTTCGAATAACTATAAAATAAAAAAACAAATTACCGAAATTATAAGATCAAGGCACGCTGTCACTGTCAAAACAATATGGCGTATCGATAAATAGCTCAGGTAAAGTCTCGTTCTAACGACCGTGATGTTGATATTATTACACTGATTGGTGTAACGGTTTCCAGTCCCGTTAGTATAATAGTCCCAGATAATCTATAAGATGAAACCTTTAATTTTACAGGAAAAATACTTCCACTGCTGGGAAAAATCTGTTAAGAAAGTATCAGTTCATTATGTAAAGCCATTTTTATAGCATTTTTTCAACTAAAATAGAATTTGCAGCTAAATGATTGCATCAAAGGCATAAACCTTGCTGCTTAAAAGAAACAAAAAGTTCATTTTTTTCAATTTTACTAATGAAAAGATATTATCTAAACCTATGAATTTGCTACTCAAATAAGTGATTTAAAAATCACTTATTTCAATAAGTCCCCTGACTGCCGACATTGTGGACTAGAAATAAATTCATGAAAATATCACTTTTTTGTTGATCTTGTATTGCTAATAATTTTTTATCTGTTTACAGTTTCTCTTTATTATCTTTAGTTTTTGCCCATAAAACAAAATGGTCAATTACTCCTATAAAAAGTCTATACAAAAGATTTTGGAAAATTTTATCATATTCATCAATTTTGTCTTGTTATTCATTTTTGCTATTTTTAAAAAATGTCTAAAAAGGCAAAAACACTAAAATGGGTAAAATTTGTCATTAAAGTAAAATTTGTCATAAAAGAGCAATAACTTTGTTAAAGATTCAGTTGACAATTTCAGGGATTAGACTTACTTGTAGATGTTGTCTTTCTGATATTTTTGCTTAATCATGTTAATTAAGTTTCCATATATCTATTACAGTTTTTGAGATATGAGGCGAAACACAAAAATTCGATAAAAATCACTTTTTAAGGGCAATAACTCTAATAAGGTAAAAGGAGTCATCAGAGGATTTCGGCCATGTTGACTTATTTGTAGATCTTGTCTTGATGATTATTGTTATATCAAGTGTTTTTTTATTTATTATAGTTTTTAAGTTAATAGTCAAAAACACTAAAATTGAGTAAAGATCATCATTAACAAGCAATTACTTCTACAAATGTACTTCTACTTTGTACAATGCTCATGACGTTGTAGTGTCCGCCTTCAATACGTTGAAGTTCGTGTCACTTGTACTACAATGTACTACGCATGGCTTAGTGGAATTAATAATTAATTTTATAATTATTAACAAAATTGATTCTAACATTTTTACATACAGTCCGGGGTATTACTTGTACAAGTAATCTTTATTTACTTGAAGAAGTAAATAAAATATACTTATATAAGTTAATTATAATGTTTGAATAATCTCCCCTTAATTTACTAAAAAAATTTTGTATAAGTAATTTTTTTTTACAATCCCTCAAAAATTCTCAAGATTTGAGATGTAAAATCATGCCATTAACAATTTTTCTCAGGTTAGCTCATAATTTTTTTATAAGAGTTCAATGTTTCATCTCATTAATTCAACAAAGAAACTGATTGAGCAAAGATCTTAAGTATTTGCGCAAGGCCTTCAAAAATTGCTCCTTGGGGGCTTGTAAATGAGCAGTGTTCTGAAGATAACAGACAAATGAGATTTTCATTGTCCATGAAATTACATTTAAATGATTAGTAAAGACATCTGCAAAGGACAGACAATTCAAAATTCTGTTAGAGCAAAGAAGTTCTAAGAATTCAAGAAAAGAATATAGGATGACTTTTTTACTTGTATAAGTAAAAAAATCTGAATGTCTAAGGGACATAACTAGGCCAAAAAATAATTTACTTGTACAAGTAAATAAAATACACTTGTATAAGTATCCTACAAATTAACTTATATAAGTATATTTTATTTACTTCTTCAAGTAAATAAAAATTACTTGTACAAGTAGTACCCCTGACTGACATAGTGCACATTTTTATTTTATTTTTTAAATATTAAGATAAAACTATCATGACTATTTACACATGATAAATTTACTGACTGTAGGTGTAGGTTGAGACAGCTGCTTTGAACGAATCTACAGAGTCACTCATCACAATGCACAGAGGAAGACTGTTACAGTTTTTAATAGTCTGTGAAAAAAATGATTATGGGTATTTGTGTTCTGCAGGATGGAATTTGGTATGAGAGTGTGTGCATGTTCTGGGACTGTCTGAGCGGTTGTTTTAGTCTGTCTGTTTTTGTGATTGCAATGAGATATGTAATTCTATAAAACATGACAAGGTGTGCATCTGTTCTATGTGCAAGGCCTGTCCATTTTAAGTGATTTATCATGTCACTTACACTTGAGGTGTTTCTGTGTTGGTTAGTGACAAATCTAGCAGTCCTTCTATCATGTCTATGCACTTTTTCTAGTTCAAAAGACAGCCTATAAGTTGTGTTTTGAAAAGAGGCAACAAAGAACATGAAGGAAAATACTAATATACAGAAATAAATTGCTTCGCCAAGCGCAGCTTGATACGACCGCAGAGGTCCAACCTGAACAGTTGGGGCAAAAATGGACACAATATTCGCGCTTGATACAGGTCTGAATTTGGATTGTAATTAAATATTTGACACATAATAGGTTTCTGACACAGAAAAACTGCAGTCAAAGAACTTAGAATTGGTCATATGATTTGAATTTATATTAATTTTTTTGCTTTTGTGCAATACACTATGCTGTTGCGAATTATACCCCTCCCCCCTAAAAAAAAAATAATATTTGAAGAAATTTTCTTTTAAATTTCTGAAATCTGATAAGAGAAAAAAAAAATGTTTGCAACCATAATTACCCATTTAAATACATCATAAAAGTCTTGAAATAGAAAATGACATACATAATCATGTCTAAAATTAATATTCCTTAAGGTGGTACCCAACAGGTGACACCAAAAATTGCTGTCGTTTAATTTCTATTATTTTTTTTAGGGGTGAAACATGATGATATAACCTGCAAAATATCAAAAATTCTTGGAATTCTAACCCAGGGTTTCCGCAAATTTTCAGTTTAAAAACGCCCTTAATATAGCCATACATGGCTTAAAGAGTGGTTAATGGCTATTTTTTTCTTTTTTGGGAGGAAAAAATGATAAAATTGCTTAACAATTAACATAATTTCGCTAAAGTGGAATCAGTTTCACCTAATTAACCTGAATTTAAGGTCTATTTTTTAAGTTTTAGCAAAATCTTGAGCTGAAAAATAGAATATTGTACAAAAAAATGCCCAAAAATGAAATGGCTAAAGATCCATTTTTTTTAAGGAAATCAAAGATATAGAATAAATGTGTCGTTTAATTTCTATGAAAAAGTGCATATAAATTAAGGAACATTACTAGGTAACACTGTTGTAAGATTTAGAATTTTTGAACCAACCAAAACCGACAAACAGCATACTTTGTCATCCCCCCTTTTTCCCTGAAAATGCCATTTTACGTCTGTAAAAGTGCCTTTTTCTTAATAACTTATATGAATATTAACCTATTCCATTATATCACTGCAAACTTCTTAATTTCCATACTTGCACTCATGTTCTGTACATTTAAGGGAAATCAGGGCGGTACCCTTAGCTTGACTAAAACTAATTCGGCTCATTTAATTTTTATAAAATTTTGACAAAATATGCACTTTGACCCTTTGACAAAAATATAAAAATTTCCAAAAACTTGAACCACACTTTATCATTTTTATTGGAAAAATTCCATTGGATATAAAGCAGTTTGACAAACACTAATTTTGAACATTGAGAAGCTTGATATTTCCTTAACAATAGAACGTGATTAAAACGTTCAGCTGATTTTTACAGAGTGATTTCCCTGTAGTGTTATGTACCACCTTAATCAGCATTTTTAATAGTAACTTCTTAAAATAAATTGACAGCTTATCACCTCAAGACAATACAACATTTCTTTATACATAATTTAAAAGCAGTGTAAGGGAGGTAATCCACATACAAAACATTGTACTTAAAAGTAATTGTCCATTAACAAGGAAACCCTTGTTTTTCCCCCTAATTCCTAAACGGTTTAAGCCATTACCCCCAAAGCCAATCCTAACCATCCCTTTGTGGTATGGAAACTTGTGGGATAATTTCAGAGAGATCCATACACCGTTCCACAAGTTACTGTCTGGAAACTAGAAAAATGTTTATTTGGGCCCCTTTTTGGCCCCTAATTCCTAAACTGTTAGGACTATAACCCCCAAAATCAATCCCAACCTTCCTTTTGTGGTTATAAACCTTGTGTTTAAATTTCATAGATTTCTATTTACTTATACTAAAGCTATTGTCCTGAAACCAAATGTCTTCTGACGAAGCTGATGACGACGACAACGACGTGATACCAATATACGACCGCAAAATTTTTTGCGGTCGTATAAAAAGGTTTGTTGTTTTATGAATATGCAATTACAAATAGTATCCCTTATGTAAACAGTACATGACTGGTATCTATGTGTTTGTCTGATGTCCAGTGGCAAATTTTTCATGACTATTCAATACAACTTTATTCTGACAGCACATGTACATTTCGTCCGTTTTTAGCGAAGTTTCAACCTCAATAAAGTCTTCTTTTTTTATATAGAATTAATTATCACTGATTGAACAATTTTACTATTGATGTTACAAACAAGCTTTAAAACTCACCAATTTTTTAGTATATTATCAATTAACAATTCGACAGCTCTCAGTATTGAAAGTTTTTTATCTTACAGTGTAGAAATTGAATTGAAATAATAATGCTTGGAAATAATAGTCCCTCTTTATGGTAAAGACACTTTTTTTTCAGTTTTGACAGTTTCTGAGACTAAATCACGTGAACATTATTCTCTACAATGAGAGACTGCACTGCTGCTGACTGATCTTCACATTTCCTTTTTAGTACAATTTGATCCCATATACAGTCAGGGGTACTACTTGTACAAGTAATTTTTATTTACTTGAAGATGTAATATTAATATACTTATTATATAAGTAAATTCGTAATGTAGGATACTTATACAAGTGTATTTTATTTACTTGTATAGGTAAATAATTTGTTGGCTTAGTTATGTCCTTTAGACATTCAGATATTTTTACTTATACAAGTTAAAAAGTCATCCTATCTTCTTTTCTAGAATTCTTAGGACTTCTTTGCTCTAATAGAATTTTTAATTGTCTGTCCTTTGCAGATGTCTTTACTAATCATTTAAGTGTAATTTCATGGACAATGAAAATCTCATTTGTCTGTTATCTTCAGAACACTGCTCATTTACATGTTGTACAAGCCCTCAAGGGGCAATTTTTGAAGGCCTTCAGGGCAAATACTTAAGATCTTTGCGCAATCAGTTTTTTTGTTGAACTAATGAGATGAAACATTGAACTCTATTCAAAAATTAAAAGCTAACTTAAGAAAAATTGTTAAAGGCATTTTTTTACATCTCAAAACTTGAGAATTTTTGTGGGATTGTAAGAAAAAATACTTATACAAGTAAATTTTTGAGAAAATAAAGGGGAGATTATTCAAATATTATAATAAACATATATAAGTATATTTCATTTAATTCTACAAGTAGTACCCCTGAATCCCAAAGTCGATTTATGGTTTTTCTTCCTGTTTAAAAGTGTTTTAGATCGAAGCACGAAGAATTCCCAAAAAAAGAATTCTGATTTCACCTCAGTGATAGTTTTGACAGTTTTATATGTAGGATTCGCTTTCAATTAAGAAGTCTGAACATTCACCTGAAAATGACTACTATATACAATACTTTAAAACGGGAAAATCTTTGTATTCCTGCTATTTTCAGTTTGAAAGGACCTGCCAAATTCTAACTTCCTGTTTTTGTCGTAGCGCCACCTACAATTTCAGGACAGTAACCTGAAAAAGAAATGATGCTGCATAACCTCTGAAAATGACGACAGCTGAGGCAAAGCGTTTGAAAGAAGATAAATTACGAGCAAAAAACTGGAAAAGATGGGGTCCATACCTATCAGAGCGTCAGTGGGGCACTGTCAGGGAGGATTACTCTGCTGATGGAGATTGGTATTGGCTATTGCACATTACTCTAGATTCCAACTTTAAAGTTCCTGCTAAAGATTAGAGATAATCCCTTTAACAGGCGGGGACCTCTCTCAAGACCATGTGAAATTAATGGTTTAAGGGGGATTTCTTGGAGAACATACCTATTGTATTAAACTATAAGCATGAAATATTTACCACTTGAACTGAATATGTATGAAATATTTGCCACTGGACATTAATAAAAGACAATCAATCATATATCAACTGAATACTGCAAAACAGGTGTCCAAAGAAGCTATATTGTCATATGTCACTGTCAGTCTTTTCACTACTGAACAACCCAAAAAGACCACTAACCCTTGCATGCCTTGTGGAAAGCATTCGATCATTTTATATAATTAATCAACTTCATGATCAATAAAAAGTAAAATAACAAAAATACTAAACTCCAAGGGAAATTCAAAATGGAAAGTCCTTTATAAAATGGCGAAATCAAAAGCTCAAACACATCTAACGAATGGAAAACATCTGTCATATTCCTGACTTTGTACAGGCATTTCCTTATGTAGAAAATGGTGGATTAAACCTGGTTTTATAGCTAGCCAAACCTCTCACTTGTAATATATGCAACTGCATATAATTTAATTCTATTATCATTTCTTTTTAATATTTTCATGTGCATTATTTTGAAGTTAAAGTTGGGTCCAATCAAATTAAAACTAAAAATGGATTCAGCAATATGTTTATCAGATTTATATATACATGTATATATATATACTTCATTGTATTTTATCCTACTGTCTTTTCTTTTCAATTTAAAAAAAAATTATTCAGAGAAAAGTTCCTCTGTCCTAAGTGTGCATATACCCCTTACTCATACAGGGACCATATTGTCTGTTTAGAAGCTCAATAAACATGATAAATGACTAGATATGTTTCACGACATACATGCAGGTGTATTGTCACTGATATTAACATCTTTATATATGTTTTATTTGTAGTTGGAATTATTTTCCACATGAAGAGGCCAGATCTAGGGCCTATCGATGGGGTGAGGATGGACTAATGGGTATTTGTGATAGAGAAGGAAGATTATGTTTATCTTTGGCGCTGTGGAACACCAAAGATGCAATTCTAAAAGAGAGACTGTTTGGATTGACAAGTCAGCAGGTACTTTTTTCTAAAACTTCAACACACAAGTGATTTTTCAAACCATAATGAATATACTGAAAATGTGAATCGTTTCATGAAAAGTTTCCAGTTATTGCATAATATGGATTATGTTTCTTGGTCGATTGCTAGGTTATTACATACATTGACATAGAAAGTATAAGTGAAAGCAATTTTGATTACATGATTGACATTTGGCACACACAAATGACACAATAGATGTGGCACTTACATTTGTATCTACATAAGGCTTCATATTTAATATTCGCATTCCGAATTTATTCATCTATTACAACCAAATCTAGAAAATTAAACAAGTATAAGTTAATCTCCTTTCCAAGAAGGGATAAGTCAGTTATGTGAAATACTGTAAATTGGATTGCAATGTGTTTATACTGGTAGTTTAATGCGAAAAATATCAGGTTCGAAGTAATAAAAATGTGCATTCATAAATTTCAGTAGTGATTTTTAAAGGCAGTGCTTTGATGCCTTTCTAGTTGCCGTGTTAATCTTTCTTTCCGCGATATCCAACTTATCTACGTGGGGGGTCATTAGGCTCCAAGTAGATCCGGAAAATGTTGATTCTCTCCTCTTCTTATTGTGATATAAAATGTTTTTTGTTTCATTTCATTTACATTGGGAAATAGAGAAACGATCATTGTGTTTTGTTAGTTTTAAAAACTTTTGATATATTTGTATTTTACAGTATAAGCAGTCAACCGATTGACAAACTAGAATTATCTGAATTCCGTGTGGAAAGAGGTCGGGTTAATTTCGAGTGTTATCTGCAACCTAGATGTTTATAAATCATTTCAGTCGTTGATATAATAATTAAAGGTCGACTGAACATGAATTATATTATACAATTTAAAGCGCATTTATGTTTATGCACGCGGACCCGTCTAACGCTATTGTTATTTCGCAGTTATATAAAGTAGCAAATTATCGTTCCTGAATAGGTGGCGCCGTGGTAGCCGATCCTGTTCTTCAACTTCCGGTTTCTGCACTGTGCAACTATTACAGTTGCATTTTTAATTAACGATGCCAAGTACTTGTTGTTGTGTACCTGGATGTCATTTAAGAGGAGGACATGCATTTCCAAATGACTTAAAAAGAAGGAAAAGTTGGATCAACGCCATGGCCCATACGCAGATTGGACGAGAACACGGTGAAATCGTGGAGTCCATCTCAATCAGCTGTTGTTTGCAAGGCACATTTTACTGAAAAAGACTACGTGCAGGAAACTATTCATGGTAAAACTCTATTTTCTTTTTAAAATATATAGTTATATATGTAATCGCCATGCGAATAAATCAAAGTCTGTTTACAACCGCAATTATCGTTTTAGAATAAAAGGGGGTGGTTAATTCAAGACGTCATAATTTTTTGGATTACGATTCAATGTGATCTGTTTGAGATTTTTTGGTGCTTGCTACAATTATAATGATTTCTTACAAGAGGTATATCATACTGAGAATTATTTTAGCAGTAATTATGCTAATGTAGTAATGACAGGAATGCATAAGCTATGCCTCATAGACTTTCTTGAAAAATATCAATGACAATGTTAACAGGAACAAAACAATGACATGCTCTCATCTATATTATAGTTATTTAGGTACAAACAATGTATGTTTGTTGCATACGACTCTCATTGTTTGCCCTTTGGATTTACATAACCTACATTTTGATGTACATTGAATCAGGCTAACATAGTTTTATCCAGATTGTAATGAATAAATCTAGTTAATATTTTGCCAGGTTGTACAAAGTATGCATTGCTAATGGAAGTTCATTTAATTATCAAAAAACTAATGTTTTATAACCTTTTTCAGTGCGCAAACCCACCATACAGAGACTTAAGTCTACTGCCATTCCCAGCCTATTTTCCTGGACCAAGCAAGAGACTGAATCGTCCGCAAAAAGAAAAATCAGGGCATTTTCCTGTGATAACAAAAGAACTAAACTTGATGAATATTGTAGTAGAAATCTAGAGGAAAGTTTTGATTGTAAAGTTGGTTTTCCTGAAGAAGTCATTCATACTGCAGACAGGGTTTATGACTGTCCACCACCAACTGCCGAGCTAATGTTGAGCTTCACAGATGGAATTACGCAAACACCATCAATGCCTATATTTTCAGCAGAGAATTTTGAAATGAAGACACGTGACACAGCCATGCATTTTTATACCAGTTTAGAGTTGTATACTAAATTTTTTTTTGTTTTGACCACACTTGGTCCAGCAGCACATTGTTTGAGATACATATATTTTCAAATTGATAGGGTGTCATTTGAAAATCATTTTTTTTATGACTTTGATGAAATTGAGTTTTAAGAATGTTGTGTAAACATGGATTGTTTTTATGTCTAAACAGTGGCGTGAACCTAACACTTGGCCATTTAGTGGTTTAGTCAGGTATTTTTCGCCATCCAACTTCAAATTAAAGTTTCCTACAACTTGGATTATTATTGACAGCACAGAATATCCCGTGATAAAACATAAAGCTCCTAGAGCTCAGGCAACCTTTTCATCATATAAAAACAGAAACACTGAAAATACTTGTATGTTCGACACCTGGTGGTTTAGTCAACTACAAAAATGTATGTCTCTAATGCATATGTTGGTTGTACCAGTGACTGTGAAATAGTTGAAAGATGTAGAATACATGTGTATTTCAATTATGTGATCCAGGTGACAGTGTGATGGCAGACAAAGGTTTAAATGTGCAAGATTTGTTTGCTCACTTTTTTCAAAAAAAGAAACAGAATTAGTTCCAAAACTCTTATACGGGATAGAAAAGTCTCCAATTAACACGTGCAAATAGAGCTAATTATTGGACTTGGCAAAACATACAAAATTCTAATAAATCCTATGAATGGAACTGAAACAAAACTTTCATCTGAAATAACATTTAGTTGTTTTATGTTGTGTAATTTTAGAACTTGTATTGTGCCAAAGGATGCATAAATAAAAGTGACGCAATGAAGTTTGTTCTGATATATATATATATATAAATATTATTTACAATTACATGCACATGTAAATTGTAATGCATAAAAAAATAAGGAGATGTGGTATGATATTCAGTGAGTTTATCGAACCAAAGTGCATAAGAAATGGGTTAAGCAGTTACAGGTGTTACTGTCACCGTACAATCTCCAACAATTAGAAAAAACTTGTAACATGTAAAAAATTTCAGAGATCTTACAACTAAGTTTGACTTTGGTGAATTGTTTATATCTGTTGATGTAAATATAAAAAAGAAGATGTGGTATGATTGCCAATGAAACAACTCTCCACAAGAGACCAAATGACACAGAAATTAACAGCTATAGGTCACAGTACGTCCTTCAACAATGAGCAAAGCACATACCCCACAGTGAGCTATAAAAGGCCCCAAAATGACAATGTAAAACAATTCAAACAAGAAAACTAACGGCCTAATTTATGTACAAAAAATGAACGAATAACAAATATGCAACACATAAACAAACGACAACCACTGAATTACAGGCTCCTGACTTGGGACAGGCACATACATGTACATACAGAATGTGGCGGGGTTAAACATGTTAGCGGGATCCCAACCCACCCCCTAACCTGGGACAGTGGTGTAACAGTACAATATAAGAACGAACTATAAAAATCAGTTGAAAGAGGCTTAACTCATCAGATGGATAAATACAAATACAAGTGGACGTGGCCAGGTAGTTGTACATCCAAACAACTAAAAGACACTAAGTACAGATCTGAGAGTACTCGCATTTTCTGACAGCTAGTTCAAAGCCACTAACAACTGATAAAAAAATCTTGCATCTAAGACTAAATTATCAATCCGTAAGCTCCCTTTAGAATTTTATAAATTTTAGATTTTGCATTTCTGAGTTGTGGGGTTTTTAATCATTCAAAAAGTGGGGATTTTCCAGTTTTTGGACAACAACTCAAAAATGCTTTAAGCAGTTCGCATGAACCTTTGGTGAATTATTTATAGCTATTGATGTAATCTCCCTATTGATTTTCATAAATTTCAAATATGACATTGAGAAGAAATTGAACTTTATTTGTTTATAGTCTGGCAACAGATTTATTAAGTATTGCGCAACAGCACAGTGTAATGCACAACAGCAAGAAATCTTTAATTGAATATAAATTCAATTAAAATAAAACCGATTTCAAGTTCTTTGACTACATTTATTCAGAAACTATAATATGTCAAATATTTAATTACAATCCAAATTCAGACCTGTATCAAGCTTGAATATTGTGTCCATTTTTGCCCCAACTATTCAGGGTTGGACCTCTGCAGGTGTATCCAGCTGCGCTCAGCGAATCAGTTTATTTCTTAATTAAGAACTCCTTTTTGTTGAGCCTGCGACTTTTGTCGCAGAAAGATCGACATAGGGATAGTGATCCGGTGGCGGCGTTAGCTAACTTCTTAAAAGCTTTATATTTTAGAAGGTGGAAGGTCTGGATGCTTCATACTTTGTATATGGATGCCTCATGTTACGAAGTTTCCGTCAGTCACATGTCCAATGTCCTTGACCTCATTTTCATGGTTCAGTGACTACTTGAAAAAAAAGTTAAGATTTTTTGTAATGTTAAATTCTCTCTTATTATAAGTAATAGGATAACTATATTTGGTATGTGCGTACCTTGCAAGGTCCTCATGCCCGTCAGACAGTTTTCACTTGACCTCGACCTCATTTCATGGATCAGTGAACAAGTTTAAGTTTTGGTGGTCAAGTCCATATCTCAGATACTATAAGCAATAGGTCTAGTATATTCGGTGTATGGAAGGACTGTCCAACTGGCAGGTGTTATCTGACCTTGACCTCATTTTCATGGTTCAGTGGTTATAGTTAAGAGTTTGTGTTTTGGTCTGTTTTTCGCATACTGTATGCAATAGGTCTACTATATTTGGTGTATGGAATGATTGTAAGGTGTACATGTCTAGCTGGCAGGTGTCATCTGACCTTGACCTCATTTTCATGGTTCAGTGGTCAAAGTTAAGTTTTTGAGTTTTGGTCTTTTTTTCTAATACTATATGCAATAGTTCAACTATATTTGGTGTATGGAAATATTTTATGATCTATTTGTCAGTCACGCAGGTTTTTTTTTTACCTTGACCTCATTTTCAAGGTTCATTGCTCAGTTTTAAGTTTTTGTGTTTTGGTCTGTTTTTCTTAAACTTTAAGCAATATGTCAACTTTATTTGTTGTATGGAAGAATTGTTAGCTGTACATGCCTGCCTAGCATGGTTCATCTGACCTTGACCTCATTTTCTTGGTTCATTGGTCAATGTTTAGTTTACTTGGTTAATGTTAAGTTTGTGTGACAGTTGTAATAAAGCTTTATATTTAGGACTATCAACATAATATCAATGATTAGTAAAGAAGGCGAGACATTTCAGCGTGTGCACTCTTGTTTCATTCATAAATTACTTTATACTTGGAAATATAATTTTGCTTGGAGTTATAGTTTCTAAAAAAAGTATTGTCATTGAAAGAGTTGACATGTTGCAATGTACATTTATTCTACATAGTTTTATGGTACCAAATCAAAAGTTTATATAAAAGAAAGAAGTCAAAGTTTTCCCATCATAGTTTAGTTACATACATTTTTTTTGTACCTGAGGTCGTTGAATATAGATCATTATATAAATAAGGAGATGTGTCATGATTGCCAATGAAACAACTATCACCCATACATTGTACTTACCAGTAACAAACCACATTTGCAAAGTTGAATAAAATACAGTTGATAACATTTACTTATTACTAAAAAGAAAATGCCAAACTATTTTTAACAGTATTTGACTATAAACATAGATAAAAAAAGGTACAAACTGGACATAATCCACTAGTTCATAAACAAATGAGAACAATCGCCTTCATATAGTGCTCAGAATATGACATTCATAAAACTTGTTCAATATCATTAGAGAACTCTAAATCTTAAATACTGAAAGCCACCTCTGATAAGTACAATGTACTATGCAAGATAATGATATAACTGGACTAAAAATACACACAACCTGTAATTAACTGCCTTTACAGCGCTTTCGCGCTTTGATTCTTAATAATATTTTTGCGATTTCATTAAAACAAGGAATTATTTGAATCTGGGATAATTTTGAATTCTTGAAAATTGATAAGAAATGTATGATGAAAACTAATTCAACGATGGAAGGTTAGTCATGAGTGCATGGCTAAGGCTTAGGTTACTTTCACTGATATTTTAGTGTGAACTAACTAAACCCCTCAGTCATGCATGATCATGCATGAATAGACAATCCTGCTTAATTGAGTTAGTTTTCATCATACATTTCTTATCAGTTTTCCAGAATTGAAAACTATTTCAGATTCAAATAATTCCTTCTTTTAATTAGATCTCACATTTTTACCAGTTATCAGCGATTCACAATAATAAGTGTACATTCGTGACATTTAATATGAATTATGAATACTATTATTTCATTAAATTTATTTTTGGCTTAAATAATTTGCTCTATTGTAGAAACCTGATATATTTGTGGTTTCATCATTTACTCCTATTCAATGCTATTAAACTATGCCAAAATGTAAGGATCGAAAATTTGTAATTTGTCAAGTATTTAAATCGGAGGTTTCCCCTACCTACAAAGTACCATGATATATCTTTAATATACACAATCTATCACTATGATAAAATGAAGTCCTTAATATTCATGGGATAAAATTTCTAGATAACTCTCTACCCATGTAAAAAACACTGTTTATTGTTACTGGGGTAACTATGGTGACATGTTAATGTTTACAGGGAAACCATGGTGAAGATGTAAAAGAGCTGTATTATTATTTAGACAATACTCCATCCCATACTTACATGAAATGTCTGTACAAGTATCCTCAGGGGGAATTCCCATACACACAGTTGGTGGAGGAGAATGGTAGGAGAGGAGTACATCAACAAGAATATGAGTTAATGGATACTGGTATGTTTATCTCCATACCCCTCCCCAGAACTTCTCATTTCTAAATGTGTATTGGCCCTTCAAAGAAGGAAGTACTTGTGTATATTGTTGTTTATCTGTTTTGTTCATCTTTACAGGTCTAATGTTTTTTCAAGTTTATTTTTGATATATATATCCTAAATTATTACACAGTTGTTTGTTTCAATGAAAACTAGTGACCTATTGAAATTGATGATTTTGAGCTAAGACATTGCTGGAGGTAAAAATAAAATTTTCAGCAACTGTTACTGTTAACCTATATGTTAACGTATATTAACTTTATCTGCTAATTAATCCAAGATTTCTATTTATCATGTTTATAGATACTGTAAATTTCAGAATATATTTTTATGGTCTTACTTTTGCAAAATATTGTATTAATTAGAGCTAGCATCTTTGATTCTTTGCATTGTTTGAATGCAACTGTTCAACAAATCACATTTAAGAACTTTACTTTTCAGTACAGCAGTGCATTGCAATAAGTGTTTATGATAATTTTTGAATTTGTAGAAGTGATACACAACCTTTGTTATATAAGCTATTCTGTATGTTATTAACATACACTTTTATAATCTGTTAAAATTGATAAAACATTATTCAGCCCAAACTACTGTAAATTCAGAAATTAGTGCACGCATTTATTATTGCGATTTTTCAAAAATGGACAAGAATGCGAGTATAATTATTGCGATTTCAGAAAAATCTACATACAGATCTATGTTTTAGTTATCAAAATGCGAGTTCTTATTATTGCGATACTTCCCTAGTCGCATTATTCGCATTAATAAAAACCTCGCAATAATTTCTGAATTAACAGTATAGAGGATGAAGATAGTACAGCATTATAACTTCTGTATATAGTTTTGATTAGATTGACAGCAGGCAGTGATGTTATCCTATATAATTGTAGGTATATTTGACAATAACCGGTATTTTGATGTAACAGCAGAGTTCTGTAAAGCCAGTCCAAATGATCTCCTAGGGAAATATACCGTGGTCAACAGGGGACCAGATCCAGCTATAATACATGTTCTCCCTCAGATATGGTTCAGAAATGTTTGGTCCTGGGGAGAGGCAAGCTATGTAAGTTATTGTTACTGTTTGAAAAATGTTTTGGAAATGATGTAGAGGAACAAGTTTTGTTATGAAACTATTGTTACTGCTTCAGGAGTGATTGATTCTTGGGAGGGAAAAGCTGTAAATGGATAATATTGTTAATTGATAAGAAAGGTTCGATCCTGTGGAGGACCAAGCTGTTTAACCCTTTAGCCCCCAATCAATTCACATGATAACTGTGAGAACTGTGGTGAACTTAACCATAAAACATCCTTCTGTAGATTTAATATGAAAATTAAATGCTTCAAGTGTAAAAGGTATGGCCACAAACTAAAATTTTGTACTGCTTGAAAAAATGGCAAAGAAGAAAATGCCAATTTTACATCTGTTTCAAACAAATTTGATGTACTGACAATATTATGTTCTGAATGCAATTTATTTCCATGCATGTGTAAATTATTTTCTTTGTCACATGGGCTTCAGATTTCTGAGATAAAGAAAACTAGAAACACTAGAAAAACAATTAAAGAAAAGAATGAGAGTCATTTCTCACTTGAAACAACCCAGGAAATGTCTACTGTCAAACTTTATAGTTCTAATGATGGGTTGATTAGTTCTGATAATTTTAACACTGAATCTCAGACATCTGGACAGGATACATTACTTGGTATTAAACAGCATGATACAAACTGTGTAATGTTTGATGATGAGTCTAATGTAGATAATTTATTGTTACCTCTCCCTCAGGTCAACATAATGATTGATGTGAAATTATCCTATGTCTCTGTATTTACTTTAGCAATTATTGTTTGTATATATTATCTAATCAATTTAGAAAACCATGCATTGACAGGGAAACAAATAGACTCTAATGATAAGATTTTTAATTCTTATGGTTTTAGTAAATCCAAAGGTATAAGGATTTGTTCTCATAATGTTAATAGGATTGAAAGTAAATATGAAGAAATTAAACATAACCTTATGTCTTCTGATAACCAACCTGATGTATTGGGATTGTGTGAAACATTTTTAACAAAACACACTACTGATAATGAATTACAAGTACCTGGTTATGTATTTGAAAGAAAGGACAGAACATCACAAGGTGGGGGTGGTCTGGTTGTTTATTTTTCGGAAACAATTAAATTTTTAAGAAAAAACAACATCGAAATAGGGGGTATTGAAACAATGTGGGTTGAAATTAAACCAGATTACAAAAAATCCTTTTTATTATGTTTTGTGTATAGGCCACCAAAGTCACTAATAGATTGGGTTGATGATTTTGAAAAAGAAATAAGAGTGGCAATGACCATGAATTCAGATATAACAATTATGGGTGATTTTAATTTTAATTTTAAAGCACCAAACAAACCTCCTCAAAAATGGCTGAATGTTTTAGAATCGTACAATTTTCAACAACTGATTGTAGATGCCACAAGGGTAACAAAAGATTCTAGTACATTGATTGATCATATTTATGTCAATAATCCAATTATGGTACATGAATCACATGTGTGTAGATATGCAATTAGTGACCATTACCCTATCTGTTTAACAAGGAAAGAAGCAAATATAGGAAAAAAGAATACACACAGTACAATTACTTATAGAAATTTCAAAAATTTCAACCAAAATGAATTTTTATTAGATCTGCAAACTACACCTTTTCATAAAATTGAATTTGAAGAAAACCCCTCTGACTGTCTACAATTGTTTTATGATATGTTGAACAAAGCTTTAGATAAACATGCTCCTGTTGTTAAAAAGAGAGTTAAAAGGGACAGACAGCCTGATTGGTATAACAGTGAAATCATTTATGCTAGGAATATGAGAGATAAATATAATGCACTTGGTTTATGGAGTGAGTATAGATTTTGGAGAAATAAAACTAAACATGTCATAGATAGCTCAAAAAAGAATTATTATAAAAATATGGTAAAAGACTCCAATGACCCTAAAACTTTATGGAAATGTCTTCACAGTCTGAACCCAAAAGTTAAAAATACACCATATGAGTTAGCCACAGAAGATAACAATACAACTAAAAGTAAAAAATCAATAGCAGAAACTTTTAATAACTTTTTCACTTCCTGTGCTGAAAAATTAAGAGAACAAGGAAGTTATACACCTGTAAACAAAGCAGATTTCAGTAATCTTGGCAAATTTGTTAAAAATAAATTACATAAACATGATAAATTTTCTATACCACCAGTGATCATGAATGAGCTATTTAATGAGTTAACAAAACTTGATATAAACAAAGCATCTGGTATGGATAATATAGGACCAAAAATCCTAAGATTAAGCGCCCCTGTTATTGCATCACCTCTCACATACATATTTAACCGAATGATAGATACTGGTATATATCCTTCTTTACTGAAGAATGCTAAGGTAACACCAGTTTTCAAGGATGGTGACAAGCTTTTAGCAACAAATTACAGACCTATATCTGTTCTTCCAACTTTATCAAAATTAATAGAAAGGCATGTTTCTAATAACATGTACAAATACTTATCTAAACTTAACCTTTTACACCCTACACAATCTGGTTTCAGGCCGCAGCATTCTTGTCAAACTGCACTTATTAATATCATTGACAAATGGTTGCAAGAAATGAATGATGGTAATTTAAACCTAGCAATTTTATTAGATTTTAAAAAAGCTTTTGATTTGGTAGATCATGACATTCTTTGCTTAAAGCTTGAAATTTATGGATTTAGTGAGGCTACTGTTAGTTTTTTCAAGTCATACCTGAATAACAGAAAACAGCAGGTAAACATTTGTAATGTTTACTCTGAACAACAACATGTAAAATTTGGTGTCCCCCAAGGTTCTATACTTGGTCCTCTATTGTTTGTGCTATTTATAAACGACCTTCCCTTATGCATTGAAAACTGTGAAACAGACCTATATGCTGATGACACCACTCTTCATAAATCAGGGAAAAACATAGAAAATATACATGATGATGTTCAAGAAGATTTATACAGGGTTGAAGAGTGGTGCAAAATGAATAACATGTTCATTAATGCAAATAAAACAAAATGTTTGGTTACTGGAACAAAGCAGAAACTATCAATTCAGACTTATCAACCAAACTTAATAATAGATTCAAAAGTATTACAAAATTCTTCATGTGAAAAATTATTAGGTGTTAAAATTGACAGCACACTTAACTGGAGAAATCAAATTGACCAAGTTTGTGCTAATATATCATCCAGAATATACCTTCTTTCTAAAATAAAGAAATTTTTAGATATAAATGCAAGGAAAACATATTACAATGGATATATTCTGCCCCTGATTGACTACTGCTGTATTATTTGGGGTGAATGTAAAAATGAAGGGATAGCAAGAATTTTAAAACTCCAAAAAAGGGCAGCAAGATTAATTCTAGATGCAGATCCTTTATCCCCCTCAGCCCCCTTATTTAAAAAACTTGGGTGGATGACAGTTGACAATAGAATAAAATACCACAAATATTTACTTCTATATAAATGTATGCATATGGAAGCACCAATGTACCTAGTTCAAAAGTTTAAACTGAAATCAGATAAAAATCCTTACTCCCTGAGAGGCGTCACTCAAGGTAATCTGATAGTTCCTAAGCCAAAAGCTGAGCTATTTAAGAAATCTTTTGTTTATTCTGGATCAGTGTTATGGAATGGACTACCACACAAAATGCGTAAAGCTCAAAACACTTATACTTTTAAACAAAGTATCAAGAAGTACTTAACACAGTCCTGATAAGATTATATTTTCTACAATGTATTTGTATATTCTTTTATTTTTATTTGTATTTGATTTTTTGACTACATGTACATCTTGAACAGCCTTATATCTTATCATGTTAGTAATATTACATTGAACTAATTGACTGTAAATTAACTTTGTGTAAATATCTGTTTTTGATTGTATTGTAATTTGTATGTGAGGGCCTCAGGGAAGATTAGTTTATTGTAACTAACTGAGTTTACCCTCTTTAAATAAAGAATTTATTATTATTATTATTATTAATCCCGCCTGTAGGCGTGATGGCGACAACCATTCTTTGATGGCCCGTATGACCCTCCATACCTTTTTTGAACTGCCCCAGCTGAACTGTCATGATAGCAGGGACTTCAACCAAGCAGTTCATGGTCCATAAACTCTTCTCAGATGTCTGTTCATGAAAATATGGCACTTTGAAAGCCGTTTAAGAGTTCAAAATCGGAAAAATGTGAAAAGTAGCCAAAATCAGGTGGGGGTGGGCATCTTTTGATGGCCACTACGTAACTGGTAGTGACTGTAGGTATAAACTATTATCATAAATGCATGCATAGGTGAAACAGGAACACAACGAGGTATTATATGGCCAATAGGAATCTAGTCTGTAAAATCTAGGTCACCGTTTTGTCAAAAATCCGTAAAAACGGACATTTAGGCAGACCTGACTTGACAATAATAATTCCCCAGCAAGACACTTAAGTCCAATATACTCCCAGTTAGCATGAATGGACTGCTGTAACTATAGGGTAATACTTGAATGACAAAGAAAAACAGTCTGGTCAATGTTCACCTTTCAAGGTCATTTTAAAATCGGAAAATAGACGGAAAATTAACATTTTTCAGTGGGGGTGGGTTCAAACCAACGAGAAAATATTCCACCTCCCACCCCACCCCCTACCCATGCCATCCGCCCCCAATTCTCAATACACAGTTTAATAGATGAGCATCAGTTACAGCATCAAGAGTCTGCTAATTTGCATATAATTTGCATATGATTGCAAATTTTCGAAAATGCCTGATTTTCCAGAAATCTCTTGGGGGCGAATGAGTTAAGGATATAATTGTTACCAGTACAGGAATGTTTGATCCTGAGGAGGGACAAGTTGTGTAAATTATAAGAGTTAAATCGTAGAAAGGTATTTAAAGAACATTTTATCTTGAGTTAACATTGCTACCATCTAAAACATTTTAAAACAAAACAAAAATCACAATAGCATTTTTTAAAGAATTATCTTATTAACATGCAACATCATTCTTAGGTCAAGACCATTTCAGATTTTGGCTGATGATCATCATGATCTGCTATTGTTATTATTTTAATCTTGAATTATGGAACTTATACTTATGTGTTAAATAAATTGTGTTAAACATCAACAATCAATCACTATTTGTACTTACAGTGTTGTCCTACGAAGAAACCCTATCTGAAACAAGTAGGACATAACAAGGTTCTATGCTATCATCCAACTCTAGGTATGTAAATACTATACAGTTAAATCATCAGCTTGAGGTGTAATACCATCAAATCATAGTACTTCATATCCAGTTTCATACAAAATAGGGTCGAAAAAAATATTCCCTTGAATTTGACAGTTGTAGGAAGTTACTCTGCATTTCATTGCAGAAAAAAATTTATGAGACATAAACATATATCTTGGATGTTTCAAAGCACCATTCTTTTTTTATTTGGTGTTTCTAAACAATATTTTGGAAACTTAAGGTGACATGGTTACTAAAGCTTGTTAACAGGAAAAAAGGGGTGAAAATTCAATTGATTTATTTCCAGTGGTGGTTGTTATCTCATATGCAATGAAATGGTATGCGACATTTTCACTGTAGCACTGGACAGGATAAAATTTTTACTCATGCCAAGTACCTCTTTATTTGAAACAAAGATAAATTCCGCACAATTTTTTGAAAAATGCCAATTTAACAAAGACTAATAGGGGAAAAAAACAATGGTGGTATTAATTCTTGACATACTGTTTACATGCTTGTCTATTGTTGAAGACTGTTTGACAGATGACTATTGGGCATTGATAGATAGGTAGGTAGATTCTTCATTGAATAGAGATAATTAAAGGTAATCCAAGAATGAAGGGAGATAACTAAAGGTAATCCAATAATGAATGAGATAACTAAAGGTAATCCAAGAATGAAGGGAGATAACTAAAGGTAATCCAAGTATGAAGGGAGATAACTAAAGGTAATCCAATAAAGAATGGAGATAACTAAAGGTAATCCAAGAATGAATGAGATAACTAAAGGTAATCCAAGAATGAAGGGAGATAACTAAAGGTAATCTAAGTATGAAGGGAGATAACTAAAGGTAATCCAATAACGAATGGAGATAACTAAAGGTAATCCAAGAATGAAGGGAGATAACTAAAGGTAATCCAAGAATGAAGGGAGATAACTAAAGGTAATCCAAGAATGAAGGGAGATAACTAAAGGTAATCCAATAACGAAGGGAGATAACTAAAAGTAATCCAATACTAAGGGATATTACTAATAAAAGGTAATCCAAGAACGAAGGGAGATAACTAAAGGTAAACCAAGAATGAAGGGAGATGTAGAGGCAGTTATAAGAACTTTGATATATCTCAGATCTATATAAGTTACTAGAGATGTGTCACAGGGATATCTTTCTAAGAAACCAAATTAATCAATAAATGATTGGTTTTTAAAGGATAAATTTAAACTTCCCATTAAATGAGCTCCACAGAGAACAATAGGTATTGTATTTATTCGATGGGACAGTCAACTTTGTAAACATTTCACAAAAATATAGCAAAAAATCACATGTCTTCTGAACTTTTATTCTGAAGTTAACAAAGTAATTTACAATTTCTGGATTATGAAACGTGTAAAACCTATAGATGTCAGTACATGAAATAATGCTGGATGTTATTATTCCTTATTTAAAGTTCAAGGAATATTTTTCTAAAGAAATATAGGTTTGTCTGATCTTCAGCAGTTCAATATAAATAAAAACTTATTTATAGAATTTGTTGGAAAAATATTAACAAATTTTTCTCATACATAGAATAGTACATGTCAATCATCATGATCATGTCAGCAACATCTTAGTTCTGTCAATGATATAATTTTGTTCTTTGTATACCCCTGCTCCAAAGGAGGGGGTAAACTTGATAAAGTCCACAGGTCCATGTTTCAGCCAATCTGTCTGCCTGTTCCATAAAAGTTTGGTCACATATTTCTCAAGAACTGGAATTTGATATCAAGCTTCATGTGAGCATGCTCGAATGTTTGGCGCTTTTAGAATTAAACTTCCTGTTTACTGAATACTTGTAAATTCATACACCAAATAGCCTGTTAATTTTTCAGTGCATTTTTTCAGGGACTACAAATCAAGGCTTTCTGAAATTTGGAATCAAGCTTAATATGAGGATGTTATACTGTGTGATGCATTTTATTATCTATCACTTATAAACTTTTTGTTTACAAATAATTATAGTTAGTGTAGCATAAATGTACCATAGCTCATAGTTCATCTTATTTATTTAGGTATATGTCAGTCACGTCAGCGTGTCCTTAGTTCAGGAGATGATGTCATAGAAGAAGATGCTGAGCGAACAACATGTAAGTTATATGTAAATAACCAATACAAACTTAAATGGCTTTTTTTTAACAATCTGTAAAAAGTGTGTTCATTCTCTGAAAGTTTATTATGCATGGTCGCCTTTTTGGGAAATGTCAAAATCAGAGAAATTCACAAAAATTGATATAAAATTATTGAATTTCGACCAATGAATCCACAGTACTTATTTACAAGCATAAACAGTTTCTAATGTGCAATTTCAATTTTTTGAATAAAATGCTTATTGACATATATAATTATGCTGTTTGATCATATTTCAGGTCCATTTTACTTTGAAGTTGACATTGGTCCAGAGAATCACCCAGCACAACTGATATTTACAGAGAATGATACAAATTATAAAAAGCTGTATGGAACAGGGAATCAGTCACCTTATGTAAAAGATGCTTTCCATGAATATATAGTAAAGGGTAATTAGATAATACTGGAAATTGATACCATGCTGTTACTTAACATTAAACAAGGAAATTGTCAGCTTTAACATGTTTTAGGAACCAGTACTTTAGCTGCTCATTGGATCCCTGAAAAAAAAATGCTAAGAGGAGCAGGACAGGAAAGGCATTAAGACAAAATAATCAATAAAAATGAATCAAATATATACATATATAATGATACATATTGTGAAAAGTTGTATAGATCCTAAAACCACTTGGCTGCATCATCTTTTAGAGGTCTAAATGTTAAAAGTATTTTTTACTTTAGTATTGTTAGAAGGTCTTTATATCGAATCCAAGAAAAATGTGTTTTGGTATGAAAGTATATAAAAACTCAAACAACAAAAATACCAAACTCCAAGGGAAATCAAAACGGAAAGTCCCTTAACAATTGGCAAAATTAAGCTCAAACACATCAAATGAATGGAAAACAACTGTCATATTCCTGACTTGGTACAGGCATTTCCTTATGTAGAAAATGGTGGATTATAAATGTTTTGATGTTTCATATTTCAAAGGATGTATTATCAGGGAACAGAAAAACAACAAATTATTCATTTTGTGACAAAATTTCTTGTTCCAATGATCTCTTCAAGGTTGGGCCAAAAATAAAAATTTAATTGTTTTATATTTTCTACCTACCCACCTAAAAAGCAGCCTACCTGGAAAATTTTATGACACAAATCGTTTCAAATTTTTTTTTTAAAGATATTTTCCTGCTCTAACGTTTGTTTTCTAGTCTAAAGCATGTAACTTATGTTATTGGCCATAAAAAATAAAATTCCTACCTACCTACCCTCCCTACAAGGCATGGGTAGGCAACATCAAACAAGAATTTCTAAAGGGTGGCCTTGCACATTTGTTATTCAGTGAAAGGGCAACAAAAATGGATTAAAGAAATCCTGTCTACCCCAGAATTTTTTACAAGATTGCACCTGGAACCTTTATATATTATTTTAATATTCATTAAAGTAGAACACCATTTGTATACATTCATCAGGTAATGTGAAAGCTGTGAATCCACAGCACATTGGCACCAAGTGTGGAGCACACTACAGCGTATTTTTGAATCCAGGCCAAAAAGCCCAAATAAGGATCCGACTGTATTATGAGAAAGAAGCTCCACCTGAGGCCTTTGGTACAAGAGATTTTGACTTTATATTCCAGCAGAGGAAGTTAGAGGCTGATCTGTTCTATGATGATGTAATTATTTTTATCGGTAACTTGTGTATTTTTCCTTTGATGTGTACTCTCTAATAATGTCAGTATCAGTGGACTGGTCGTGATAAAAAAATTATTGGGTCAGTTCGCAATTGACATGTGCGAATGCACCGCGTAAGGATCTACTTTCCCTTTCATTCACAAAACCATGCATGATTTTTTTCGCAGAAATGCACGAGTTTTTTGGTGAATGAAACATTTATCGTTGTTACAGTAAAGTAAGTTTAGCTTTTTTTGAACGATTGAATGAAAATTTGAACAAAAAATGTACGAAAAAAACGATAAACTTAAAAAATGTGCGTTATCCACAGTATTATTGATAGCTCACAATTGACATGCGCTAGTGCACCACGTAAGGATCTACTTTCCCTTTCATTCACGAAATCGCACATGATTTTTTTCGCAGAAAAGCACAAGTTTTTTGGTGAATGAAACACTTGTCATTTTATGAAACTTTCAGTAAAGTAAGTTTAGCCTTTTTTTTACGATTCTGTGAAAATTTAGACAGAAAATGTACGAAAAACCCGATAAACTTAAAAAAATTGCGTTATCTGCAGTATTATTGATTGCTTTCCTTACTATTCACAAGGACCTTAACTAACAGATCGTCATTGCTATTCCGATCTGAGTTTTTATTCATACATGGTCTGGTGCTGTTCCAAGTTGTCTTCTTTTTCTGTTTCTTTTTGTTAAACCTGTTCAGTCACTATAAAGTGTTACAATTCATATTTAGACGCAACACATAAATAGTGACCAAAAAGGTACCACTATCGCATGATAGAAGCTAGAAAAAAAAAAAAAAAAGGAAATGTGACTACACATTTTCGACATTTTTGTTGGACCATCATATACAATTAAGGAGATGTGGTTTTATTGTCAATATATAGACAGATATTCATAGTCCAAAGTACAAATAAGCAAACAAATTCAAATGGATCCAGGATAAGTTTTGAACAAAGGGGTGCCAGGGGTCCCAAACTAGACAACGGTTGGTGTGGAACAGGTAAATAGCCTGCATAAACCATAAATGTAGCCTTTATACGGGATTCCCCCGGTCGCCTTCCCCTAAATCCGCTTCTGAAATTAAAGGTAACCTTCAATGTTTCATATTTCTGGTCCGGGTTGAAAAATAATTGACATGACTTTGAAAAAAACAAGAATTTTAAGCGAAAGTAAATAGACCAAAGTTGAGTGACATAGGCCTATATTAAAATGTTTGAAATAGTTATGAAGTCGACAAGAAACGAGCTTGTTCAGATAATTTACAGTCAGCCTACAGACTTGTTGCTATCCATCCAACTAAGTAAAAGATTTAACTTGACCTTCCATAAAACATTGATAAATCTGCTGATTCATATAGTATCATTCTATGCTTTGTGAAAAATAAAGAAATTTGACTTACCAGTATGCTACCATTATATTTGGCATTGTTAAGTCATGTTTTAAAAAGCAGAACTAATGAAACGCATGCAATAATTCATTTTCAATACTTTGTGCCTTAGAACGCCATGTTATGTTTACTGCACTGTGACAAAATTTCAAATGACGTAAAGCAGCCTGTGACGTCAAGTATGATTCGCCGTGATTCGACGCGATAAAGTAGTTCGTTTGTTATTAAGTCTCCCAAACAAAGTTTGGGAAGACTTATTGTTTTTGCTCAGTTCTTATTATTATTATTATTATTCTTCTTCTTCTTCTTCTTCTTCTTCTTCTTCTTCCGCCGCTTTTAAATTTGAACTTGTCCGCACCCGTTCTCCAAAACCGCTTGTCAGATTAACTTAGGGTTTCACAATATGTTAGACTAACATGTCTAGTGGTGCAATCAGGGTTTTATTTGTGCAATGGGGTTTATAAAGGGGTACTTTGAGGGGCAAAAAGAAAAGAGGGTTTAACTATAGAACCCTATGGGATTTTATTTTTTTAAATTTTCAAATGATTATAAATTGAAAACCGTTTGTGATAGACACAATCATTTTAATTGAAAATGTTCTAAATGATAAAGCCTATTAAATGAAATACAGGGTTAGTCCCCAGGGGTCACCCCCCACCCCCTGACATTTAAGAAAGTTCTAATACCTTGTAAGTGGTCAAGATCCCCACCCCTAAACCATATATATTTTGGTTTGTCATGCCAAGATGGTTTGAATGATAAACAGGGTAAGTCCCCAGGGGTCATCCCGACCCCCTGCCATTTGAGAAAGTTCCAATAGCTTGTAAATGGTCGAGATCCCCACCCCTAAACAATATATATTCTGGTTTGTCATGATATAGCACATCAAATGTAATACAGGGTTAGTCCCCAGGGGTCACCCCCACCCCATGCCATTTAAGAAAGTTCTAATATCTTCTAAGTGGTCAAGATCCCCACCCCCAAACCATATATATTCTGGTTTGTCATGCTAAGATGGTTTGAATGATATACAGGGTTAGTCCCCAGGGGTCATCCCGACCCCCTGCCATTTGAGAAAGTTCTAATATCTTGTAAATGGTCGAGATCCCCAACCCTAAACCATATATATTCTGGTTTGTCATGATAAAGCACATCAAATGAAAAACAGGGTTAGTCCCCAGGGGTCACCCCCACCCCCTGCCATTTAAGAAAGTTCTAATATCTTGTAAGTGGTCAAGATCCCCACCCCTAAACCATATATATTCTGGTTTGTCATGCTAAGATGGTTTGAATGATATACAGGGTTAGTCCCCAGGGGTCATCCCGACCCCCTGCCATTTGAGAAAGTTCTAATATCTTGTAAATGGTCGAGATCCCCACCCCTAAACCATATATATTCTGGTTTGTCATGATAAAGCACATCAAATGAAATACAGGGTTAGTCCCCAGGGGTCACCCCCACCCCCTGCCATTTAAGAAAGTTCTAATATCTTGTAAGTGGTCAAGATCTCCACCCCTAAACCATATATATTCTGGTTTGTCATGGGAAGATGGTTTGAATGATATACAGGGTTAGTCCCCAGGGGTCATCCCGACCCCCTGCCATTTGAGAAAGTTCTAATATTTTGTAAATGGTTGAGATCCCCACCCCTAAACCATATATATTCCTATTTGTCATGTCTGGAACATTTGAATGACATATAAGGTCAGTCCCCCCACCCCTAATGTTCTAATATCTTGTAAATGGTTGAGATGATTTCATAATTACCAATAAAAAGAATAAAGGACTTTTTGTTTTTGATACTGACTTTTTCACCAGCTGGGCCCCAAAATATTTTTTTCAGGGCCCAACCAATTTTTTTACTAATAAAAAACTTAAATGTACTTTTCATTAACTAATAAAGACTTTTCAGGTTATCCTATATGTAGCTTTTGAGTCTGGTAAAGATTTATGTGTGATAACATTTGAATTATTGCCACCAGAAATATATAATAAGATTTTACAATACTGATTTTAATACATTTCCCACCAAAATTGTCTCCCTTCAATTTGAACTTCCTGTTGACAATATGGCTGTTTGTATAAATCATTAAATGCTAAATTTCAAATCCAAGCCATCCTCTAATTGTGTTGATCAAAAATATTATTCAATTCCTTTTTGTAGAAGATTGGATAGTCAACTAGATATTTTGATATTTATTTACGATACTTTTCGTTTCTTTTTTTTCATTGACGATTTTGTAAATAGCGATGTGTGGACAAGTTTTCGTCAAACACGGTCTTGTAATGACTCTTTTGACAACCGGAATGCATCTTTTAAGCAATGCAAATTCAACAGTTTATACTAAACTATAATGAAATTCAATAATCGTAGACTCTTTACAAGAGAGTTAAGAACACGTGTTTAGAGAAGGGATATATGTCAAATCGTCACTTCGCATCGAAAACTTATTTCTCCAACCAGGTTTTGCATATGAAAGTGAACTGACTGGTTTTCGGAAATTTTCTCTTAATTTTCCCGATTTGATTAGACAACCAGGTTTCCGTTTGGGAACTTTTTGTTTATATTGTAGAAATGTGATTCTCTGCAAAATTTTTTACAGTCTCCAGCTGGGCTATAAGGATGATAAATATATTCCCCAGCCGAAAAATTGGTCGCCCTGGGCGACTGGGTGACGGTTAAGTTTAGTCCCTGCAAAAATCGTCCTATTAAATTTATGTACATTTACTAAACACTGTTAAAGTACTCTCCTGTTCTATTCCACGGTTGCCTGTTTGGTTAGTTTTTTAATAGAACATTATAGCTTGATGCTTGATGCTTACTTGTGACAATTAAATGTTTACATTGATATGACAGCAATTTGTAAGGAAAATTATGTTTTGCCACAAAATTTGAAAAGAATGCCTCAATGCTGATAGTCTTCTCATATTTCTTATATTTGCACCTGATGGGAGTTTTTTTAATATCTAATTTCAATACATTTTGACAAAAGATCTGAGTAAATGTAAATATTATATTTGAGTTACAAGAGTGTAAAACATACAACATATTTGACCCATGTTCACTTTTTATACGACCGCAAAAATTAAAAATTTTTTGGTCGTATATTGGTATGACGTTGGCGTCGTCGTCGTCGTCTGGCGTTGTCCGGAGTCGTCCGAAGACACATTGGTTTTCGCACTCTAACTTTAGTTTAAGTGAATGGATCTCCATGAAATTTTACCATAAGGTTCAATACCACGAAAGGAAGGTTGGGATTGATTTTGGGGGTTATGGTACCAACAGTTAAGGAATTAGGGGCCAAAAAGGAGCCAAAAATAAGCATTTTTGTAACTTTCAGACAATAACTTGTGTGTAAGTGTACGGATCTCTCTGACATTGTACCACAAGGTTCCATATCACAAATGGAAGGCTGTAATAGATTTTGGGGGTAATTGCCTCAAAATTTTAGGAATTAGGGGGCCAAAAAAGGGGCAAAAAACAAGCATTTTTCTAGTTTCATGACAATAACTTGTGTGTAAGTGTTTGGATATTTCTGAAATTGTACTACAAGGTTTCATATCACAAAGGGAAAGCTGGAATTGAGTTCGGGGGTAATTGCCTGAAACGTTTAGGAATTGGGGGCCAAAAAGGGGCCAAAAATAATCATTTTTCTAGTTTCAAGACAATAACTTGTGTTCAAGTGTATGGATCTCTCTGAAATTGTACTGCAAGGTACCATACCACAAAGGGAAGGCTGGGATTGAGTTTGGGGGTGATGAATCATAAGGGGGTTCAAAAAATTTGGGGGGAGGATTTTTTTTTTTTCCTTTTTTATCTTTTTTTCCTTTTTTTTTTTCTTTTAAAATTTTCCATTTTAAGTTGGTTATTTCTGATTTATATTTAAAAGCAAATAATAATGATATGGTAGGAGATACACACCAAACATGATGTGTAAATTATTATATAATAAGTATTGTGCAATAGCAAGAAATTTTCAATTGCACAGTATTGCACAATAGCAAGAAATCTTCAATTGCACAGTATTGCGCAATAGCAAGAAATCTTCAATTGCACAGTATTGCTCAATAGCAAGAAATATCCAATAGCACAATATTGCGCAATAGCAAGAAATTATCAATTGTACAGTATTGCGCAATAGCAAGAAATATTCAATTGCACAGTATTGTGCAAAAGAAGATACTTCTTATAAATTGCTTATTTCTTGATCAATTTCAATGGGGTTTTATTCTTGAATTCTTGGGGTTCTTTAATATGCTGAATATAACCGTGTATTAAGTTTTTGGATTTTGGGCCCCGTTTTTAAATTGGTCCACATTGAGGTCCAAAGGGTCCAAAATTTAACTTTGTTTGATTTCATCAAAAATTGAATTATTTGGGTTCTTTGATATGCCGAATCTAACCGTGTATTTAGATTCTTAATTTTTGGTTCCGTTTTCAAATTGGTCTACATTAAGGTCCAAAGGGTCCAAAATTAAACTTAGTTTGATTTTAACAAAAATTGAATTTTTAGTGTTCTTTGATATGCTGAATCTAAACATGTATTTAGATTTTTGATTATGGACCCAGTTTTCAAGTTGGTCCAAATCGGGGTCCAAATTTAAACTTTGTTTGATTTCAACAAAAATTGAATATATGGGGTTCTTTGATATGCTGAATCTAACCATGTATTTAGATTTTTGGGCCCCGTTATCAACTTTGTCCACATTGAGGTCAAAAGGGTCCAAAATTAAACTTTGTTTGATTTCATCAAAAATTGAATTCTTGGGGTTCTTTGATATGCTGAATCTAACAGTGTATTTAGATTTTGGATATTGGACCATAATAGGTGAATGTCCAATTTAAAATTTTTAAGTTCTTAGACCACATTCATTCTGTGTCAGAAACCGATGCTGTGTCAAATATTTAATCACAATCCAAATTCAGAGCTGTATCAAGCTTGAATGTTGTGTCCATACTTGCCCCAACTGTTCAGGGTTCGACCTCTGCGGTCGTATCAAGCTGCGCCCTGCGGAGCATTTTATTTATGTTAAGCTCTGATTTCAAAGCATTTAGGGGCCTCGGTGGCCGAGTGGTCTAAGTAGTTACTACTGTAATCACTAGCCACTAACACTGAGGTTGTGAGTTCTAACCCCGCTAGTGCAGGTGCACTCGACTCCAATCTTAATTGACTAGGATTGTCAGTTTTCCTATCGAAGGTCTGTGGTTTTCTCCGGGCCCTCGGCTTCCTCCACCAATAAAAACTGGCTGCCACGAAAAAGCCCAAAAGTGGTGCTTAAAAGTGGCGTTAAAACACCAAAAAATCAAAATAAAAAATCAAAGCATTTATATGGGTACAAAAGAACTTCATCCTCCAGATAATGACCTATTTCAAACTCTGAGTATTTCCAGAAATAATTAATTTGAAACTTTGTAGAAGAAACCATTACAATCTGGAGTTATAACATCTAAGCAATGTTCAAGTATGCCAAGGAGTTACTTCCCTTTTGAAGATACTTTGAACTTTTATTACACCATCTAAGCATGGAATTTTATCAATAAATCAGGAAAACATTTCAAGGACCTAAAGGTTTAATTATTACACATACCTTTCCATTATCTTTATGCATAAAACTGAAATACACTGTAATTGGAGGAATCTACAAAAAGTGACAATAAACCCAAAAGGACAATAAACCCAAAAGGACAATCAAACAGATGTATTTAGTACTTAAATACAGTAAAAAAAGTTTGCATATTTTAACAGGTGATAAAGAATCATCATAAACACGAAAAAAACATCATTCGACAAGCATATGCTGGTTTACTATGGAGTAAACAGTTCTACTATTACGTGGTGGAGGAATGGCTACGAGGGGATAAAGGTCACCCACCACCACCTTTTTGTCGAAGAGAGGGGAGGAATGCGGAATGGGGTCATCTTTTCAACAGGGATGTCATCTCAATGCCAGATAAATGGGAATACCCATGGGTATGTATCATAGTACAGGTTTTAATCATATTTGGTTGTCTGCTCAACATAGAGGTTTTGTCAATATCTTGTTAATAAGATAATCCCAATTTATTTCATACATTAGTTTATAATGATGATTTACTAGTGAGTTTGCATTTCATTCTGATTGACCAAGGTTTGTTGTAAGGATGAAGTCAGGGGCACCGACTTAACTTGTCTCACTTTGATGGATTGCTGTCTCAAAGATGTGTGTTCCACATCTTCTTTTTATTTATTAGCTCACCTGGCCCACAGAGTTTTAAAATTTTAATTACTGCTAATCAATTTAGATAATTGTTTGATCTCTATTTTCTTTTGTTCCATAATATTCCAATCATTTCTTTTATAATATTTGAACAGGGCATCAGCTGGACAAGCTTAGACAAATATTGATTTTAAAAGGGATCTTTAATCAATAACTTTACTGTTACAAAATTAATAAATGTTAATTACATGATATAAGCTCTACCATTTCATTGTTTATGACTTTAAATTATTGAACTAAACAAAAAATATTACAAACAAAAGATTTGATTGAACAAACAATCTTCAATATTATATTTATCTTTCAAAAGAATTAAATGAAGATTAAATACATGGTTTAATAGTTCCCTATCAAATGCTACAGTCAACTAGACTTTTTATATCTTTTTTTTTTCTTAATCTTTTTTTAAAACTTTTTTTAAACTTTTTTTTTTTAACAAGACTTTTTTTCACGATTTTGGGGGGATGAAAAAGGGGTGCGTACTATACACAACTGCGTACTATACACGACTGAATACGTTATTGTAAAAGTTATTTTTCATGATACAAGCAGAAATGTGATATGTTGACATATTTCAGTATGCAGCGTAGGTTCTGGTATTCATATGATCCAATGGCTCAAGTAGACATGTACAGAATTCAGTTATTTTCCAGTATGTACCGTGGGTCCTGGTATTCACATGACACCTACGACTTATGTAGAAATTAACAAATTTAAGTATTCAGTTATTTTTCAGTATGCAGCATGGGCCTAAGCATTCCATATGATTCCCATGGCTCATGTAGACGTATAAAGTATTCAGTTATTTTTCAGTATGCAGCATGGGCCTTAGCATTCCATATGATTCCCATGGCTCATGTAGACGTATAAAGTATTCTTTATTTTTCAGTATGCAGCATGGGACCTAGCATTCCATATGATTCCCATGCCTCATGTAGACGTATAAAGTATTCTTTATTTTTCAGTATGCAGCATGGGACCTAGCATTCCATATGATCCCCATGCCTCATGTAGACACATAAAGTTTTCTTTATTTTTCTGTATGCAGCATGGGACCTAGCATTCCATATGATTCCCATGCCTCATGTAGACGTATAAAGTATTCTTTATTTTTCAGTATGCAGCATGGGACCTAGCATTCCATATGATTCCCATGCCTCATGTAGACGTATAAAGTATTCTTTATTTTTCAGTATGCAGCATGGGACCTAGCATTCCATATGATCCCCATGCCTCATGTAGACGTATAAAGTATTCTTTATTTTTCAGTATGCAGCATGGGACCTAGCATTCCATATGATCCCCATGCCTCATGTAGACACATAAAGTTTTCTTTATTTTTCTGTATGCAGCATGGGACCTAGCATTCCATATGATCCCCATGGCTCATGTAGATATATAAAGTATTCAGTTATTTATCAGTATGCAGCATGGGACCTAGCATTCCATATGATTCCCATGGCTCATGTAGATATATAAAGTATTCAGTTATTTTTCAGTATGCAGCATGGGACCTAGCATTCCATATGATTCCCATGGCTCATGTAGATATACAATATGCCAAAGAACAGCTGTTGCTAATGATGAGAGAATGGTACATGCATCCTAATGGACAGGTAAAATATACAGTTAATACAAGGTTTAATCTACCATTCTTTTTACCGTTTTTGTCTCACCTTGACGGAGTCAAAAAGCGACGGTGGCGGCGGCGCCGTCAACAATGTATTAGTTTGTGATTAGGTCTAGTTCATGGTGAACCACTAGTGGTAGGTCAATGATATTTGGTATGCAGTTGTATTAGCATTGGCACATCTCATTACCATGAAGAATATTTGGCCCTGCCCCCTCAGTCATGGTCTATTGACTGAAACTTTTGCTTAGTTTACATGTATTAGTTTGTGATTAGATCAGTTTATGGTGAACTGCTAATGTTAAGTCAATGATATTTGTATTTGCAAGTATTGTTTCCATGGAGATTATATAGTTCCACCCCTGATCATGGTTCATTGACTTTGAAACTTTTACATAGTTTACAAGTTAATGTTTGTGTTTAGGTTTGTTTAAAGGGAACGACTTATAATAAGTCAATGGTATTTGGTATGCAGTTGTATTAGCATTGGCACATCTCATTCCATGGAGATTGTTTAGCCATGTACCTTCAGTCATGGTTCATTGACTTTGAATATTTGCATAACTTACATGTTAAAGTATTGCTATTTTAATTTCAACATTTGCATTATCAAAATTACAAAAAGGCGAGACATATCTCTGTGATAACAGTTTATATAAAGGACTTTCCGTTTTGAATTTTTCAGTATTTTTGTTATTTTACTTTCTAATGTTTTATTCTTTCATTCATTGGCATAATAATAATAATGATAATAATACTTTATTTCAAGAAGGTGAGCTCTATTAGTAAACACACTTTTCTCCCTTTAGCTCCTCACACTCCACTCACAGTACACAAGCTTTTGGTAACAATCCTCTTTCTAACTAATAATTTTAATTATGTCATGAATTAGAATAAAATTTTCTTTTGGTGACAGGACCCTCTCCCCTTCTCATATTTTGTCATGCATTAGGCAGATTCCAAATAAGAAAGTTGAAAAATTCCCAAAATTATGTTTAACAAAATCAACACCAATAAGGTTCTGTTTTGGAATACATGTTATACTTATATAAGTAAACACTTTTTGACAAAAAATAGATCTATTCACATTATATTTTTTAAATAAAGGAAACCTTAAAAAAATGTTGCTATCATAACAAAATTGACAGACATTTTGACGGAAAATTCTTATGTTAGCAACACAAACAATCCTGATATCTACAGTATTTTCAAGGTTTGGATGTATATCTTGCTTAAATATAAAAGGCAAATTGGAAGTAAATATTTCTGAACATCTGCACCAATAAAAAAGGAATTGTAATAACTTTAAAAAAGGATTATCTTGGAGTTGCTAACATAAAATTTGACAGACATGAACAATGCTGCTAACATAAGATTTGACAGAAATGAAGTTGTTGCTAACATAAGATTTGACGGACTTTTTTGTTGCTAACATAATATTTGACAGACTTTTTTGTTGCTAACATAAGATTTGACGGACATTATTGTTGCTAACATAAGATTTGACAGACTAAATAGTGTTGCTAACATAAGATATTGACGGACTTGTTGCTAGTTACATAAGATTGTGCTAACATAAATAAATTTGACAGACAATATATATTTGAGATTTTTAACTAACATTGAAGATCTTATCCTAGTTGAAAGTCATATTTAGAACTCCTGCAAATAACGCCGCCTGACATTTAACAAGATTTCAACCCAGGACAGATAACTCTTAATTTGTAGCACATCCAAATGTTGCTAACATAAGATGACAAGTTTGACAGAACTTATGTTAGCAACAGATTTGATAAAACTATTGATTGAATAAAGTAAATTGAAAGATCCAAAATGTGTTTGATTAATGTACATTATGAAATACAATTTTAACAGGCTTATATAAGTACCTACAATGATGTGGTAAGATTTTATGAACATGTTGCTATCATAACATTTATTGACAGTCGAGCATCTAATAAGCAAGGTATTTGAAATTGAACAAAATATATATAACAGATGTTTTTAACAAAAGAAAAGCAAAAGATTTGGAAACAGGGATGTTTGAATAATCAGACTACACTAATAAAAACCGTTATACCAGTGTCAATTTAAAGCATTGTAACACATAAACCTTGTGTCAAAAAATGGGAAGTAATTTCCGTCAAACATTTCACATTTTTCAACTTGTTTTGATCATTTCTACTTATAATGGAAACAATCATATCCAATAATTGGTTTTCTTGCTTTATTTAACATTACTATTCAATAAAACATTCACATATCATCATTCAAATAACAGTTAGTATTATTTTTATTAATTTGTTCTTTTTGACGGAAATTTTCTTTTCTTTATGGAATCTGCCATTATTTATTTATAATTTTGATCATGTGAATTTCCCTTTAAAGATGAGATCCTCTCCCTTACTTCATCATTGTCATGCCCATTCACTTTTATGTACTGCTGTAAATTCAGAAATATTTGTGATAGTTTTATTATTGCGAAAATTGCAATGAGATATGTACAATGATGTTATGGTAAAAGAAAGACTCAAGTTTTAAATTTTGATAGAAATATTTGTATGCAGCAATAATAAACGCATGCACTTATTTTTGAATTTACCGAATATATTTTTTATCTTAGATCCCAGCTTACGAGTTTGCTTTTGATGATGTGAATCCACCTGTCCATTGTTATGCTGTATTAAAAGTTTACAAGGCATCAGGACCCAAAGGAAAAAGAGATTTAGTCTTCCTTGCCAGATGTTTTCATAAACTGGTTCTTAATTTTACATGGTAAGAGATCATCCCTTGCCAGATGTTTTCATAAACTGTTTCTTAATTTTAAATGGTAAGAGAAACGTTCCTTGCCAGATATTTTCATAAACTGGTTCTTAATTTTACATGGTAAGAGAGCGTCCCTTGCCAGATGTTTTCATAAACTGCGACTCTTTTCACAAAAAATCTTATGATTAAAATTGATTGTAAGTTATACTGAAATGTGTATGACTTACCAGTATTTTTACTCTTAAGATTTTTTGTGAAAAGAACTGCTGGTTCTTAATTTTACATGGTAAGAGAGTGTTTCTTGTCAGATGTTTATAAATTGAGATGTGGTATAAATGCCAATGAAACAACAAGCCGTAAGCGAAAAGTACAAGGATGGTAAAAGGGATCCTGATTTTATATGCTTGTAGTAAGAAAGTCTTTCTTGCCGGACGTTTTCATGAACTGGTTCCCAGTTTAACCTGTGTGATACTAAATGCTATTTGTTTATAAGTGTAAGGCTTTAAATTTAGCAAATTATGCAATGTTTTGAATACTTACATATGAACAATTGAAGAGATGAAAAACAGTGGAATTAAACACCATATTAACAACATTATCTAGTCAAATCACACAATTTTGTATACACATAAGTAGGTTTATCTTAAAGACAGTTATCTTGACCATTTATCAAGTTTTCATCTACAGAGAACAAAGTTACAAGCATTCGCATACTCATCCACCAAACACAATTGTTTTACCATTCATCAAGTTTTCATCCATAGAAATTAAATTTGTGAGCATTCATCAAGAACTCATTCGAAGAACACACAATTTAAAGCATTCAAGATACTCATGTGAGGAACACTGTTTTTAAAACATTCAAGATACTCATGCGAGGAGCACTGTTTTTAAAACATTCAAGAACACGCATGCAGACCATAGATTGCAACACCTTCAAGAACGGCAGGAAACATGATTTTTTTTTTTCATGGAGTTTTCCATCATTAACACTAGCAGTGGTTTGAATATAACCAATAGCCAGTGTCCAAGCAAGAATGCATAAAGTTTGCAAACTACAAAAAGACAACATATGAAAATGTTGAACAGGCTTATAAATTTAAGTCTAGTTTTGCTCACACATTGTAACATTGTTATCTACAGGTGAGTAAACCTGTCTAGTTTTGCTCACACATTGTAATATTGTTATTTACAGGTGAGTAAACCTGTCTAGTTTTGCTCACACATTGTAACATTGTTATCTACAGGTGAATAAACCTAAGTCTAGTTTTGCTCACACATTGTAACATTGTTATCTACAGGTGAATAAACCTAAGTCTAGTTTTGCTCACACTTTGTAACATTGTTATCTACAGGTGGATAAATCTAAGTCTAGTTTTGCTCACACATTGTAACATTGTTATCTACAGGTGAGTAAACCTGTCTAGTTTTGCTCACACATTGTAACATTGTTATCTACAGGTGAGTAAACCTGTCTAGTTTTGCTCACACATTGTAACATTGTTATCTACAGGTGAGTAAACCTGTCTAGTTTTGCTCACACATTGTAACATTGTTATCTACAGGTGGATAAATAGAAAGGATATTGATGGTAAGAACATCTTCTCTGGAGGCTTTCTGGGTCTGGACAACATTGGAGTGTTTGACAGATCTAAACCATTAGACTGTGGTGGCAAGATTGCCCAGGCTGATGCCACAGCATGGGTGGCATTCTTCTGTCTAATCATGCTGGAGATTAGTCTCATCCTGGCCAAGAGGGATCATGTCTATGAAGATATGGCCAGCAAATTTTTCGAACATTTTGTGGCCATTGTTGATGCCATCAACAAAAAGGATGGGATAGGTAAATTGACTTTCTTTTACTTCAAAGGTCTTGGTTATTCTGTGTTAGAATTTGGTAATGAGAAAGTATGGATCATGCTAATGAATGAGTTACACCTGTCACTCGGCATAAATTATGTCATTGAACAATCGGGTCATACTGTGACTTAATAACTTAAGCGTTGTGACAAAGGAAATGAACTAGAAAAATGCACGAATTTGAAAGTTGTCTAATGGAGTAAGTCTAAGAAACGGTCTAAGGTAGAGTTATGGTTGAGGATATTAATAGTATAAAGATAGATATAAGAAGATGTGGTATGAGTGCCAATGAGACAACTCTCCATCCAAGTCAAAATTTATAAAAGTGAACCATTATAGGTCAAAGTCTGGTCTTCAACACTGAGCCTTGGCTCACACCAAACAGCAAGCTATAAAGGGCCCCAAAAATTACTAGTGTAAAACCATTCAAACGGGAAAACCAACGGTCTAATCTATATAAAAAACCAGAAACGAGAAACACTTATGAACCACATCAACAAACGACAACTACTGAACATCAGATTCCTGACAGGACAGGTGCAAACAATTGCAGCGGGTTTAAACGTTTTAATGGTACCAAACCTTCACCCTTATCTGAAACAATAGTGTAACATCACAACATAGAAAGACACACTATAAAATATCAATTGAAATGGCTTAACTCAATGGAAAGACATATTAACACCAGTGAACATACACTGAACAAATAAATTTGATCTATGATACAATGTTTAACCCCATTTATCTTGGATAAACGGTTAGGTTATGGTTTATAGGGATATTAGCAGAAGAAAAGGGTTTATATATTAAAGCTGATTAAATTTATTAAATAGCCCTGTTCAACTTGGAACAGAGCTAGAATTAGGTTATGGTTAGGGATATAAGAGGAATGAAATTATGATTGATTTATTATTTTAGGATAAGGAACACATTTTATAATTCACACTTATATACAAACAGTTACTCTCTTACGTTTAAGATTTGTTCTATCATTGAACTTGGAGATAAATTTGCTATTGTTACCTTTTCATTGTTTGTCTTTTGTTCGGTTCCCTTGAAAGGAAATTAACTGCAATTTCTCTTTTAAATTTTAGGTCTATAGCCAGTATTTAAGAATTTTAATTTTAGGTCTATAGCAGGTCTTTAAGAATTTTAATTTTATGTCTAAAGCCAGTCTTTAAGAATTTAATTTTAGGTCTATAGCTTTAAGAATTTTAATTTTAGATCTATAGCCAGTCTTTAAAAATTCTAGAATTTTAGGTCTATAGCCAGTCTTTAATAATTTTGATTTCAGGTCTATAACCAGTCTTTAAGAATTTTAATTTTAGATCTTCAAGCACTCTTTAAGAATTTTTATTTTAGATCTTTAACCAGTCTTTTTGTATCAAAGAGGTTTTTTAGTCCCCTACTGACGAAGTTGAAGGGTAATTTAGGTTTGCACTCTGTCTGTCTGTCTGTCCATCCGTCTGTCCGGCAAATCAATTTTCCACTTTTTTTTTCTTCCTGCTTGAAGATATTGATTTGATATTTGGTATATAGTTTTATCATGACTAGTTACAGATCAAGTTCGAATTTTGTTCTGGTCTGATTATTTTGAGCAGAGTTATGGTCCTTTGACTTAGAAAATTCACGCAAGTAATCAGTTTTCCACACTTTTTTTTGTCATGCTTGAAGATATTGATTTGATATTTGGTATATAGTTTTATCATGACTTGTAACAGATTTGTCGAAGGGGAATTAATGTTTGCACTCTGTCCGTCCTTCTGTCTGTCTGTCTGTCCATCCGTGAGTCCGGCAAATCAGTTTTCCACACTTTTTTTCTTCCTGCTGGAAGATATTGATTTGATATTTGGTATGTAGTTTTATCGTGACTAGTTACAGATCAATTTCGAATTTTGTTCCAGTCTGATTTTTTTGTGCAGAGTTATGGTCCTTGAACTTAGAAAATTCACGCAAGTAATCAGTTTTCTGCACTTTTTTGTCATGTTTAAAGATATTGATTTAATATTTGGTATATAGTTTAATCATGACTTGTTACAGATCAAGTTTGAATTTTGTTCAGGTCTGATGATTTTGTGCAGAGTTATGGTCCTTGGACTTAGAAAATTCACCCAAGTAATCAGTTTTCCACCCTTTTTATTTGTCATGCTTAAAGATATTGATTTGATATTTGGTATATAGTTTTTATCATGACTAGTTACAGATCAAGTTTGAATTTTGTTCCTTTCTGATGATTTCATGCAGAGTTATGGTCCTTGATCTTAAAAAATAATCAAGAAAGTAATCAGTTTTCCGCTTTTTTTTCATTGTGAATGAAGATATTTATTTGATATTTGGTTTATAGTTTTACCATGGCAAGTTACAGATCAAGTTCACATTTGGTTCGGTTAGGATGATTTTTTTAAGCAGAGTTATGGTCCTTGGACACATTTTTTTTTGTTATGCTTGAACATGTTGAAGATATTGATTTGATCTTTGTTATAAAGTTTACACCATGACAAGTTATAGATCAAGTTAGCATTTTGTTCAAGTACAATGGATTTTTAACCGGTAGGGGACTATGTATTGCCATGCAATACTCTTAAAATACTTGTTTCTCTAATATTTTAGGTCTATGGGATGAGAAGGATGGGTTTTACTATGACCACTTACACACTAACAATCATACCTGTCCAATGAAGATCCTGTCCATGGTTGGACTGGTTCCTTTATTCTCCTGTACGGTTCTCAGGGAGGATACCATGAAACAATTCCCAGGATTTTATAAAAGAACGAAATGGTTTCTGGAAAACAGAAAAGATTTGTCTAAAACGGTAAGATCAGTAAAGATTTGTCCGATAACCAAGTTAAATTTGTAGTTATGAATAAGGATGAAAGGAAAAATTCGACTGGTATTATCCATTTGAAAATTTTCTAACCATGATAACTTTTATTCAATTCTAATGAAAAATCATATATGTTGTGTTTTGTGTACTATTATTTGTCTGTTGGTCTTTTTCTTTTTTAGCCATGGCGTTGTCAGTTTATTTTTAACTTATGAGTTTGAATGTCCCTTTGGTATCTTTCGCCTCTCTTTTACAATGAAGCTGAAGGAGTTATAAAGTCATATTTTTTTTACTTATTGAAAACCACAGTAGAGACCATCTTTTTATGAGAGAATCCTCATGTGGCATAACTTATAAACAAATCATCCAAAAATCAAGTATTGACTCTACATCTATGCTTTACAGATATCATTTATGTGTGGCAGAGAGAAAAAGCCAAACCCAACTTTGTTACTGGCCATTGTTAACAAAGAAAAGCTACAAAAAGTTCTCCAGCATCTTCTGAATGAGAAAGAGTTTCTGTCACCTTATGGTATTAGATCTTTGTCAAAGGTAGGTAACTCTGTTTAATCATAGCATTTTCAAATGTAGGTAACTCTTTTTTTTATCTCACCTGGTCCAAAGGGCCAAGTGAGCTTTTCTCATCACTTGGCGTCCGTCATCCATCGTCTTCGTCTGTTAACTTTTACAAAAATCTTCTCCTCTGATACTACTGGGCCAAATTTAACCAAACTTGGCCACTAAACAGACTAAATGATCAGCAATACAAAATAAACAAAACAGAGATTTTTGTCATGAATTCTATTCTCATCTACAATCTTAAGACAGTGTCCTTTGTTGAATATGCATAGGCCAAGGTGAGTGACACAGGCTCTTTAGAGCCTCTAGTTAAGTCCCCTTCTGGCAATGCCAAAGGGGTCTTTAAGTTTGCACTCTGTCCCTCTGTCCGTCTGTCCTCCTGTCCATCTGTCAGTCAGGCAAATCAGTTTTCTTCGTGCTGGAAGATATTGATTTGATATTTGGTATATTGTTTTATCATGACCAGTTACAGATCAAGTTTGAATTTTGTTCCAGTCTGATGATTTTGCTCAGAGGCCTGGTCCTTGGACTTAGAAAATTCATGCAATTTATCAGTTTTCTGCATTTTGTTTCATCATGCTTGAAGATATTGATTTGATATTTGGTACATAGTTCAACCATGACAAATTATAGGTCAAGTTCAAATCTTGTTTGGTTGGGATGATTTTTTTGCAGAGTTATGGTCCTGGGACTTTCATACAAATAATCAGTTTTCTACATTTTGTTTGTCATGCTTGAGATATTGATTTGATATTTGTTATATAGTTTAACCATGATAAGTTATAGATCAAGTTTGAATTTCTTCTGTTCAGATGATTTTTCTGTCAATCTGTCTATTAATCTTGTTGATACAGCTCGTTTTGTGAAACTTTATTCACCAGAAAAACTTTTCATATATTTTAGTGTAAACAGATTAAGTGTTCAATATTTGCACCAGGAGATATTTGGAATTATTTTTTTTGAATATAGAAAATATTACAAATTACTGATTAAGTTAGCATTTTGTTCCAGTCAATGAATTTTTAACTGGTAGTGGACTATGTATTGCATGTAATACTCTTAGAATGCTTGTTTTACATAGATTTGAATAAGAATAAAAATTTATGAAAAGTTTTGTTTACAGAAAAAGGCTTTGTTATACTATTTGAATTGAAAGTGATGGCATAGAGAATTTGTATAAGTTTTAGAAAACTAGACAAATTTCACAAACATATTTGCTAAAGGTCTCAATCTAAGATAAAAAAAAAAAAGAAAATTAATTTCAATGAATGCTGTTTGTATCGTTCCTAATACTGATTTCCTGAAGGTTTACAACTAATAAGAAGAAATAACTGCAAACAATCCTTAAGAAAATGACTATGTTTAAGTGAATTGACTTTAATTGATTGGGTACACATTTTCTGATGTCAGTGGATTGCATGGTTTAAAAAAACCCTGGACTATTTTCATTACCCCTGTAATCTGTTAAGTGTTTAAGTTTAAAACCACAAACCAGTAATTATTTTACAAATAACAAAAATTTGATTCTATAAATGTATGTACTTTCACAATAAGTTGTTACAAATGTTTTTTCTGTAATTTATCACAGCACCACAAAGAACAACCCTTTGTACTGGACGACAACACAGCTAGGGTTGGGTATGAACCTGGAGAGTCTGAAAGTAAACTGTTTGGTGGTAACAGTAACTGGAGAGGACCTATCTGGTTCCCAAGTAAGTAATTAGCAAGGATAGCAAGTAAACTGTTTGGTGGTTACAGTAACTGAAGAGGACCTATCTGGTTCCCAAGTAAGTACCGTCTTTTGGTGTGTATAAAACGCACTCATGCATAGTACGCACCCCCTTTTTCGCCCTTGAAACTTGAGAAAAAAAGGTTCTGCTGCTTAACACGCAGGGACTTTCTTGAAAAATCCTAACTTGAAACTCGGTAAAATGCGTCCATTGAAAATGATTTCTTTTAGGAGACAAATTGAACTCCAGTCCTAGTTGAATACAGGATAATGAAAATATTGTTGCAGAATAAATAATTTAGCAAACAATGTTTGATTCTTTATTGTTTCCACGGATGTGTTTGATTGAGAACAACAGGAAGTTGTTTAAATGCAAATCGCAGTAGGTGAATCTTGTACAGAATAGGGAATCATTACGAATATTCTTAAATACATAAATAAATTGTAATATTTATGTTGATGAATTAGTGCTGAAATATATATTAATCCCTATTAATTTCATTTATTGTTTGTTGGTACTCACTGAATCGTATAATCCGGATTATCACACTCTTATTGAATATCAATTAGGAAGTCTAATCGTTGGTAAAACAAATCAACTGACAGATTAATTTTGTTCCCTAATCAAAACCATACAGTGTACTAGATGGCATTGACATGTCTGCACTTATGATTTGTATTAAGTTTTTTTTTAAATGTTACAAAGTTAAAATGTGTTTGAAATTATCACTTTATTCAACTTTTACAACCGTTAAAAGTCACATGACATGTGATCACCTGATACTACGAAAGTGAAAAAAAAAACAATGGCGGTCGCTATCATCAAACAGGCGTGTTTCATTCAATTTTCATACATTTACTTTCTGTATTCCTTGTTAGAACACATATAAAAAGTAAGTTATAAACTCGGGAAACACCAACACTAATTTGGCCATTGACAGAATCCTTCATCTCTAATTTGGACATGATCAAATGCAACTTCCAGGCGGCAACGGAGAACACAAGAAAACGCAAAAAACAACTACTAAAGCATTTAAATGAACTTTATTTGCATATAACATAACAAATCAGATACAATAAGGTACAAATATTCATGTAAACATAACAACAATCAAATTTACGCTACGAAAATATTTTCCTCCAGACCACCTGGTTTCTTGGTCGAAATTCGGCCTGAAAAAAAGTATAAAGAACAGTGTAGCCATACATAATACGCACCCCCCTTTTCAGAAATCATTCCCAGGGTAAAAACCTGCGTACTATACACACCTAAAGACGGTAACTAGCAAGGATAACAAGTAACCTGTTTGGTGGTGACAGTTACTGGAGACAAGCTATCTAATTTCAAGTAAGTAATTAACAGGGAGAATAATCTGCTTTCCAAGAATATTGGTACCTAAAGAAAAATCATGAATCCAAAATAGATAGCAAACCAGGAACAATAATGGAGTAACCTATATGATTTGCTAGAAAGTATTAAATCGAGAACAATAAAGTGGTCCAAGTAACAAGGGAGGAAGAGCTGAAGTAAATCAGTCTGATTCCCCAGTAGGGAATGGGTATGAGTCAGGAAGAGTTACCCAGTCTACTACTACATCATTTTACCTTAAACAGACTGATCTTGATGAGACAATACCTTGCTGCATGACACTACCTTACTGCATGACATGACCTTGCTGCATGACACGACCTTGCTGCATGACACGACCTTACTGCATGACATGACCTTGCTGCATGACACGACCTTGCTGCCTGACAATACCTTGCTGCATGACACGACCTTGTTGCATGACACTACCTTAATTTTATCTTGATTAGACAATACCTTGCTGCATGACACTACCTTAATTTTATCCCTTTTCCACATATTAAAGAAGACTTTTTTGTTAAATAAACTGAATGTGACTTTTTCCCTTTGTGATACTTGTTATTTTAAGCATTCCTGTCAAGTTTTGTCATAATCAGTTCAATAGTTTGAGAAAAATCTAGTATAATGTAAGACAAAATCTACAGCGATTCGAGCAAAATTTCTTCGAAAAATTCAAACCAAGCCGCATCATGATAGAATATAGTGTGGACCAATAAATGATCAAATATTTATCTCATCTGCCTACAAACAGTTGAATATGATACAAAAGATGACTTTAGGATGATACATACTACTAATGGACCTCTTTGTCATCCTTATAAGGTCTCTTTTGGTCCATTTATACCTCTCATTTCCTCAAAATTTTTACTTTTTAGGCCAATAAATAAAAATTTTGGGGTAACTTTCACTCATTTATGATAGAAATGTTATTATAAATGATTAATTGAAGTATTCAAGCTGAATGAACTATCCGTATAAAAGTTTACTATCTCCAAGGAGGTTTCAATTAGTCCTTACGTAAAACTTAAATTTACGCCGCGTTCCAGAGAGGGACATAAAAAACTTCTCTTTTGGTGAATAATTTGTTGTTACTGCTTTAAAAATAATTTCATTTACTTACAACTATATATTTATTAAAGTATTTCTTAGGAAAAATTTTCTAGTATAGCAGAATATAAGAAATAAGGAGAAAAAGCTCCCCAAGACTCTAAGTATGGCTTGTTCTGTCAACTAATATTCATGGTAAAGTCCTATTTCAAGGAAATTTTCTCATAAAATGTATTTTGGAGACTCAATCCACTCAGAATATTTCATTATTTGTAATATTTCACTTAAATAGCAAGAAATTTTAACACATGAGAGTACTCACAAGGTCAAAGGTGCATGTACAGCTTCCCATATTAGGTGTAATACCACCATTGATTTTCCCATATTAGTCTTTGTTAAATTTGCACTTTTCAAAAAATTGTGCAGAATTTATCTTTGTTTCAAATAAAGAAATACTTGGCATGAGTAAAGTTTTATCCTGTCCAGTACTATAGAAAAAATTTCACATTACATTTCATTGCATATAAGAAAATAACCATCACTGGAAGTTAACCAATCAAATTTTCCCCCTTTTTTAACCTGTGTACAAGCTTTAGTAACCATGTAACCTCAAGTTTCCAAAATATTCTATAGAAACCCCAAATAAAGAAATAATGGTGCTTTGAAATACCCAAGATATATGTTTATAACTCAGAAATGTTTTACTGCAATGAAATGTAGGATCAATTACCTACAACTGTCAAATTCAAGGGAATATTTTTTTTCGACCTATTTTCGTATGCAACCGGATGTGACGTACTATGATTTGGTGGTATTACACCTAAAGGGGGATTATTGCTCCTTGAAAACTGTAAAATTGTTTTTGCCCTGTTTCCTTTTTGAAGTCATTTATATTTTAGATATACTAAAAGTGTTGTGTTATGGGAGGTATAACTTTGTGAGTTCAGTCACAATTAGATTTTATATTTCTATATATGTAAATGTTCATTATTGACCATTCTCCATTGCTTAGGGAAAATGCTGTGCAACACAGCCTTTTGAGTTTGATTTATTATGGTGTAATATAAGATGTCATTGATGAAAATATCATTATTTTGAATTTCAACAGCAGGCATCCTTTATAATGATGAGGATAACTAATCAGAATGTATTGGTGAAAGTAAGGTTTTGAAAATATGCCTGATAATACTTTAGATTATGAACAGCAGATTTTATGTGTTTGTTATATAAAAACTTGTATACTTCAGTGAATTACCTGATTATAGAGAACCTATTCAGATATGACTACTATTATGGTGAAAGTTTGAAAGTGGAATGTCCAACAGGTTCAGGAAATCTAATGAGATTAAGTGATGTAGCCAAAGAGTTATCCCATCGGTTAGCTGACATATTCCTACCCGACCTTACAGGACATCGACCCTGTCATGGTAACTATAAAATATTACAGAGTTAGGACATCGACCTTGTCATGGTAATTATAAAATATAACAGAGTTAGGACATCGACCTTGTCATGGTAATTATAAAATATAACAGAGTTAGGACATCAACCTTTTAATGGTAATTACAAAATATAACAGAGTTAGGACATCAACCTTTTAATGGTAATTACAAAATATAACAGAGTTAGGACATTGACCTTGTCATGGTAATTACAAAATATAACAGAGTTAGGACATTGACCTTGTCATGGTAATTACAAAATATAACAGAGTTAGGACATTGACCTTGTCATGGTAACTATAAAATATAACAGAGTTAGGACATCGACCTTGTCATGGTAATTATAAAATATAACAGAGTTAGGCCATCAACTGTGTCATGGTAATTACAAAATATAACAGAGTTAGGACATCGACCTTGTCATGGTAATTACAAAATATAACAGAGTTAGGACATCGACCTTGTCATGGTAATTACAAAATATAACACAGTTAGGACATCGACCTTGTCATGGTAATTACAAAATATAACAGAGTAATGAGACTGTTGTCTTCTGTCCCTCAAGCCATTTATAATCAGCTATAATAAGTTGTAAAAACAGCATCTTAATACTACCAGCACTGATAAGTGATAGATGTGAATAATTGATAATAAACCAATGGAAGATAATATTCAGTGAGTGATACACAACACGTTAATTCATGAATGCGATATCAATATGCAAATGAGTTGATTATCAGTGTTGTTCCATTAAGAGTTGATTATTTATCGATATTTGAATTCTTTGATTAGTTATTCTTTTTATTACATTGACCATGGGCTATTTAATAGTTACAAAGAAGAAAATACAAGGAACTATATCTTTTTCTACACATACCCTATTCGTTTTGATGCAATGTCATCACGAATTGTTGTATGAAATCAGAGGATTGGAATTATTGGATTTTATTTAATCAAGAAATCCCGCTATTTCATTGCAACCATATTTTAGTTATACTTATAGACAAGTGTTAATGTAATATATATGTCAAACTTCAAATAATTCAGAGTTTAGAAGTTTTGAATAAATTCAATTGGTTGTCTCCAGGATAGCCCATTATTTTTTGTTGGGTCCTTTTTAAATAAGGGTGAAGACTTCCACTCATCAAAACCACAGATGAGCTCAATTGCAAAAAAAAATATGAAGATGGAGACTATTTTTTGGATGTGGACTTTTACACTTTTAGTTCTTATTACTTGAACATGTTGAATAGGACCTTTAAATTCTTCATGACACTTCCTACAAATTTAATTTAATAATGGTAAAGAATCATACATCAAAGTAAACAAAACTATGTCAGCAGGCTTCTAAGCTAAGCTCTTCTCCTTTATGTGAGGGTGTTGGGATGTAAGCTTCTTTGCTCAAAAATGTTTCATTATTATTCAGGAACCAGTGAGAAGTATGACAATGATCCCTACTTCAAAGATCTGATTTTATTTTACGAGTTTTTCCATGGGGACACAGGTAGAGGATGTGGAGCAAGGTAAGTAACCATGGAAACAACAAGTATAACATTTATCTTGTTATGTTAGTGTAAGAAAAGTAACCCAGCCCTTTAAGCACAACAATAAATATAATCGTATAGAATGTTAGAAAAAGGGTGGTTAGAGTAACTGGAGAGGACCTATCTGTTCCCCAAGTAAGTAATAAGCAAGATGGTAACAGTAACTGGATAAGACCTATCTGGTTCCAAAGGAAGAAATAAGTATGGTGATAAAAGTAACTGGAGAAGACCTATCTGGTTCCCAAGTAAGTTATAAGCAAGATGGTAACAGTAACTGGATAAGACCTATCTGGTTCCAAAGGAAGAAATAAGTATGGTGGTAAAAGTAACTGGAGAAGACCTATATGGTTCCCAAGTAAGTAATAAGCAAGATGGTAACAGTAACTGGATAAGACCTATCTGGTTCCAAAGGAAGAAATAAGTATGGTGGTAAAAGTAACTGGAGAAGACCTATCTGGTTCCCAAGTAAGTAATAAGCAAGATGGTAACAGTAACTGGATAAGACCTATCTGGTTCCAAAGGAAGAAATAAGTATGGTGGTAAAAGTAACTGGAGAAGACCTATCTGGTTCCCAAGTAAGTGTTGAGCAAGATGGTAACAGTAACTGGATAAGACCTATCTGGTTCCAAAGGAAGAAATAAGTATGGTGGTAAAAGTAACTGGAGAAGACCTATCTGGTTCCCAAGTAAGTAATAAGCAAGGTGGTAACAGTAACTGGAGACGGCATAACAGTTACTGTAGAGGACCTATCTGTGTATAATCATACTTGTCCAGAAAATTCCACAAAATTTTGCATGGTGCATGACTCTAGTATCTAGTTTTAAAAATATCAATGATGTCCAGTAATATTTGAAATTGGAGTTATCTTCCTTTGTACATAATTGTAGTTGAAACAACTTGCACAAGCACTTTGATTAAATGTGCCTCTTGGATCCAACACTGCTAATAGTCATTCAAAGATTTGGAACTTTGGATTGATTGATTGTTGGTTGTTTAACATCCAGTGTTGGAACTTTTGATAACACTATTCTAGAATTTTTATTTTCTGAGAAGTAATACTATGCTTATGAAAAAAATACATGTATTTCTTGTTTAAAAAATATATTTATAATTTAAATAATGTAGATTTCAATAGAAGGGAATAAACATAAGACTTAAGGTGTGGTGGATGGGAGTAAAATTTGAAATCCAAACAAATTTCTGTATACACGGCATAAATGATATATGTTTTTTCTATTTTATACCTTCAGCCATCAGACAGGATGGACAGCACTGATATCTAACACAATGAAGTACATACACAAATGGACACTAGAGAATGATAGTGATATGAGTGATAATGAGGAAAGCTTTAGACCCAGGCTACATACACATTAGGTGGAACAAGGGGACAGTATTACAGTATACCCAGGCTACATACGCATTAGGTGGGACAACAGGACAGTATTACACTATTACAGTATTAGAATTCTCTCAGGTTGAACAAGAGAAACAACAAATGGGTAAAAGACAATCAGACATTTGATCTTGCTTGTTTTTATTATTAGACAATGTTTAAGAGTTACATCTAGAATCTAGAAGTGTATGGCGAAAGGGGCAGGACTTATATTTTATCAAAATTTGTTATTGTTAAATGGCAGGAACTTATATTTGATTGACATTTTTAATGGTTTAAGGGGGAATTTTTTATTTGATTGACATTTTTAATGGTTTAAGGGGAGGAACTTACATTTGATGAACTTTTTTATTGGTTAAAAGGGAAGGAACTTTTTTTATGGTAAGAGGAGAGGGACATTTTTGAAAACTGTTTTTGAAAAAGAGGATAATATATTTGTTAGACTTTATTGTATCTGCATATTATAGTTTAGCTATTTGAAACTATAATTAGATTTTGTATTTGATTGGACATCTGTTGAATTGCATGCTTGCTGGAGACATTATTAACTTACATTATGAGACGCTTCTATTTGATTTACATATTTGGGTTTTTCTATCGGTATATTATCTATTTGTTGAATTGCAGTAGGAGGGAGTATACTCTTAAAATTTAAAAGGGAATGGGTTTGTATTTGTGGGATTGTATTTATAAATATATGCCAGCAGGGAATTGGTATATTTGATTGTTATTGTATTAAGAATGTAATTTTAACTTTTTTAACATATTATGTTTTTATACTGTAAACCAACTTATTTTCACAGATTTTTTTCCTCCTTGGTCTTTTTTGACAATTATTTATTTTTGTGATTTTCTAACTTTATTGGTGTATTCATATCTCAGAATCTCCAAAGTTTGACACATTTGTGTCAATTTATAGTCCCATTATTTTTTTATCTCCTAAAGTTGAATAAATAAATGGCTCGCAATAAATAAGTTGGCTTACGGTAATTGATTGTTCAAGTTTAGTTTAGTGTTAGCATGTATTATGTATATTCATTATTTTACACATATATTGTTTATAGTTACTTATTATTACTCACGTTTACCTTTTGGTACCATTGACATATCTGGGATATGTTCCCAGTCAGAAATAGTCTGAAAGCATTGGAACATATCTTATACTTTTGATTCTTTATTAAATAATAATTTAATTTTGGATGCAACACGTCTTTTGATTGGCTGAAAGTGTTTTGTCTATCAGCTCATAGACATAATTTTGTCATGTGACAGTGACGTCACCAACGTTTTTTTCAAAATTTACTCCTTAAAAATTGAATTTAGAATTAAATTATAAGTAATGACTTTAATATTTTTTCTGTCTATTCGAAATAACCTAAAATATGTTGGGCACACTTTTAAATAACCCGCTACACGGGTTATTCAGTGTGCACCACATTTTTTATGTTATTTCTTCATAGACAGAAAAAATATAACAGTCATTCCTTAAATGTGGTATTGCTTTGTGGTATTTCGTGTGTATAGGAGGACAAAGAGTTTATACTCAACAAAATACAAATTTCAATTAAATTTGTTTGCTGAATATGTCAAACTACATAATCAATAATCCATGATAACACTCTTTTTTTTTTTGTCAAGGAAAATTGATTCAGAACAAAAATTAAATGAATTCACAGTAATTGAAATAAAGTTGTATCAAGTATTTTAATTTTTTTCTAATTTTGTATCAAAGTGAAAGTATCTATTTTACTCAGTGTTATGCAGTAAATTTGAATAAAACATTCTTTAAAGGTTAACAATCTTAACTAAATATTCTACAAAATGATTACATCAGATATAAAATCTTCCTTTTATTTTAGTTGTCAACCACATTAATGCAATAATGGTAAATTAAAATGGTTCCATTGATCTCAGATTTTTTTAAGAGATTTTTAATAGAGAGATTTTTTTTATTTTGACGAAGCTGTTTACCTGCTGATAGTTTTTAACACACACATATGCAAAATTTTACATAATTTAATTATTTCTGTATATCACTTTTGTACATCACTTATATGATTTTGTTTTTTTAAGAATAGACATTTTTGTCCATGTCTTGTGTAACTCAAGTACCTTTGAGTGATAATTGTTATCGTAACTTATATCCTGTATGTGTGATGTTAAATTTGTTGAAGTAACATTCTGTGTAAAATACTGGATATTTTTATTTGATAAAACTATTTCTCTAACATAAGTTTCCACCATGTGTAGATACTATAGGGATGATTGCGGTTAATTTTTTTTTTAAATCTGATGAACTGACAATATTTATATTAATAAAATTCTTAAACATTTAATGTTTATAAAATTATTAAAATTGACATCCAATTATTATTTAATGAATTAGTTTTCTAAATGATGTTGGACACTTTCAGCTCTCTATATTGTGTAAATAAGCAATGTTTTGACAATGATTTAATCATTTTTACAGGACAAATAACACGTGCATGTATTGTTAAATAATTTTAAATCTAGACAATACTCAGATTTATTCGCATAATTATTATGAATTGTATTACATATGCTTTCATGTCATAAGGTCTCATTTGTATATGAAACTGTTGAAAAATTGACTGCCAGATTTGATGAGCTTATTTTTTTTTATAAAATAGCCTTAGTTTTTTGGTTTAGTTGACTCCAACATATTTAATTTTTTAGTCACAAGCTGCTACATAAGTCAACCTTGTTTCAACTTCATACTTTATTTGGCCTTTTTAACTTTTCTGATTCAAGCGTCACTGGTAAGTCTTTTGTAGATGAACCTGCCGTACCAAATGTTAAGCCTAGTAAATATGATGAGTTGATTCGTTAGAAGTTGGTTGCCATTATGTGCCATTTTATTATTACTATTGCTGCCAAAGTTAAATCACTACATTAGCTTTTGTTTCATTATCTTGATGCAAAAACCTCCTACCAAGTCTTTCAGATCAAGTTGAATTTCAGTATGATTGTGTTTATTAATAGTTTTTAGGCAGTGAAGCTGCCTTATGCTAGCACCCTAGATTTGTTTTCTTCCCAACGAATGCTGAAAAAAGTGTCATTGTTATAATCTAACAGGCTGATATGTTATTTATAACTAATTGGACATTTTTTTCATACTTTTAATTCTGGAATACAAAAAATATAACCAGAATAACCTTAAATGATCGTCGAACGACCCATAATATTTGAAGTTGCACATAGGAAATAGTGCTCTATAGAAATTCGTACATTGTTTATTATCCCATGTGCTTTTGGCTAAGATGTCAAAGAACAATTGTATGAAATATTTCATCGCCGAAAATCTGTAGCTACAAGTCATTTATATTTCCCAAATGGCAAAATGCGCAGGAATATTGTTCATGTACAGCAAATCTCTATGATAGAGGAAATAAAGTTATATATCTAAGTTGGCGGTAATTTTACAACTTATCTTGCCAAATAAGGTTGTTGTTTTATGAATGAAACGAGCTCATGAACCAGATCTGGAAATCAATGTCGATGGGATGTTTTATGAAATGTGGAATACTCGTCCCCGAGACAAGTCGGACCGAATCCACTCAAACCGTCAAAGAAGACAACTCGGACCGCTTGTCAGATTTACTTAGGGTTTCATACAATGTTAGACTAACATGTCTAGCGGAGCCATCAATCTTTTGTTTGTGCATTGGGGTCTATTTAGGGGTATTTTGAGGGGCCTAAAGAAGGGATGGGTTTACTGTAGAACCCTATGGGGTTTTATTTTTTAAATTTTCAAATGACTATTTCTCGAAAACAGTAAGTGATAGACACACACGGTCTTCAGTAACGAGTAAAGGACAATAAAACAAATCAAATAAAGTATAGGGTGAGTCCCTGGGGGTCATTCCAACCCCCTTCAATTTGAAAATGTGCTTTTATCTTGTAAACGGTTGCAATCCCCACCCCTAAACCATATATATAAATACTTGTATGGGACAATAAAACAAATCAAATGAAAATAATTTGGGGGAGTACCCAGTGTCACCCACCCCCTTCTGTTTGAGAACTTGTAAACGGTCGAGATCCCCACCCCTAAACCATATATATTCATGTATGGGACAATATAACAAATCAAATGAAATATATTTGGAGTCCCTGGCGTCACCCCACCCCCTCCTGTTTGAGAACTTGGAAATGGTCGAGATCCCCACCCCTAAACCATATATATTTATAAATGGGACAATAAAACAAATCAAATGAAATATAGGGGAGTCCCTGGGGTCACCCCACCCCTACTGTTTGAGAACTTGTAAACGGTCAAGATCCCCACCCCTAAACCATATTTATTCATGTATGGGACAATAAAACAAATATAATGAAATATAGGGGAGTCCCTGGGGTCACCCCACCCCCTCCTGTTTGAGAACTTGTAAACAGTCGAGATCCCCACCCCTAAACCGTATATATTCATGTATGGGACAATTTAACTAATCAAATGAAATATATGGGGAGTCACTGGGGTCACCCCACATCCTCCTGTTTGAGAACTTGGAAATGGTTGAGATCCCTACCCCTAACCCATATATATTCATGTATGGGACAATAAAACAAATCAAATGAAATTTTGGGGGAGTCCCTGGGGTCACCCCACCACTCCTGTTTGAGAACTTGGAAATGGTCGAGATCCCCACCCCTAAACCATATATATTGATGTATGGGACAATATAACAAATCAAATGAAACATATGGGGAGTCCCTGGGGTCACCTCACCCCTACTGTTTGAGAACTTGGAAATGGTCGAGATCCTCACCCCTAAACCATATTTATTTATGTATGGGACAATAAAACAAATCAAATGAAATATATGGTGAGTCCCTGGGGTCATCCCACCCCCTCCTGTTTGAGAACTTGTAAACGGTGGAGATACCCACTCCTAAACCATATTTATTCCTGTTCGTCGTTTCAAAAAAATTTGACTGACATACAGGGTCAATCCCCTAGGCATCACTTTACTAGACCAAACCAATATGTACTGGACTTTGCCCAATGTCAGGCGACCATGGGAATGACGAATTATGGGAGCTTTGTTTGGGAGACGGCCTCCTGTTACAATTATTTCTTGTTTATTATAAAATTTTATTGATGCAAACAATGAGTCTAGGTTAATTGAATTTACACTAATTATTTTATTGAATTATATATATATATAATAATAATAATTTTTTTATGGCTCATTTTAAAGGAAACATATAAATCTTTCAAGCAGTGTAAAGCCCAAGAATGTTTGACCAACTGTTTTATAATCACCTGTCATTTTATTCCAAACTTGGTACGGAGTGACATCATGGATTTGGGGTGAAGATGGGGGGTCATTTACATTGATATATATGCGTTGCTTTTGAAAACCTTGATGAAATATTAATTAATTTGCCTTAATAATAAATTCATTAGATAAACATAAATGTACAATATACGAATGTTTAATGTTTGTTCTTTCAAATCTTAAAAAAAAACTGAAGCAACACTGCCACAGTTTATATATTACGTTTGCCTTGGTTTTTGGTTAACTGCATACAGTGCTTACAGTGCTTTGATTTTCTTAAAGTTTTAGCCTGTCTCTTTTAACATAACTCTATAGATAAGATATGTTAATTATCACTTCATTTTCGAACTCTAAAAAATTCTTTGTTCATCCTGAAAATAAATGAAATATTTGCCACTGGATCAAACAATAAATCTTTAACTCACGGAAAATATGAAAAAAATTTATTCTAAAAATGACCTTTTGAAAAAAAAAAAAAAAAAAATATCTTTCATATTGACTCGTCTCACTTTTGGATGAGTTATTGGTTAAAACCTAAAATGTATTCATTTTCTGTTCGTTCATGATTTTTATAATATTTTTTACTTTAGCAATTGTCTCACTTGTGAGTGTAATAATTTTAAAGTTGGAGTCTCCACTTTTCTATTCAAATCAGACAAATCTTAGTATAGTGCAGCCCTTTAGTATGATATTTGACAAATGAGATAACTTGTATGAGTGTTGATTGTTTTACAAATGCTCTTGTTTCTATATAACTAGTCATATTTGTTTGGATTGTGATTTGTTTTCTTTGTTTGTTACATGTTATTTTATTTATATATATAAGCAATGATATTAGCCAGTATTTTATATAAGCTTTATTGATTTTATTTTTGGTATATTTATTTACAATAAAATGGTTTGCTCAATGCTTCAGACTTTTTATTAAGGTTATCAGCCACTTTCTGGAAAAAATTGATGGATAAATAATCTCTAAACCAATTTTTCAGCAGTACTATTTCAATTCTGTTAACTACATCTGCTCACATGGAACTGGAGTGATTCTCAGTAAGTCACTTGATATAAAGATAATAAAAGAACAGAGTTCCAATGTCCTCGTGTTGCACATATTTTATCTGTCCAAGGGCAATAACTAAAAAAAACTTTTTTTAAACATCTTTGAGAAATGAAGACTTTGAGAGCAAATGCAGTGCCATTTCCGATATAATCAATATTTCCAATGGGCACCAATTTTCGAAATGGTCCAAGACATTGCTGATATAAATTTGATAAAAACGTGGCAAAAATTGTACACATGAGAGGTCTTACAAGGCAAATTTCAATATAACTAATATTTCAAAGGGGCATAACTCTTTAAAAACTTTTGATCGGCACTGATTTTCGAACTTGTCTGAGACAACGCTGATATAAACCTATGATATAAGTTTTATAAAAATCCGGCAAGAGATTGCTAATAATACGGGACAGACGCCCGGTTTTTCTTATGTCCCCCGCAACACTTTGCACAGGGGACATTTAAGATGTGGTATGATTGCCAATGAGACACTTATCGCACCAGAGTTCTATTGACAAAGATGTAAGCAATTGAAGGTCACTGTACTGCCTTCAACAATGAGAAAATCCCATGTCATATAGTCAGTTATTAAAGGCCCCAACAATAATAATGTTAAACAGCTCAAACAAGAAAACTCACAGTCTTATTTATAACTATAAAACAATTAACGAAAAACAAATATGACCAACACAGACCAACAACAATCACTGATAAAAATGAGAATGGAAATGGGGAATGTTTCAAAGAGACAACAACCCGACCAAAGAGCAGAAAACAGCCCAATGCCACCAATGGGTCTTCAACACAGCAAAAAAATCACACACCCGGAGGCCGGCTTCAGCTGAATTTATAAAGGCTCCAAATCATGGTGTTTTCACCTAAGTACTATTGATTTCAATACCCAGCAATCTTTTTCTTATTTTCAATTGATCAGGTTTTAAAAAGAAAGCACTATATACTGTAAATTCAGAAATTATTGCAAGGTTTTTATTAATGCGAATAATGCGACTGAATGAGTATCTCAATAATAAAAACTTGCATTCTGATATCTGATACATACAACTGTATGCAGATTTTCCTGAAATAGCATTAATTAATCCTGTATTTTAGTCCATTCTTCAAAATTCGCAATAATAAATGCACACATTAATTTCTGAATTTACAGTACAATATAATTCTACTGTGTCCAAATATGTTTTCTGAATTTTACTTCATGAGGAATGCTCAAATCCAAAAAAAATCAAAGCCTTTGATATATTGATACTTGAAGAGCTATATCAATCTTGGGTCAACTTTGAATAAACCTTAGTTTCTTAATGATTTCTTTCACTGGTTTCTACTAATTGCACCTTGTAGTCAACACATACAGTTTTACTCCGACTATCATTACAAAAGGAGAGGGGTTTACTGGTTTCTGTTTGTGATCTGAGTGTCCTGTCATTCTTTTGCCTGTCCCATACAAATTTGTTTTTAAGCTTAGTGTGAACATGTTATACTGTTTGAAGATCTTTCAAATTCATAGCTCATTAATTTTCTGTTTTCTGAATACTTATAATATATATTGTCATCAAATCAAAGTGTTAAGTTTGTAAGAAATTTATTAACTATTTTTAGAAGAGCCACAGTAATGTCGTTAACATTTGGTGTGCATATTAAAATAATAGGCACACTTACAATTGAACTTTTAAGTGCACTGTCTAAGTGACAAATTATTTATCATTATTCATATTAAAGTTAATTCACCAGTAGAAGGTCAAAGGAACGGTGAAAGTAATATCTAAATTAGTTGTCATGAAACCTGTTCAGATTGTTGTTTAATATTTTCTAGAGCTACAACATTTATCCAACAACTGTGACTACTTTAAAATTGAGACTGGAAATGGAGACAACAACCCGACCAAAGGGCAGAAAACAGCCCAAGGCTACCAATGGGTCTTCAACACAGCGAGAAATATCCCCTTCCTAGTCAACTTCCTACTGTCCACATTAATTACCTACTGTCCACATTAATTACCTACTGTCCACATTAATTACATGTTTTATTTCTTTCCATGTTTATGTTAGTGTTGACCCTCACCTATTTTAGTGTGTGTTTTACTATAGATAAGCAAAGGGCAAGTTTATTTTGTGCCTGTACCAAGTCAGGCCATACATTTTTCATTGTCTGTATTATTATGGTTTTTTTTCAGAGGAGTCGGTGTTGGTAGACAGGTGGAAGGACCTTTTTCAGGAATTCTGGATTGGGACTTTATTTTTGCCAATTCTGGATTTACACTTATCAAGAATCAGAAATTAATGATTTATTTTCAGGATCAGAGAAAGAATGCTTCATTTTTCAGCTGTTTTTTTTTCCTGTGAATTCAAGATGACACCCCTCCTCTTGGTACTTGGCCTGGTCTGTTGAACTACAATATTGTTTTGTAATTCCTGATATCTTATACATGTTTTCAGATAACAGAACTAATAAATGAATCAACAGTTTTCCAATTAAATCCATGAAAAGCAGTGTCCCATAAATAATAATGAGTCTATAGTTTATCATTAGTTTTCATTGAAAAGGAAGTTGCATTCAAAAGACATTTTAAAGTTATTTCCATATTTTTATAAAAAAATATCTTTTAATTTTTACTGTAAAGAGAGCAATCCTCCCTTCCTAATCCTCTCTTCCTTCTGAAGCTGCAATACATTTATATTGCACATAACAATGGTAGTTCCATGTCAGAGTAAAATTTCATGATGGAATGTTCCATGTGTTGTTGCTATGGTAACTACTATGAGTAGATATTCCTTGTTACTATGGATTTCTTTACAATATTAGAGAAAGTTTGTCTGACTATGCTGTGTAGTTCCTCAAATTGTAAAGAGAGTTCAGGAGAAAGTAAACTATATCTTGATTTCTTTTTGCTGGGTTCAAAGTTCAAATCTGTCTGTTCTGTTGCTATGATATTACTGTTACATGATAACTGAGAAACACAGACTCTACCAAGTTGTAATAATAGGGAAGTCACATCCTCAAACAATGGTGGGAAAGCCTGACACACCTTTACCAAATATGGAACGGTCTCAAGGAAAAACTCCAATTTGTCACCAGCTCCCAACACTGCAAAGAAATTAATAAAATTTGTTAAATTCACTACATAAATTCAACTGAACAATCATAAAGTATGCACCAAAAGCTGGATGTGATTGATTGACCGATGGCTCAACACCAAATATAACATGCATATTTAGGATGTTGATACTAATGAGAGTCTGGCTTGTAGAAAAGGTAACATTCTGGTCATTAAAGAATTTGGATTTCATTCAGGGTATAAGACACTTGTTTATTGCTGGTGATTATATAATGATCGCTGTACATCTTTAGGTTTTTTCTTTTTTTTTTTTCTTTTTATTATTTTCAAGAATTACAACAAATACAACACATCAAACATACATACAGTAATATTAGCAATACATTTGAATATCTATTTATTTATAACAATAAACATTGTTGAAAATTCAGTTTTATATTTATATGAAAAGAGAACATAAATACGGAAGAAAAGATAATTTGAGTTAAATTTTTAGTTTTAGGTTTTTTCTAGCTGGATTGTTGTCTCGTTGGCAATTACCCTCCACCACTTTTGATTCATAATCGAAATGGTAGTAAAAACATAAACAGTACCAATTTTTCTGCACCAGATGCGCATTTGGACAATAAATGTCTCTTCAGTGATGCTTGAGGCCAAATGGTAGTAAATGTAGATTTGCTATTATCTTTATTGAAGTCATTTTATATTTTCAAATTTACAGATTTTATTCAGGTAAGCATAGGTTACATTTCTCATTTCCACAGAACCCTATGTTGCACATGCGATTTCTGTTGTAAGTGTAAATGGGTAATGTTGATTGCCAAAAACTAAATCTATTTATTAGTAAAGTACGGAAATTTTCTTTTCTTCAGCTGCTATTAAGACAGAATATAGAACTGTATGTTTTTCTTCAGATGCTATTGTAACAGAATATAGAACTGTATGTTTTTCTTCAGATGCTATTATGACATAATGTAGAATTGTATGTTTTACTTCAGATGCCTTCATGACAGAATGTAGAATTGCTATGTTTTTCTTCAGATGCTATAACAGAATATAGAATCGCTATGTTTTTCTTTAGATGCTATTACAACAGAATGTAGAATCGCTGTGTCTCACTTCCACAACAAAATGCTGCAGGCTAGACAAAAACATTAATAGGACGATGTCATATTGGTTCATACTTACCATTAACCATTGTAAACATCACATTTACAGCTAGCTTGGCAATATTTAGAGATTTAGGCAAAGCATATTGGCAACATAAATGGGCCATCATCTTAATGGCAAATATCTGCAAAATAAAGAGAAATCTTAGCAAAAATACCTCATTATCTTCAAATCATATAATTCCAAAAAATAAAGATCAAGTAAAAGAAATAAGTAGTATCATATAAAATTCTATTTAGCAGCATATCAACAGACATACATTGTACATCTTTGCAGCATATCAACAGACATACATTGTACATCTTTGCAGCATATCAACAGACATACATTGTACATCTTTGCAGCATATCAACAGACATACATTGTACATCTTTGCAGCATATCAACAGACATACATTGTACATCTTTGCAGCATATCAACAGATATACATTGTACATCTAAATGTGAAAAATCTGAAATTCCAAATACTTTGTTTAGGGCATTGCACAAGATCTTGTCTTTCTGTACTGTTTATGGCACTGCTGTATGAAAGCCTCTATGGATGTTGGATGGCATGATTTCATATCAGGAGATTAAGCACTTTTAGATAGCTTTCTTAAATTGCAAATATTCTTGTATATGGTATTGTTAATAGTTGTTTTCTTTGTACTGTGTTGTGTTATGTTTTAATTATACAGAGACGTACAAAAAGTATTCGGTCACAATGGCTGCGTGTTTATGTTCTTACATGTTTATGTTCTTACAGCTGACTCAATTTTAAATGGCCTTATCCTTTGTCATTCACTGATGATTAAAGTATTTATCTTTAGCGTTGGGCATCACATGGTCTACCCTCATGTTACGTTTGATGTTGTCTGCTATTTTAGTATCGTTGGAACAAGTTAAATAACAAGATGGGTAGAAAAGGTCAGGAAGTTTCAACGGGTGTCAAAAACATCATATTAGAATTGTTCCAGAATGTCAGAGTATTTTTTGTCGAAAATTGGTGACATACTTAAAATCCCCAAGTCAACAGTTATTGACATAGTTTATAAATTTTCTCAGATGAGAGTAAAATTATGATTTGACATGATCAACGTGTGTACGTATGTTGAAAAAAGGCCAGGGGTGGAGATTGGACTTTGTTCAATTTTACAAACAAGATTTTGGGGTAGAGATTAATATTGATTCTGTTTAATATCAAGAAATATTCGATGAACATTTGGGGCCAGTAACCTGCTCGACATTTTCGTGGAGGGGATTATTTTTTCAAAGATGACAACACCCCTGTCCATCATGCAGAGTCCAGCGGAGATTTTGTAGCCTGGAACGGAACAGAATTAACAGTATGACCTTGCCTGCCCAGTCTTAAGAGCTTAATGTGATTGAAAACGTAAGGCTATTTACCAAAAGAAAACTTCAAACATGTACTAGGATGTATACATAATACTAAGAATACCAATTTTGGCAAAGGTAAAGCATGAATTTAAAGATTCAATGAAGTTTAAATTTTCTATAGGCTTGTATGCAGACTTTGGCAAAACCATGAAATTAAATATCAACGAGAACATAATTTTTCCTTAATCCATGAAAATTGTTATTCATGAAAATAAATGAATCCACTGTAAATTTCTTCAAAGGGCATAGAGATATGAACATTTAAGTACCTGTTTATTCATCTGAGGTTGACTCAGTAGCTCTGGTACAAAGTCTAAACAGATATGCATGGAAGGAATCCCTGGTACAGTTATATTTAGTAATTCTTCTGGATAACCCTATTTCAAAAATAAACAAATGGTCATATAGAATGAAAGTTATCATATATATGAATCTTTTAAGAGATAAACTGTTTTTTTCAATCAGAAATAAAATCCTCTTTCAGCTAAGTTCTTTTTTATACTCTCTTAAATGCATCATAACAAATATTAGATTATTGAAGATTACTTAATATTTAAAAAAAAAAAAGAACTCAAATAGTAAGAGTGACCTATTTTTGTTGAAGCCTTCTATACTCCTCAAATTGCAACCTTACTTGAAGTTATATGATTATAAGTCACTTCTTTTAATCTTTGAAAACTGAATCCCTGTGTAAAATTAAATCAAAGTCAATAAAGCTTAAAATATAGCTCAGAGTGCAGGATGATATACTATGAAAAACCAAGTTATAAGATTGTTTGTCACTTAGTATCAAAGATCACACAAATGGCTGTGGTACACCAATTGTGTCTCTTAACTTCCTCAAGGAAAACTTACTACATTTGAATTTTGAAAATATCAAATAAATTACCAAAACAAACTTCATCTGACTTTTATCAACCTATATTAACGGTAAGTCTTACTGTAAATTCTAAAATTATTGCGAGGTTTTTATTAATGCGAATAATGCGACTGGGTGAGTATTGCAATAATAAGAACTCACATTCTGATAACTGAATCATAGATCTGTATGCAGATTTTTTTGAAATTGCTTTTATTTAACTCGCATTTTTTTGTCCATTCTTGAAAAATTGCAATAATAAATGCATGCAATAATTTCTGAATTTACAGTATTACAAATTTTACCTGGAAATGTACAAGTTTAGCAAGATGTGGATCAGAAATAAATATTTTATGGATGAATGAGCATGTAACACATTGAATTTCTCTTCTGTTGTGAAGTAGACCTTCTTCCTCCTAAAATAAAAATAGTACAAATTATCACAGATGTCTTCATGAAATCAGTTGATTTCTAGAGTTTCATATCATTTTATATATTAAAACAATTTTTTGGCAGAAGGCAAATAATGTAATGTTTTTATACAAAACACACAAAAAAATTTCTGCTTCAAGTACAATTTCAGCTTGTTAATTCAGATAATTTATAATAAAAACTTATTTCAGGTTCGAGTCCCATAAGGAAAATGTGTAATTTTATGTATATCTTTCAAATTAGCACAAAAATGTGGTTTTTGAAGGATACACGTTGAATATAAATAAATGACATAAAAATCTCATCATCTTTTGGCAGACAATATTGTCAAATCCACCTGTTGGTTGATCCTTACAGAGAATTGATGTTAAATTTCAATATTGTCAAAGGCCTAGAATATGGATTTTTGATGATATTCAATACCTCATCTTCCTTTGGTAGACAACATTCTAAGAGTATTTGTACAACAGCACTATCTTGGGCCATGATCAGTGCATTTTTGAGATCCCTTCTCTCCTGGTCATTCTGACTGGCATGGTCAAGGATTGGGTTGACCAGAGTGTGGTTATGTAGATAGACCTTAGAAGCCTGCATGTACGCTGACAGAATACACAGGACAATCTCCAATATTGGTGGACATCTGGATTGAAAACAAACAATTACCTTAATTTTAGTCTTTAAAAGAATCCACTTAGTTTCATATTTCTTTAAAACTAGTTGATCTCTTTTTAGAAGCCTTTTTACTTTACATTCAATGTAATTATAATTCTTACCATGATGAATTCTTTTAAGAAAATGTTTAATTTTTGTTTATTTGCAAAAATATGCAAATTATATGCAAATGAGCTATACCCTGCTGCTGATGCATATTGATTCCATTTAATCTAATATAGATTTAAAATCAGATTCTGAGTTACATAATCTTAACATGAAATTCAAATTTTGCTATGCATTTTAAAAAAAGTCCCTGCATGAAAATAATAAAATATCATAAAAGTGTCTTCTTAAGGCCACCAAATTTATTGAGATGTTAAAACTTGAGGTGATTTTGTGGAAATTTTCATTTTTTCATATTCATGTATATCAAACATAAGCAAACAGACCTATCTCTATTTCACCTAACTTTTTACATTTTCGTCACTGAATGAAATTCTGTTGTTTCAAACTTCAGCAGAATTTTTTTTATGGTAATGATTGAAAAGGAAGCAAGTACACCTCAACAAGAGGCAAACCTTTCATATATAACAGCCACTTTTGAATGATTATTGGGTCCAATATAAGAAGATAAATAGACTCTAATAACTGTTTGCGAAAAAAAAATTGTACTAACCTGTATACCCTGTTATCACACCTGAGTATAATTAGTGGGTCTATAGTCACATCATTTTCTGTATACTGTGTAATGACTGCTCCCCTTTTATTACTTTCTCTTAACGCATTTACTGTAGCCAGTCGAATACTGAAAGTAAACAATTCCTTTCCATTTATAAAGCTGTAATTTTTTTTTACCTCCAAGCAATTATAATATCAAAATTATTAAATCTTAAACATGTTATTTTCCCTCAGTCCTTTGGGACCTCAGGGATACAACCTTTTCTCAAGGCCATGATTATTTTGTTATAAATAATTGTTTATAAGAAATAAATAATAACAAGAATGCAAGGGTTGTTGTGATAAGCATATTCAAAAATTTTAATGAATGGAAAACAGGCAGTAGATGTCAGATATACCCATAAAGCATGCACATGTTACAACTCATCTATTGAGCTGCAGACCAAATATGACGTCATTCTGTTCAGTGGATTTGGAGAAATTTATGACAAAAAAATTGAATTCTGTCAACATATTGAAAATTCAAAGTAAAGGCATACAGGAAGAAGGTATCTGACAGATCTAAAAGTGTTCACATGTTACAACTTATCACTGTCAAGTCACTCATCAAATATGAATTTGCAATATAGAGAAGGGGTATAATATGCCACCTCCCCCAAAAAAGACTGTCCCCAAAAATTGCCTAAAGAACAAGTCAACAGCTAGCACACTTTTATAGGCTCTTCTATGAGAAATTTAGACCTTGACATTTTGTACCAACTCCGGTCTATTGTTAAAGACCAGATGTTTACCTGTAGTTGTTTTTCAGCTTTTTGTGTTGTTGTCTCATTTACGCTTATCCAACTATATCTATTATTCTTACCTTCTAGGGGAAATAGAATGTAGTTTGATCCAGACCTTCCTGACAAGGTCTACAACTTTCCTGGGAATTCTTGTGTCTAAAATTAGTATCAAACAACCAAGGAACTTGTCTGAGAACTGTAATATGGTATCTACTGGCATCCTTAATAACGTCTGTAAGGCTACAATCATTTCTGATGTTCTCATGGGTAAACCATCTATAGCTAAAAATACATCAAAATGAAAAAATGATGTACAGGTAACTAAACCGTCCATAGCTCTAAAAACAAATCCTTAAAATGTTAACAGCTTTGTGTCTGTTCTTTTTTGTGTTGTTGGATTGCTGCCTCATTTAATCAAATTAAAATCATCTTTTAATCGTAGAAAAGACACAAAAACAAAGAGTATTCATCATACCTGATTTACTGGTATGAAGACTGTCTATATGATAAAAATTTCTTAAACATTTTTGTACATGTATACTGGGAATTACAACTAGAGGCTCTAAAGAGCTTGTGTCACTCACCTTGGTCTATATGCATATTCAACAAAGGACACTCTCCAACATTGTAGACAAGAATAGAAATGATGACAAAAATATCTGTTTTGTTTATTTTGTATTGCTGATGATTTAGTCTCTTTAGTTTCTCTCTATTTTCTTTAGTTTTTGCTCAAAACACAAAAGAGGATAAAAAAAAATCCTAACTTAAGGGCAATCACTCCTTTAAAGAATGACAGTCTACTAACTATATCGGCAAAATTTTACTTGTTAGTAGATCTTGTCTTGCTGATCATTTTTGCTTATTTAAGTTTCTATCTATCTATTATAATTTTTACCATATAAGGCAAAATGCCAAAAAAAAAAGGGAAAAATCGTCATTAAGGGACAATAACTTCAATAAAGGAGTCTTTGGACAATTTCCTCCAAAATTAATGTCTTGATTGTAGATCTTGTCTTGCTGATCATTTTTGCTTATTTAAGTTTCTATCTATAAATAAATAAATAAATAAATAAATAAATAATCTTTATTTCAAGAGGATAATCCCATTAGTTAAAACTAATCTTCCTGAGAGTCCTCAAAATAATAATACCGTATTTTGCGGATTAAAAAGCGCACCCCTAAATAAGGCGCACGGCCGTTTTTGGGGGTGAGGATTGTTTTTTTCCTTACATAAAACGCACCTGCATATAAAGCGCACCCTGAAGAAAACGTACATGCATTCTACTGACCTTAGCGTAATGAATGTTCACTCCTTCTTGTAACTCACTCCGTAACATGTTTCATTTTTATTTTCAGATTGTTGAGAAAGTTGAAAGACATTTTGTATATATTTATTTGTTTCATATTAAAATAAATAAATGTTAATAAAATTATTATAATTTTCTTATTGTTTTAATCATGCCAGATTCATTAGTTGTTTTTTGTCAACAATGGCCATGTGTTGACAGCTTGGGTGTCCATTGAACCTTGTTGTTTTGATTAAAATTAGTTCGGTGTTGATTGCTTATTTATTGTTTGAATTGGAATCAAGGATTTTAATTAATCTTGAAAAGGTATTCATTAAAAGTTACCCAAGCCATAAAACTGCCATTGTTTACCTTGATTATGACCTACTTAATTACCTGTACCCACGTGTGAAAACTGTTCACCCATAAGTCAGGAAAAAAATTATTAAATTAAATCTAAAGAATTTTATTGTTGTTTATAAAATAAAAGTTTAAGTTTTATAAGTAACAAACATTTTTCAATTTAAACTTGGTTGAAAACTGCAAAAAAACCATTCAGTTTCTGCAAGTCATTGTCTATTTTTAACTGAAAGTGAGATGGGCCACGGAAAGGGGAATTCAAATAAGACGGCGATATATAAATGTCTTATCATATTGAATTATGAAAATTAATATTCATTTTTTTTATTTCTTACACCAATATGTGGCTACAATATTTCATAAAGATATTCATTTTGAAACAATAAAACAACAAGCAGTTACTCCTCAATAGTATATCCTGTATGGTACCTCTTTTCAAACACGCTTATCTTTCTTTGTTTATGAAACACTTTAAAGGGTTCATTTCAGCACATGGTTATCACCATCGTCATTAAAAGAGACTTGAAATATTGGAAAGAAACACAATCACTTCCTTTATTATTTCTAAAGAAGATTTTATTTAAAAACACATTACAACAACAAACAATTACATATTTATTGTAAATACACAATTAATATCCTGTATGGTACCTCTTTCAAACACGGTTATCTTTCTTTGTTTATGTAATAAACACATGGTTATCAACTCCGTAAGCCAACAATGAAATAAAGAACAAATGATAAAGTATATATATTTTTATTCATAACAAAATATGCCACATGAACAATTTATCAAGTCACTGCAAGCACTTGACAATCTGACGGTCTCCATAAAAAAAAATACAGATATATATTTTTTTTCACGCTTGCCCTGAAACTGAAAAAAATACATACATAAAGCGCACCTGAGTATAACACGCAGGGACAATGACAGAGAAAAAAACCTGCGGCTTATTTAACGAATTTAACGGTAACATATTTATAAGTACATACAATATTATAATGATATATTATACACAATATACAATTGTATCTAGATAATAATGAAAAAGCATATTAATTTGCACAATTGATGAAAAATTTGTAACATTTTGTTTTAAAAGATACAAGTGTATTACTCATTTTTATTTCTATTATATCTATTATAGTTTTTAAGATATAAGGCAAAAACGCATAAATTTGGTAAAAATCGTCATCAAAGGGCAATTACTCTAATAAGGAGTCAACTGACGGTTTCAACATTTAGACTTATTTGTTGAACTTGTCTTGCTGATCATTTTTATTATTTAAAGTTTCTCTCTATCTATTATAGTTTTCAAGATAATAGGCAAAAATGAAAAAAAATGGTAAAATTTAAGGGCAATAACTCTTCCTATAAGAAGTCGTCTGACAGTTTTGACATAAATACATGATATATGGACAATTGGTAGAGCTCATCATTCTGAACATTTCTGCTGTCAGATATTCTCGATTTATAACGGTTTTCAAAATAATAGACAAAACTTGCATTTTACCCCTATGTTCTATTTTTAGCCATCTTGGTTGGCAGGCGGGGTCATCAGACTCATTTTTTAAAATAGATACCCCAATGATGATTGAGGCCAAGTCGGTTGAATTAGGCCCAGTAGTTTCAGAGAAGATTTTTGTAAAAGTTAACAGACAACGGTGATTGTTGTCTTTAGAGTGAGGGGTGATATTTCCTGTTATATTGACTGTATTGTTATTACCTAGCTGAAACTGTCCCAGGGTGATAGATGTCTTTGAATAGTGAGGGGTGATATTTCCTGTTAATTATTACCTTGTTGGAACTGTACCAGGGTGATATATATATTGACTGTGATACTGACTGTATTGTTATTACCTTATTGAAACTGTACCAGGGTGATAGTTGTCTTGGTGAGGGGTGATATTTCCTGTGATATTGACTAAAGTTATTACCTTGTTGAAACTGTTCCAGGGTGATAGTTATCTTAGTGAGGGGTGATATTTCCTGTGATATTGACTGTATTGTCAAGCTCTCTTCTAACCAATCTTCAATAGTACATAGATGTGGATAATGTGTGACCAGTAATCTACAAAAATATAGATGTACCTATGTCAATTCAGACAGTATTTCCAAGGGCGTAGAGGTTGTAATACACAGTTAGACTAGTACAAGAGCCCAATAATACAGCTGGAAACGACTTGAAAATTAGATAAGTCTCAAAAGATAATGTCAGGACACCAAATGAGGCACTTTAACAAATGGACATCCATTATACATCATACATTATTTAAAAGAACTATGGAAATTCATCAGCAAGCATCACATTTTTCCCACAGTCAGATCTTATGTAAAGCTTGGACACACGATCTGTAATCTAATCAGATTGATTTTACCCATGTCAATACGCCAATCAGAAACCTAATGCATATTTGATAATATTTTCAAAAGCGTACACTAAAATATTGTGATTGGGCAACAATGTATTAACCTATTGAAATTTAAACAAATGATTATGAGTTTATCTTGGCACAATCAATGAAATTACCCATAGTCCTTTAGATTGGGAAATGATATATAAGTACATATAAATTTTACATGCCTAAACTACTGTAAATTTAGAAATTAGTGAATGCATTTACTATTGCGATTGTTTGATATTCGACACAAATGTGAGTTTCCCTATTCCCTATTGCGATTGTTTGATATTCGACACAAATGTTTCACCATTGAGATTGTTTGATATTTGACACAAATGTTTCACTATTGCGATTGTTTGATATTCGACACAAATGTGAGTTTCACTATTGCGATTGTTTGATATTCGACACAAATGTGAGTTTCACTATTGCGATTGTTTGATTTAACACAAATGTGAGTTTCACTATTGCGATTGTTTGATATTCGACACAAATGTTTCACTATTGCGATTGTTTGATATTCGACACAAATGTGAGTTTCACTATTGTGATTGTTTGGTATTCGACATAAATGTGAGTTTCACTATTGCGATTATTTGGTATTCAACACAAATGTGAGTTTCACTATTGCGATTGTTTGGTATTCAACACAAATGTGAGTTTTACTATTGCGATTGTTTGATATTCGACACAAATGTGAGTTTCATTATTGCGATTGTTTGGTATTCGACACAAATGTGAGTTTCACTATTGCGATTGTTTGGTATTCGACACAAATGTGAGTTTCACTATTGCGATTTGCGGAAATGCTGCATACAAATAATGCTATCAAAATCTAGAATGTGAGTATTTATTTTTGTGACACCTATCCTGTCGCAATTTTCACATTAATAAAAACTGAGCAATAATTCATGAATTTACAGTTATGTTGATGTTCCATACACTTACTTTAACAATGAAGGAAATAGTCCTGGATACTGATGCTGATTTTTCTGAGCTTGCTGTAGTAAGAAATTGATAGGAATCTTAGATAGAACTCCATCTGGGTATGTCTTTACTTTTCTGTCTCCTGAAACTGATAAATAAAGAGGTGATATTTAAAACAGACAAAAGTTGACTCAGATATTAATGAAAAAGATAATAAGTACATGTTTACACATATATAATGAAAGAACCTTAGTAAGCGCGCTCACATACCCCACGTCCCCACATTGTCATTGGAGAAATAAAATAAGTGTAAGACAAAAAAATTGTATCAGAAAAAAAAATTGAATCATAATTTCCTATCAATATGCACATCTACATAGTATGTCCTTATTATCTACACAGTTTCATGAAATTCTGTTGTGTGGTTTGAGAGGAGTTGCGATGACGAAAGGTTGCAGTAGTGTATTGGGCAAATAAGTTCAAAGGGGCGTAACTCCTGGAAAAAAAATTGAATTGTAATTTCCTGTCAATATGCACATCTACGTAGTATGTCCTTATTATCTGAAAAGGTTTCATGAAATTCTGTTGTGTGGTTTGAGAGGAGTTGCGATGACAAAAGGTTACAGTAGTATATTGGGCAAATAAGTTCAAAGGGGCGTAACTCCTGGAAAAAAAGTTGAATCGTAATTTCCTGTCGATATGCACATCTACGTAGTATGTCCTTATTATCTACACAGTTTCATGAAATTCTGTTGTGTGGTTTGAGAGGAATTGCGATGACAAAAGGTTGCAGTAGTACATTAAAGTGAATAAGTTCAAAAGGGCAACTCCTGGAAAAAAAATTGAATCGTAATTTCCTGTCGATATGCACATCTACGCAGTATGTCCTTATTATCTGAAAAGGTTTCATGAAATTCTGTTGTGTGGTTTGAGAGGAGTTGCGATGACAAAAGGTTGCAGTAGTATATTGGGCAAATAAGTTCAAAGAGGCGTAACTCCTGGGAAAAAATTGAATCGTAATTTCCTGTCGATATGCACATCTATGTAGTATGTCCTTATTATCTGAAAAGGTTTCATGAAATTCTGTTGTGTGGTTTGAGAGGAGTTGCGATGACAAAAGGTTGCAGTAGTATATTAAAGTAAATAAGTTCAAAGGGGCGTAACTCCTAGAAAAAGAATTGAATCGTAATTTCCTGTCGATATGCACAACTACATAGTATGTCCTTATTATCTAAAAAGGTTTCGTGAAATTCTGTTGTGTGGTTTGAGAGGAGTTGTGATGACAAGAAACAGGACTGAGGGACTGACGGACTGACGGACTGACAGACTGACAGACTGACGGACTGACAGACAGACGGACGGACGGACAGACGGGTCAAAAATATTATACCCTCCGCAACTCGTTGCGTGGGGTATAATAACAACTGATTATAGCAAGAAATTGAATGTCATGCTCAGCATACCTACATTAGTAATTTAAAGTATAAGCAACAAGAGGTAGGTATATGAAAGATCCTAAAAGTACGCACACATTAAAACTCATCACTGTCAGGCTAATGACCAAATATGATGTTAATCAAAAGAAAATTGTGGCAGAAATATTTGTTTGACATACAGACACCTGGACAAACATAAACCTGTTAGTCAGGGCGATTGTGATAGAGTCTCCACAGGGACAAACAAAAAACTGTTGGTCAGGGTGATTGTGATATAGCCTCCACAGGGACAAACAAAAAACTGTTGGTCAGGGTGATTGTGATATAACCTCCACAGGGACAAACAAAAAACTGTTGGTCAGGGTGATTGTGATATAGCCTCCTCAGGGACAAACAAAAACTGTTGGTCAGGGTGATTGTGATATAGCCTCCACAGGGACAAACAAAACACTGTTGGTCAGGGTGATTGTGATATAGCCTCCACAGGGACAAACAAAAAACTGTGGGTCAGGGTGATTGTGATATAGTCTCCACAGGGACAAACAAAAAACTGTTGGTCAGGGTGATTGTGATATAGCCTCCACAGGGACAAACAAAAAACTGTTGGTCAGGGTGATTGTGATATAGTCTCCACAGGAACAAACAAAAAACTGTTGGTCAGGGTGATTGTGATATAGCCTCCACAGAGACAAATAAAAAGCTGTTGGTCAGGGTGATTGTGATACAGCCTCCACAGGGACAAACAAAAAACTGTTGGTCAGGGTGATTGTGATATAGCCTCCACAGGGACAAACAAAAAACTGTTGGTCAGGGTGATTGTGATACAGCCTCCATAGGGACAAACAAAAAACTGTTGGTCAGGGTGATTGAGATACAGCCTCCACAGGGACAAACAAAAAACTGTTGGTCAGGGTGATTGTGATATAGCCTCCACAGGGACAAACAAAAACCTGTTGGTCAGGGTGATTGTGATATAGCCTCCACAGGGACAAACAGAAACCTGTTGGTCAGGGTGATTGTGATATAGCCTCCACCATGACAAACAAAAACCTGTTGGTCAGGGTGATTGTGATATAGCCTCCACAGGGACAACAAAAACCTGTTGGTTAGAGTGACTGTGATAGAGCCTCCACAGGGACAAACAAAAAACTGTTGGTCAGGGTGATTGTGATATATCCTCCACAGGGACAAACAAAAAACTGTTGGTCAGGGTAATTGTGATATAGTCTCCACAGGGACAAACAAAAAACTGTTGGTCAGGGTGATTGTGATATAGCCTCCACAGGACAAAAACCTGTTGGTCAGGGTGATTGTGATAGAGCCTCCACAGGGACAAACAAAAAACTGTTGGTCAGGGTGATTGTGATAGAGTCTCCACAGGAACAAACAAATACTGTTGGTCAGAGTGATTGTGATATAACCTCCACAGGGACAAACAAAAAACTGTTGGTCAGGGTGATTGTGATATAACCTCCACAGGGACAAACAAAAAACTGATGGTCAGGGTGATTGTGATATAGCCTCCACAGGGACAAACAAACACTGTTGGTCAGGGTGATTGTGATATAGCCTCCACAGGGACAAACAAAAAACTGTGGGTCAGGGTGATTGTGATATAGCCTCCACAGGGACAAACAAAAAACTGTGGGTCAGGGTGATTGTGATATAGTCTCCACAGGGACAAATAAAAAACTGTTGGTCAGGGTGATTGTGATATAGCCTCCGTAGGACAAAAACCTGTTGGTCAGGGTGATTGTGATATAGTCTCCACAGGGACAAACAAAAAACTGTTGGTCAGGGTGATTGTGATATAGCCTCCACAGGGACAAATAAAAAACTGTTGGTCAGGGTGATTGTGATATAGCCTCCACAGGACAAAAACCTGTTGGTCAGGGTGATTGTGATATAGTCTCCACAGGGACAAACAAAAAACTGTTGGTCAGGGTGATTGTGATATAGCCTCCACAGGGACAAATACAAAACTGTTGGTCAGGGTGATTGTGATATAGTCTCCACAGGGACAAACAAAAAACTGTTGGTCAGGGTGATTGTGATATAGCCTCCACAGGGACAAACAAAAAACTGTTGGTCAGGGTGATTGTGATATAGCCTCCACAGGGACAAACAAAACACTGTTGGTCAGGGTGATTGTGATACAGCCTCCACAGGAACAAACAAAAAACTGTTGGTCAGGGTGATTGTGATATAGCCTCCATAGGGACAAACAAAAAACTGTTGGTCAGGGTGATTGTGATAGAGCCTCCACAGGGACAAACAAAAACCTGTTGGTCAGGGTGATTGTGATATAGCCTCCATAGGGACAAACAAAAAACTGTTGGTCAGGGTGATTGTGATAGAGCCTCCACAGGGACAAACAAAAACCTGTTGGTCAGGGTGATTGTGATACAGCCTCCATAGGGACGAACAAAAAACTGTTGGTCAGGGTGATTGTGATACAGCCTCCACAGGGAAAAACACAAAACTGTTGGTCAGGGTGATTGTGATAGAGCCTCCACAGGGACAAACAAAAACCTGTTGGTCAGGGTGATTGTGATATAGCCTCCACCAGGACAAAAAGAAACCTGTTGGTCAGGGTGATTGTGATATAGCCTCCACCAGGACAAACAAAAACCTGTTGGTCAGGGTGATTGTGATATAGCCTCCACAGGGACAACAAAAACATGTTGGTCAGAGTGATTGTGATAGAGCCTCTACAGGGACAAACAAAAAACTGTTGGTCAGGGTGATTGTGATATATCCTCCACAGGGACAAACAAAAAACTGTTGGTCAGGGTGATTGTGATATAGTCTCCACAGGGACAAACAAAAAACTGTTGGTCATGGTGATTGTGATTTAGCCTCCACAGGACAAAAACCTGTTGGTCAGGGTGATTGTGATATAGCCTCCACAGGGACAAACAAAATACTGTTGGTCAGGGTGATTGTGATACAGCCTCCACAGGGACAAACAAAAAACTGTTGGTCAGGGTGATTGTGATAGAGCCTCCACAGGGACAAACAAAAACCTGTTGGTCAGGGTGATTGTGATATAGCCTCCACAGGGACAACAAAAACATGTTGGTCAGAGTGATTGTGATAGAGCCTCTACAGGGACAAACAAAAAACTGTTGGTCAGGGTGATTGTGATATATCCTCCACAGGAACAAACAAAAAACTGTTGGTCAGGGTGATTGTGATATAGTCTCCACAGGGACAAACAAAAAACTGTTGGTCATGGTGACTGTGATAGAGCCTCCACAGGGACAAACAAAAAACTGTTGGTCAGGGTGATTGTGATATATCCTCCACAGGGACAAACAAAAAACTGTTGGTCAGGGTAATTGTGATATAGTCTCCACAGGGACAAACAAAAAACTGTTGGTCAGGGTGATTGTGATATAGCCTCCACAGGACAAAAACCTGTTGGTCAGGGTGATTGTGATAGAGCCTCCACAGGGACAAACAAAAAACTGTTGGTCAGGGTGATTGTGATAGAGTCTCCACAGGAACAAACAAATACTGTTGGTCAGAGTGATTGTGATATAACCTCCACAGGGACAAACAAAAAACTGTTGGTCAGGGTGATTGTGATATAACCTCCACAGGGACAAACAAAAAACTGATGGTCAGGGTGATTGTGATATAGCCTCCACAGGGACAAACAAACACTGTTGGTCAGGGTGATTGTGATATAGCCTCCACAGGGACAAACAAAAAACTGTGGGTCAGGGTGATTGTGATATAGCCTCCACAGGGACAAACAAAAAACTGTGGGTCAGGGTGATTGTGATATAGTCTCCACAGGGACAAATAAAAAACTGTTGGTCAGGGTGATTGTGATATAGCCTCCGTAGGACAAAAACCTGTTGGTCAGGGTGATTGTGATATAGTCTCCACAGGGACAAACAAAAAACTGTTGGTCAGGGTGATTGTGATATAGCCTCCACAGGGACAAATAAAAAACTGTTGGTCAGGGTGATTGTGATATAGCCTCCACAGGACAAAAACCTGTTGGTCAGGGTGATTGTGATATAGTCTCCACAGGGACAAACAAAAAACTGTTGGTCAGGGTGATTGTGATATAGCCTCCACAGGGACAAATACAAAACTGTTGGTCAGGGTGATTGTGATATAGTCTCCACAGGGACAAACAAAAAACTGTTGGTCAGGGTGATTGTGATATAGCCTCCACAGGGACAAACAAAAAACTGTTGGTCAGGGTGATTGTGATATAGCCTCCACAGGGACAAACAAAACACTGTTGGTCAGGGTGATTGTGATACAGCCTCCACAGGAACAAACAAAAAACTGTTGGTCAGGGTGATTGTGATAAAGCCTCCATAGGGACAAACAAAAAACTGTTGGTCAGGGTGATTGTGATAGAGCCTCCACAGGGACAAACAAAAACCTGTTGGTCAGGGTGATTGTGATATAGCCTCCATAGGGACAAACAAAAAACTGTTGGTCAGGGTGATTGTGATAGAGCCTCCACAGGGACAAACAAAAACCTGTTGGTCAGGGTGATTGTGATACAGCCTCCATAGGGACGAACAAAAAACTGTTGGTCAGGGTGATTGTGATACAGCCTCCACAGGGAAAAACACAAAACTGTTGGTCAGGGTGATTGTGATAGAGCCTCCACAGGGACAAACAAAAACCTGTTGGTCAGGGTGATTGTGATATAGCCTCCACCAGGACAAAAAGAAACCTGTTGGTCAGGGTGATTGTGATATAGCCTCCACCAGGACAAACAAAAACCTGTTGGTCAGGGTGATTGTGATATAGCCTCCACAGGGACAACAAAAACATGTTGGTCAGAGTGATTGTGATAGAGCCTCTACAGGGACAAACAAAAAACTGTTGGTCAGGGTGATTGTGATATATCCTCCACAGGGACAAACAAAAAACTGTTGGTCAGGGTGATTGTGATATAGTCTCCACAGGGACAAACAAAAAACTGTTGGTCATGGTGATTGTGATTTAGCCTCCACAGGACAAAAACCTGTTGGTCAGGGTGATTGTGATATAGCCTCCACAGGGACAAACAAAATACTGTTGGTCAGGGTGATTGTGATACAGCCTCCACAGGGACAAACAAAAAACTGTTGGTCAGGGTGATTGTGATAGAGCCTCCACAGGGACAAACAAAAACCTGTTGGTCAGGGTGATTGTGATATAGCCTCCACAGGGACAACAAAAACATGTTGGTCAGAGTGATTGTGATAGAGCCTCTACAGGGACAAACAAAAAACTGTTGGTCAGGGTGATTGTGATATATCCTCCACAGGGACAAACAAAAAACTGTTGGTCAGGGTGATTGTGATATAGTCTCCACAGGGACAAACAAAAAACTGTTGGTCATGGTGATTGTGATATAGCCTCCACAGGACAAAAACCTGTTGGTCAGGGTGATTGTGATATAGCCTCCACAGGGACAAACAAAATACTGTTGGTCAGGGTGATTGTGATAGAGCCTCCACAGGGACAAACAAAAAACTGTTGGTCAGGGTGATTGTGATAGAGCCTCCACAGGGACAAACAAAATACTGTTGGTCAGGGTGATTGTGATAGAGCCTCCACAGGGACAAACAAAAAACTGTTGGTCAGGGTGATTGTGATATAGCCTCCACAGGGACAAACAAAAAACTGTTGGTCATGGTGATTGTGATATAGTATCCACAGGGACAAACAAAAAACTGTTGGTCAGGGTGATTGTGATATAGCCTCCACAGGACAAAACCTGTTGGTCAGGGTGATTGTGATATAGCCTCCACAGGGACAAATAAAATACTGTTGGTCAGGGTGATTGTGATACAGCCTCCACAGGGACAAACAAAAAACTGTTGGTCAGGGTGATTGTGATAGAGCCTCCACAGGGACAAACAAAAAACTGTTGGTCAGGTTGATTTCGATACAGCCTCCACAGAAACAAACAAAAAACTGTTGGTCAGGGTGATAGTGATATAGCATCCACCGGAACAAACAAAAACCTGTTGGTCAGGGTGATTGTGATATAGCCTCCACAGGGACAAACAAAAACCTGTTGGTCAGGGTGATTGTGATATAGCCTCCACAGGGACAAACAAAAAACTGTTTGTCAGGTTGATTGTGATATAGCCTCCATAGGGACAAACAAAAACCTGTTGGTCAGGGTGATTGTGATATAGCCTCCACCAGGACAAACAAAAACCTGTTGGTCAGGGTGATTGTGATATAGCCTCCACAGGGACAAACAAAAAACTGTTGGTCAGGGTGATTGTGATACAGCCTCCACAGGAACAAACAAAAAACTGTTGGTCAGGGTGATTGTGATATAGCCTCTGCAGGGACAAACAAAAAACTGTTTGTCAGGTTGATTGTGATATAGCCTCCATAGGGACAAACAAAAACCTGTTGGTCAGGGTGATTGTGATATAGCCTCCACCAGGACAAACAAAAACCTGTTGGTCAGGGTGATTGTGATATAGCCTCCACAGGGACAAACAAAAAACTGTTGGTCAGGGTGATTGTGATACAGCCTCCACAGGAACAAACAAAAAACTGTTGGTCAGGGTGATTGTGATATAGCCTCTGCAGGGACAAACAAAAAACTGTTGGTCAGGGTGATTGTGATAGAGTCTCCACAGGGACAAACAAAAAACTGTTGGTCAGGGTGATTGTGATATAGCCTCCACAGGGACAAATAAAATACTGTTGGTCAGGGTGATTGTGATACAGCCTCCACAGGGACAAACAAAAAACTGTTGGTCAGGGTGATTGTGATATAGCCTCCACAGGGACAAACAAAAAACTGTTGGTCAGGTTGATTTCGATACAGCCTCCACAGAAACAAACAAAAAACTGTTGGTCAGGGTGATTGTGATATAGCCTCCACCGGAACAAACAAAAACCTGTTGGTCAGGGTGATTGTGATATAGCCTCCACAGGGACAAACAAAAACCTGTTGGTCAGGGTGATTGTGATATAGTCTCCACAGGGACAAACAAAAACCTGTTGGTCAGGGTGATTGTGATATAGCCTCCACAGGGACAAACAAAAAACTGTTTGTCAGGTTGATTGTGATATAGCCTCCATAGGGACAAACAAAAACCTGTTGGTCAGGGTGATTGTGATATAGCCTCCACCAGGACAAACAAAACCCTGTTGGTCAGGGTGATTGTGATATAGCCTCCACAGGGACAAACAAAAAACTGTTGGTCAGGGTGATTGTGATACAGCCTCCACAGGAACAAACAAAAAATTGTTGGTCAGGGTGATTGTGATATAGCCTCTGCAGGGACAAACAAAATACTGTTGGTCAGGGTGATTGTGATAGAGCCTCCACAGGGACAAACAAAAAATTGTTGGTCAGGGTGATTATGATAGAGCCTCCACAGGGACAAACAAAAAACTGTTGGTCAAGGTGATTGTGACAGACATAAGACTGTGAATTCCTTCACACAATTACATTTATTCCATGTAAAGATAATAAAATCAAGAATTACCTTTACATATTTGGAACTATTTTAAAGTTATCTCCCTTACTTGACCATTAATTTATAACTTACCTATTATTTTCATGTGATTCAGAACTGTATCCTCATACAACAGCAGATAATATAACACAATTAACTGTGGTGTCAAGTTATATACAGAGTTATCTCCCTTATGACTGGATACAGAATTATCTTCATGACTAAATGAGTTATCTCCCCTGATTTGACCAAACACTGATGATTTATACACATCTAAGACTTCCTGGTTACTTAGTGGTTCATTAAGATGGTCAGTCTTTGTACTTTTGATGATGATTGAGTTCACATAGACCTCAATAAGGGATGGTAGTAAATTGTGGAGTGGACACCCACTACTACAAATCTGTCTGTAGATCCAGTCCTGTAAAAGTTAAATAATATAACGCTGTGAATTCATTTATATCTCCTTCTATTCTTAAGCATTGCTCATTTGAAATTCCTTCAGGAAGGATATCACATTTGCCTCACTTACTAAATTACTGTAAATTCAGATATTATTGGGATTGTTGAAGAATGGACAAAAATGCAAGTTCGATTATTGCAATTTCAGGAAAATCTGCATACGGATATATGTATCATATACCAAAATGCGTGTTCTTATTATTGCTATACTCACCCAGTCGCGTTATTCGCTTTAATAAAAACCTCGCAATAATTTCTGAATTTACAATAGTTGATTCACAGTATATTTTTGTGACCATCTTTCATGTAGGGATATCCATTTTTTTTTTTAAATACAAGCATTTGAGAAAGATTTTTCAAGAAATATTTTAAATCTTCATTGTTTAATGACAGTTATAATAACTTACTTTTATAGGAACTTTGTACTTTGAAAAGGACCTTGTTTTCAGAAGCTGATAAACACTGTTGATTGGTAGATATCCAGTCATATGACCATTCAAATTAGGTGTGACTGGTACCTTGACTGCATGTGTAGTTACAACCTACAAAATAAAACCAGATCTTAACTTGCTAACATTCACTGATGTGTGGCATGAAGGGTTATTAATCCCCCATTCAGGTGATCTAAAATCCTCAAGGTAGGTAAGCAGCCTTTAGAAGTTCTTTATTAAGTAAGTGTTCACAAAAGTTTGAGATTTTTTGAAATAGTAAGGATTTTCTACCCCAGGAATAGATTACCTTAGCTGTATTTGGCAAAACCTTTAGGAATTTTGGGTCCTCAATGCTCTTCAACTTCATATTTAATTTTTTTATATACCTGTTCTTTGAATATCTCCTGAGTAAATATCTGTCTTAGTCTAGGTAAGGCAAACCACCTACCCCTATACACCTCTAGCCTACAGCCTTGTTTTATATACCTGTTCTTTGAATATCTCCTGAGTAAATATCTGTCTTAATCTTGATAATGCATTTCCCTTCACTGGAGCCTGAAATTATCAATTAAGGTCATAGGTTAAATTATAAACTTGTGTTATTATAATTCATTATTAATAAATGCATTATCTATGCAAAGTCATGATAGAAAATTCTTATTATCTTCATAACCATAGATATTATTTACGGTTAGTTCATTTATATTCATTGTTATCAACTTCTGTGGTTGTGGTTGAATAAAAATGTGCTCTTTAGATGGATAATTTCATGGTTTTATAATAATGAGTCAACAGTACACATAAAAATTCTTATCCAGATTTTAAGAAGAAAACAACTGCATGTTTTTTTTCTGTATCAATACAACACAACACAATATTTTCATTAAACTAAGTATGAACTCATTGAGGGGAAGATTACAAACATGACAGTACTTCAATCAGTGAAAATAACAGTACACAGAATTTACAGTATACAATATTGAAAGAGAAAAACAAAACATTTAAATTTTCAACATGTTGTAATCAATATATTAGTTATCTCCCTTTGATCATAAATTTATGCTAATTTTGTTTCAGAAAGACCTGATGAAGGATATGTCAGAATATCAACAACATTTCCAATTCATTCTAAATGAAAACATAGAGGTGAAACACTAGCTATGAATAAGCCTTGCATGATTCATGTTAAAAGACAGACAATTTGAGCTAATCGATTATCCCATCACATCCTATCTTGATTCTTTAAAATTGCCAATCAAAATTTCAAAAACTCAATGAAAAGAAATCAGCATTTAAAAAATGTGTAGTACATTGTAGTTACAAATTAAGGAGGGGGTCATAATATAATGTTAAATGTTAAAAATTATCTCCCTTGTAATGGTGCATTTAAATAAAAAATTCTTGTACACTGCTTTATTATATTCTTAGTTCATCAATGATTATAAAAACATAAAGCATTTCTATTCTCATTCAGTTTTAAAATTAAGCATCTATATATATCCAAATAAACTGCTTTGCTGAGCGCAGCTAGATACGCCCGCAGAGGTCCAACCCTGAACAGTTGGGGCAAAAATGGACACAATATTCAAGCTTGATTCAGGTCTGAATTTGGATTGTAATTAAATATTTGACATATTATAGGTTTCTGAATAAATGTAGTCAAAGAACTTGAAATTGGTTATATGAATTGAATTTATATTCAATTAAAGATTTCTTGCTGTTGTGCAATACTTAGTATATCTGTTTTCAGACTATAAACAAATAAAGTTCAATTTATTCTCAATGTCATATTAGAAATTTATGAAAATAAAAAGGGAGCTTACATCAATAGATATAAACAATTCACCAAACTTTCATGAGAATTGGTGACAGCAAATTTGAGTTATTGTCCAAAAACTGGAAAATCACCCCTTTTTTTAATGAATAAAACCCCACAACTCAGAAATGTAAAATGTAAAATTTATAAAATTCTAAAGGGAGCTTACATCAATACATACAAACAATTCACCAAATTTTCATAAGAATTGCCGAAAGCATTTTTGAGTTTTTGTCCGAAAACTGGAAAATCCCCCCCTTTTTTATGAATAAAACCCTGTAACTCGGAAACGTAAAATCTAAAATTTATAAAAATCAAAAGGGAGCCCATGTTAATAGATATAAACAATTCACCAAAGTTTCATGAGAATTGGTGACAGCAGTTTTGAGTTATTGTCCAAAAACTGGAAAATCACCCCTTTTTTTAATGAACAAAACCCCATAACTCAGAAATGTAAAATGTAAAATTTATAAAATTCTAAAGGGAGCTTACATCAATACATACAAACAATTCACCAAATATTCATAAGAATTGCTGAAAGCATTTTTGAGTTTTTGTCCTAAAACTGGAAAATCCCCCCTTTTTTTATGAATAAAACCCTGTAACTCAGAAACGTAAAATCTAAAATTTATAAAAATCAAAAGGGAGCTCATGTCAATAGATATAAACAATTCACCACAATTTCTTGCAAGTTGGTGAAAGCATTCTTGACTTATTGTCCGAAAACTGGAAAATCCCCCTTTTTTTTAATGAATAAAACCCCATAACTTGGAAACGTAAAATCTAAATTTTATAAAAAACGAAAGGGAGCTCACATCAATAGATATAAACAATTCACCAAAGTTTTATGCAAATTGGTTAAAGCATTTTTGAGTTAATGTCCGACATGTTGACGACGGACAGACGGACGGACAGACGGACAGACGGACGGACGGACAGACGGACAACGGTATACCATAATACGTCCCGTAAACGGGCGTATAAAAAGACAAAAAACTTGAAGTTATTTAAATCTTAAGCCCTTTCTACATTGTATTAATACTAGTTAATATGTTCCAAATTTTTAGATTAATTTAATTAAGTGAGCTGAATATCAGACACTTGCATACTAGTGTATGTGTAGAGTATTTTTCAAGGCAAGTTTGATTATACAAAACTTGCCTCAAATAAAATCATAAAACCCTTCAAATTGCAAAAACTTCTAACAAGAAACTTCTGCAAAAGTTGTATTCTTTTTTATTATTATTAGTATTGAAACAACAAAGCCAAAAAAACTTACATTATCAAATAAAAAGTGTTTTAAGTATTTATTGATCCTTTAAATTAACCTTATGCATCTTCTGTCATGGAAAAAATCAAAAAGGGCAACTAATTAATTGACATGCTCATGATCATATATATAACTGATGAAACAGTTCAATGCGTTTTTAAAGGATAATAGTATATATGTATACAACTTTGTAATATATTTTTACTGTGTCTCATAAGTCTATTTGTTTGGCTGGGTTTTAATTATTTTATATCACATATGTTTAATTGTATATTGTCCAACTGTTAATCAATACGTGACATTATTTAGTCACTAATAATACATTATTATAATAATTATAGCAGATATCCTTGAAGATGTACTTATTATTGTTAATCCAGAGTTCAACAAACATTATGAGGTAATAAAAATAACAGTCAATATCAAAATAAGAAGATGTGGTATGATTGTCAATGAGAAAACACTCCATCAGAGACAGAAGATGTGGTATGATTGTCAATGAGACAACACTCTATCAGAGACAGAAGATGTGGTATGATTGTCAATGAGACAACACTCCATCAGAGACAGAAGATGTGGTATGATTGTCAATGAGACAACATGATTGTCAATGAGACAACACTCCATCAGAGACAGAAGACGTGGTATTATTGTCAATGAGAGAACACTCCATCAGAGACAGAAGACGTGGTATGATTGTCAATGAGAGAACACTCCATCAGAGACAGAAGACGTGGTATGATTGTCAATGAGACAACACTCCATCAGAGACAGAAGGTGTGGTATGATTGCCAATGAGACAACACTCCATCAGAGACAGAAGATGTGGTATGATTGCCAATGAGACAACATTCCATCAGAGACAGAAGACGTGGTATGATTGTCAATGAGACAACACTCCATCAGAGACAGAAGATGTGGTATGATTGTCAATGAGACAACATGATTGTCAATGAGACAACACTCCATCAGAGACAGAAGACGTGGTATGATTGTCAATGAGACAACATTCCATCAGAGACAGAAGACGTGGTATGATTGTCAATGAGACAACACTCCATCAGAGACAGAAGGTGTGGTATGATTGCCAATGAGACAACACTCCATCAGAGACAGAAGATGTGGTATGATTGCCAATGAGACAACACTCCATCAGAGACAGAAGATGTGGTATGATTGTCAATGAGACAACACTCCATCAGAGACAGAAGACATGGTATGATTGTCAATGAGACAACACTCCAACAGAGACAGAAGACATGGTATGATTGTCAATGAGACAACACTCCATCAGAGACAGAAGACGTGGTATGATTGTCAATGAGACAACACTCCATCAGAGACAGAAGGTGTGGTATGATTGTCAATGAGACAACACTCAATCAGAGACAGAAGACGTGGTATGATTGTCAATGAGACAACACTCCATCAGAGACAGAAGACGTGGTATGATTGTCAATGAGACAACACTCCATCAGAGACAGAAGATGTGGTATGATTGTCAATGAGACAACACTCCATCAGAGACATAAGATGTGGTATGATTGTCAATGAGACAACACTCCATCAGAGACAGAAGATGTGGTATGATTGTCAATGAGACAACACTCCACCAGAGACAGAAGATGTGGTATGATTGTCAATGAGACAACACTCCATCAGAGACAGAAGACGTGGTATGATTGTCAATGAGACAACATGATTGTCAATGAGACAACACTCCATCAGAGACAGAAGATGTGGTATGATTGTCAATGAGACAACTCTCCATCAGAGACAGAAGATGTGGTATGATTGTCAATGAGACAACACTCTATCAGAGACAGAAGATGTGGTATGATTGTCAATGAGACAACACTCCATCAGAGACAGTAGATGTGGTATGATTGTCAATGAGACAACATGATTGTCAATGAGACAACACTCCATCAGAGACAGAAGATGTGGTATGATTGTCAATGAGACAACACTCCATCAGAGACAGAAGACGTGGTATGATTGTCAATGAGACAACACTCCATCAGAGACAGAAGACATGGTATGATTGTCAATGAGACAACACTCCATCAGAGACAGAAGATGTGGTATGATTGTCAATGAGACAACACTCCATCAGAGACAGAAGACGTGGTATGATTGTCAATGAGACAACACTCCATCAGAGACAGAAGACGTGGTATGATTGTCAATGAGACAACACTCCATCAGAGACAGAAGATGTGGTATGATTGCCAATGAGACAACACTCCATCAGAGACAGAAGATGTGGTATGATTGCCAATGAGACAACACTGCACCAGAGACAGAAGATGTGGTATGATTGCCAATGAGATAACTCTCCACCAGAGACATAAGATGTGGTATGATTGCCAATGAGATAACACTCCACCAGAGACATAAGATGTGGTATGATTGCCAATGAGACAACACTCCATCAGAGACAGAAGATGTGGTATAATTGTCAATGAGACAACTCTCCATCAGAGACAGAAGACCTGGTATGATTGTCAATGAGACAACACTCTATCAGAGACAGAAGATGTGGTATGATTGTCAATGAGACAACACTCCATCAGAGACAGAAGATGTGGTATGATTGTCAATGAGACAACATGATTGTCAATGAGACAACACTCCATCAGAGACAGAAGATGTGGTATGATTGTCAATGAGACAACTCTCCATCAGAGACAGAAGACCTGGTATGATTGTCAATGAGACAACACTCTATCAGAGACAGAAGATGTGGTATGATTGTCAATGAGACAACACTCCATCAGAGACAGAAGATGTGGTATGATTGTCAATGAGACAACATGATTGTCAATGAGACAACACTCCATCAGAGACAGAAGATGTGGTATGATTGTCAATGAGACAACTCTCCATCAGAGACAGAAGACGTGGTATGATTGTCAATGAGACAACATGATTGTCAATGAGACAACACTCCATCAGAGACAGAAGATGTGGTATGATTGTCAATGAGACAACACTCCATCAGAGACAGAAGGTGTGGTATGATTGCCAATGAGACAACACTCCATCAGAGACAGAAGATGTGGTATGATTGTCAATGAGACAACTCTCCATCAGAGACAGAAGATGTGGTATGATTGTCAATGAGACAACATTCCATCAGAGACCAAATGAAATAGAAGTTAACAACCAACTATTTCATAGCCATTTGCAATCAATCTTCCAGTGAACAAAAATTTAGTGCCAACTAACACTGCTTTGATTTATTATATTATATATGTTGATATACTATTAAAGTCAGCAGTTACATGAAAATTTCCCACAACCTCTAAATCAAATGCCCAGCAAAAAACATATCAAAGTCAGGAACTAGTAATACAGTGGTTGTTGTAGGTTGCTGTCTGTAATCCAGTGGTTGTCATAGGTTGCTATCTGTAATCCAGTGTTTGTTGTAGGTTGCTGTCTGTAATCCAGTGGTATTCGTAGGTTGCTGTCTGTAATCCAGTGGTTGTCGTAGGTTGCTTTCTGTTATCCAGTGGTTGTCGTAGGTTGCTGTCTGTAATCCAGTGGTTGTCGTAGGTTGCTGTCTGTAATCCAGTGGTTGTTGTAGGTTACTGTCAGTAATCCAGTGGTTGTCGCAGGTTGCTTTCTGTGATATTTGTTTTTGTTCATAGTTGTAGTATAAATTAGGCATCTGCTTTATTTTTGGGAGTTGATTCAAATGTTGTCTTCCAGTGGTACCTAGTGTGTGTCATACCATATGTATGGGTTTGTCTTCCCGTGGTACCTAGTGTGTGTCATACAATATGTATGGGTTTTGTCTTCATGTAGTACCTACTGTGTGTCATACCATATGTATGGGTTTTGTCTTCCCGTAGTACCTACTGCGTGTCATACCATATGTATGGGTTTTGTCTTCCTGTGGTACCTTCTGTGTGTCATACCATATGTATGGGTTTTGTCTTCCCGTAGTACCTACTGCGTGTCATACCATATGTATGGGTTTTGTCTTCCCTTAGTACCTACTGTGTGTCATACCATATGTATGGTGTTTGTCTTCCCGTAGTACCTACTGTGTGTCATACCATATGTATGGTGTTTGTCTTCCTGTGATACCTACTGCGTGTCATACCATATGTATGGGTTTTGTCTTCTCGTAGTACCTACTATGTGTCATACCATATGTATGGTGTTTGTCTTCCCGTGGTACCTACTGTGTGTCATACCATATGTATGGGTTTTGTCTTCCCGTGGTACCTAGTGTGTGTCATACCATATGTATGGTGTTTGTCTTCCCGTGGTACCTACTGTGTGTCATACCATACTTATGGGTTTTGTCTTCCCGTGGTACCTAGTGTGTGTCATACCATATGTATGGGTTTGTCTTCCCGCGGTACCTACTGTGTGTCATACCATACGTATGGGTTTTGTCTTCCCGTAGTACCTACTGCGTGTCATATGGTGTTTGTCTTCCCGTAGTACCTACTGTGTGTCATACCATATGTATGGGGTTTGTCATCCCGTAGTACCTACTGTGTGTCATACCATATGTATGGGGTTTGTCTTCCCGCGGTACCTAGTGTGTGTCATACCATATGTATGGGTTTTGTCTTCCCGTGGTACCTTCTGTGTGTCATACCATATGTATGGGGTTTGTCATCCCGTAGTACCTACTGTGTGTCATACCATATGTATGGGGTTTGTCTTCCCGTAGTACCTACTGTGTGTCATACCATATGTATGGGGTTTGTCTTCCCGTGGTACCTAGTGTGTGTCATACCATATGTATGGTGTTTGTCTTCCCGTAGTACCTACTGTGTGTCATACCATATGTATGGTGTTTGTCTTCCCGTAGTACCTACTGTGTGTCATACCATATGTATGGGTTTTGTCTTCCCGTAGTACCTACTGCGTGTCATACCATATGTATGGGTTTTGTCTTCCCGTAGTACCTACTGCGTGTCATACCATACGTATGGGGTTTGTCTTCCCGTGGTACCTAGTGTGTGTCATACCATATGTATGGGGTTTGTCTTCCCGTAGTACCTACTGTGTGTCATACCATACGTATGGGTTTTGTCTTCCCGTGGTACCTACTGTGTGTCATACCATATGTATGGTGTTTGTCTTCCCGTGGTACCTACTGTGTGTCATACCATATGTATGGGGTTTGTCATCCCGTAGTACCTACTGTGTGTCATACCATATGTATGGGTTTGTCTTCCCGTGGTACCTAGTGTGTGTCATACCATACGTATGGGTTTGTCTTCCCGTAGTACCTAGTGTGTGTCATACCATACGTATGGGTTTTGTCTTCCCGTGGTACCTAGTGTGTGTCATACCATACGTATGGGTTTTGTCTTCCCGTGGTACCTAGTGTGTGTCATACCATATGTATGGGTTTGTCTTCCCGTGGTACCTAGTGTGTGTCATACCATACCTATGGGTTTTGTCTTCCCGTGGTACCTAGTGTGTGTCATACCATATGTATGGGTTTTGTCTTCCCGTGGTTCCTACTGTGTGTCATACCATGAGTATGGGTTTGTCTTCCCGTGGTTCCTACTGCGTGTCATACCATACGTATGGGTTTTGTCTTCCCGTGGTACCTACTGTGTGTCATACCATACGTATGGGTTTTGTCTTCCCGTGGTACCTAGTGTGTGTCATACCATATGTATGGGTTTTGCCAAAGATATTTTCACTAACCACTAAATGTTTATATCAAGATATATAGTACACTTCCACAGACTAACAAATTTGATACCTACATACACTTCCAACAGTATTTGCTTTTACCTTCATGCCCAAGGTAGAACTAACTAATTCTCCAATGGCAGTTGTATTGTTGCTATGGAAATGAATGGCAATCAAAAATAACATTTCTCCATAACTATCACCAACAGTTCTGCAAAATATAGAAATAAAAATGTCATTGTCACTTTAAATCAGAGTTTTTCACCAAAACACATTGAAAACCCTTGTTTTACTATGGGAAACTCCACAAATCAATGTGATCAAAAAAGATTTACTAATTAACAAGCAGTAGGATAAGGGAGGACATTTACTAAGTAATAAGTGGTAGGGATGAGTAGATGGAAAAGTTCACAATTTCAAGCTATATTGCATATGATTCCTTCACCAATAAAAACTAACCGCCACGAAATAGCACAAAAGTGCTGAAAGTGGCCGTAAACATTAAACACCAATCATTGTATATGATTAAGTCAGGAAAATAAATAATTGATGAATTATAAGTATCTAAAAGTAAATAGATGTTGATTTTTTTTTCCAGATTCTATTAAAATCTCAGTTGTAAATAAATCAGATATTTGCAAATTTGATTATCTCTCCATGAAATAGCATAATCATGATAGCTATTTAATAGTTTTTGTCAAAAAATATATGATAAGTTATATATTTTTGCTATTCAATATATGAAAAATGTGGGGTATTGGATGTCTTAGCTGCTCATCCCTACCACAAAAGGATTGAAGTGCCATACCACCATCCCTTCCTCCCACCGCAACCCCCATAACCCAAGACCAATATATTGATAGAAAAAACACAAACAGTACAACTATTTTCCCCTGTCAAAGATATCAAGGCTTGTTTTATATAGTCATTTGTTTCCATGGTTACCTCTGGCCTTTTTTTTTTTTTTTTTTTAATGTTAGTTCAATTATTTGTTTGGGGATAAAGTGTGGTCCATTTTCACTGAACCAGTACACATTTCTGTTTAGGGGCCAGCTGAAGCCCGCCTCCGGGTGTGGGATTTTCTCGCTGTGTTGAAGACCCATTGGTGGCCTTGGGCTGTTTTCTGCTCTTTGGTCGGGTTGTTGTCTCTTTGACACATTCCCCATTTCCATTCTCAATTTTACCAATTTTTGTGGATTAAGGATTATGCATTTCAGTGAATATTTTAGTGCTGTGGCTTTGAAAATTTCTGCATATATATATATATATATATATATAAGTGTGAACATTTCATTTTATTTTCTTTAACACTGAAATTTGTAGGTAGCCATATAATAAAATTTACTATTAAATCACTGTATGCAATTGGCAAATACTTTACTGAAATCAATATATGTAACATAAAATATTTTCAACGAATATAAACAACAATGTCAAATTTAATATAAATGTTAGGTACAGTGACCATGACTCATGCTTTTGAATATAAACCTTCATCAAGATCAAATGAGTCAGATGCCAAATCCGGAGTATTTAGGAGTGTCATAAATGGAAGGGGTCATGCAGTACCATCACAGGTCAATCGTTTACCAAGACTGATAAGGAAATGAACTGATTTATAGTACAAAATGGACAAATAGTTTTTAAATACTTTAATAGTTTGATAAGGAAATAAAGAGTAATCAACAATACAACAATGGTCAATGATTTTAACATTCTCAGAACCAGGATAAGGAAATAAAAAAAAGATCAACGTGATGTTTTTCAATACCTAAAGAAACACAGGAAATATGATAATGGAAGGAAGTTGGCTTCCAGTTTCAATAGTTGTGTTTAAATAGGTACAATAGCAAAGGAGTGTTTAACAGGAAGTTGAGTGTCAAGGAAGATCATTAGTGCTGATTTCATTCATTCAATATCAATTTACGTCCCGATATTTGAATTTTAGAGAAAGAAAAATTGGTTTATGAACAGCAACATAAATTTTAAGATTTTTGGGAAAACCCTGGCCGTGTTAGGCGCAACTTTTTGGAAGTTTTGGTCCTCGGTGCTCTTCACCTTTGTACTTGTTTTGGCTTTCAAACTTTTTTCATCTGAGCGTCAATGGTTGGTCTTGTGTGGACGAGACGCACGTCTGGCGTATTGAATTTTAAGCCTAGTACCTTGTGTTAGCTACTATTCGTGTGTTTCTTTGTCCTATATGTTCTCCCATTTATTTGTATTGCGGTCCTGTCATGTGATGTTGTCGTTTTGGTGTTGTGTTTGACGTTGCCATAAAAGCGGGAGGTTTGGCATGCCACAAAACTAGGTTCAACCCACCATTTTTTTCTTAAAATGTCCTGTACCAAGTCAGGAAAATGGCCATTGTTATATTATAGTTCGTTTCTGTGTGTGTTACATTTTAATGTTGTGTTTTTGTTGTGTCGTTGTTCTCCTCTTATATTTGATGCGTTTCCCTCAGTTTTAGTTTGTAACCCGGATTTGTTTTTGTCTCTATTGATTTATGAGTTTCGAACAGCGGTATACTACTGTTGCCTTTATTTCTCACAGATGTAGATGACAAAGCTGGATTTAAATATAAAATTTAGTCAAAAATTGTTTGTTGTAATAAACTATATTTGTAAATATAATAAATGTATTTAAAAATACATGCTGAAATATCTTTGTGTTTTTTTTTTTTATTATATAAACATCAATTCACTAGTCTGTAGTCTGAGATTGTATATTTTGTTAAAAAAAAAAATTAAATATACCAAAGCTTAAGTTATTTTTCCAAAGTACTGTATTTTAAAATAGGTGGGGCTATTTTTATAGGACGCTACCACAAGACCACTGAGGGAATATGAAGGCACATTTCTTATATGTTTATACAATGTTCTACTGCTAGCTGAACTCACTGTTCAAATTCCTCTTGTCTGTCCATCAGCCATCTAATCCATTCTATAACATGCTTCTCTTGTTCACCATTCCTATTAAAGTAGAAATAATATGATGTAATTCCAGACAATCATTATCTCGTAATGAAGTCTTTTTCTTGTTTTGCTTTTATATATTTGTGGTAATGTATTTCCAACCACAAAGAGAAAACTAGAGAATAGTGATGGGAGCCATAGCTGATGGCTGCTACCGAGTAATCAATTATATTGTGGTGGGTTATTCAGAGAAAACTAGAGAATAGTGATGGGGCCATAGCAGATGGCCACTACCGAGTAATCAAGTATATTGTGATGGGTTATTCAGAGAAAACTAGAGGATAGTGATGAGAGCCATCACAGATGGCCGCTTCAGAGTAATCAAGTAAATTGTGATGGGTTATTCAATTCAAATATAGCTTATACCCACAGAAAGTCAGAAATTTTCTGATTGACCACTAATTCCTCCTCCCACTTCCAAAGGTTTAGAGTTATAGAGCTGAAACATTACTATAGTATAAACAGTGTTGGCTGAGTTCAAATTAAGTTATTAACCACAACTTTCAATATATGGTTTTCGTCCTTATACCAGACAAACCTTTTTGTAATATTGAATAATCATGCCACGCTTCATTACCAAACTACTAGGGATTGCCATGGTCTATAACATTTAGTAGATTGTGTATGCCTTACAATTGAAATAAGCATCAACATAATATTTTTATACAACTATTTTTTGTGCTTTTAGTGAAAGACGAAGATACCACAAATTCAAAATTTCAACTGTATATCTACGTGCATTATCAACATTGCAAGCATTTATCGAATACAAAGAATACACAAGTTTACAAACATACTTTTTGTCTTCTGCTGAAACTCCAATTTCATCAAGGAAAATGTACATTATAAAGTTATCCTTCATTATTTCAAAAGTAATAAATTCAAGATTTTAAAATCCAGAAATCTTTAAATTAAAAAATTTTAAAACATTTTTACTTTGAACTTAAAATTTGGAAAAACATGGAAACGTACGTGAGAAGATAAGGACACAACATAATCATTGACAATCCAAGGGAGACAAATCTTGATCCAGCTTTATTCTGTAGTGGATGTGATGTTACTAGTCTCAAAAGTAATCTCATTTCTTCATCAGAAAATCTGGAATAAAGAGAGAATAAAATACAGCAAATTGGAACAAGACTTCATCTGAAAAGGGAACAAAAATTATATCAGATAAAAAGTTTTGAAAATATAAAACAATATATTAAGCCTTGTTTTTTCTGTTACTTAGCTTCATGTTTTGTCAAACATGCTTATTTGTCAAGTGTGTGCAGTAATTTGTGCCATAAATTATCCAGTGGTGGATTCAGGGGCCTACAGGGTGTACGCCTCCCTTTGTACAAATTGCCTCTTAGCTAAATCAAAGTTTTAAATATGCAACTTTTAGTGTTATAAATAAGTAGAATCATATATTTTTCTATCAGAAGCTTAGAAACAAAATAATTGAATAATGCTTAGATACTAACATGAAATGTAGGTCAAATGACTTATTATGAAATGTAGGTCATAGATACTAACATGAAATGTAGGTCAAATGTCTTATTATGCATACACAGCTTCATTCGCATGTGTAATATTTTTTTTTTGTATCATTACTCCGAAGTACTGATAATGCACCAAAATAATGTAGTATTATTCTACTTATAGTTTACAGAATTTGTTTTATGTTCAACCAGCATGAAATTTAAAAGACTCAAACTTGAACTTTAATGTTTGTAATAAACAAAACAATACAACCCGTGTAAAATGCACATTGTAATGCTTTTCTCAGTGCAAAAGACTGTAGTCATAGAGAGTTATATCCACGAAATAGACCATCCCAGAAAAGGCATCTCAAAGTGAGGCTAAAGATACTAAAGGGATATTCAAACTCATAAGTTAAAAACAAACTGACAATGTCATGGCAAAAAAGGTAAAACAACGAAAAGACAATAAACAGTACACAAAACACAACATAGAAAACTAAAGACAAACCAATTGAACTCCACCAAAAAAATGGGGTGATCTCAGGTGCTCTGGAATGCTAAGCAAATTCTGCTCCACATGTTGCACCCATCATGTTGCTAATGTAAGTACAAAGCTGTTGATAAGTCTAATTAGGTAGGTCACATTTGAGGAAAAGAGGACGGGATTGTGGTTACAAATATTGGAATATATCTGTCTTCATCTGTGAAACATATGTTCTATAAAGTTCAACCAACTCTTGATGGCATCCGTAAAGTTTTGGAATCGATGATTTCTACTTCACCACTTGCAAATTTGGGTTCAATAGCTTCCTTGTAAGCAGCAACCCTTTAAATGTACCAAAACAGATGACCATAAATAAACCACACAAGAGAACATTTCTTAAACTTCAATCGACCAGTACTGACCTGTATCAATTGGTTTTTAACTGGTATTGATTTGGTTTTTATTACCATAATTACTATACATACTTAAATCCACCAATTCCCTTCAGTACACAGAATGGCCTGATAAAGGAGCTATACATACTTAAGTCCACCCATTCCCTTCAGTATATAGTATAGCCTGATAAAGGAGCTATATATACTTAAGTCCACCCATTCCCTTCAGTACACAGTAAAGCCTGATAAAGGAGCTATACATACTTAAGTCCACCCATTCCCTTCAGTACACAGTAAAGCCTGATAAAGGAGCTATACATACTTAAGTCCACCCATTCTCTTCATTACACAGTATAGCCTGATAAAGAAGCTATACATACTTAAGTCCACCCATTCCCTTCAGTACACAGTATAGCCTGATAAAGGAGCTATACATACTTAAGTCCACCCATTCCCTTCAGTACACAATATAGCTTGATAAAGGAGCTATACATACTAAAGTCCACCCAATCCCTTCAGTACACAGTATAGCCTGATAAAGGAGCTATACATACTTAAGTCCACCCAATCCCTTCAGTACATAGTATAGCCTGATGAAGGAGCTATACATACTTAAGTCCACCCATTCCCTTCAGTACACCAAAATGTATTGTAATAAACGAATAAAACTCTATACTTTGCTTTGTGTTACTTTTATGATCAAAATCTATATCGAAGGCGCCCATACAAAGGTACAAATTAACGTCATAAACATAAGACGTAAATACGGGAAGCATAACGTTAACATTTGCAGTATATTCTCAACAGCCTGATAAAGGGGCTATACATACTTAAGTCCACCTATTCCCTTCAGTACATAGTATAGCCTGATGAAGGAGCTATACATACTTAAGTCCACCCATTCCCTTCAGTACACAGTATAGCCTGATAAAGGGGCTATACATACTTAAGTCCACCTATTCCCTTCAGTACATAGTATAGCCTGATGAAGGAGCTATACATACTTAAGTCCACCCATTCCCTTCAGTACACAGTATAGCCTGATAAAGGAGCTATACATACTTAAGTCCACCCAATCCCTTCAGTACATAGTATAGCCTGATGAAGGAGCTATACATACTTAAGTCCACCCATTCCCTTCAGTACACAGTATAGCCTGATAAAGGGGCTATACATACTTAAGTCCACCCATTCCCTTCAGTACACAGTATAGCATGATAAAGGAGCTATACATACTTAAGTCCACCTATTCCCTTCAGTACACAGTATAGCTTGATAAAGGAGCTATACATATGTAAGTCCACCTATTCCATTCCGTACACAGAATGGCCCGATAAAGGAGCTATACATACTTAAGTCCACCCATTCCCTTCAGTACACAGTATAGCCTGATAAAGGAGCTATACATACTTAAGTCCATCCAATCCCTTCAGTACATAGAATAGCCTAATGAAGGAGCTATACATACCTAAGTCCACCCATTCCCTTCAGTACACAGTATAGCCTGATAAAGGAGCTATACATACTTAAGTCCACCCATTCCCTTCAGTACACAGTATAGCCTGATAAAGGAGCTATACATACTTAAGTCCACCCATTCCCTTCAGTATATAGTATAGCCTGATAAAGGAGCTATATATACTAAGTCCACCCATTCCCTTCAGGACACAGTATAGCCTGATAAAGGAGCTATACATACTTAAGTCCACCCATTCCCTTCAGTACACTGTATAGCCTGATAAAGGAGCTATACATACTTAAGTCCACCCAATCCCTTCAGTACACAGAATGGCCTGATAAAGGAGCTATACATACTTAAGTCCACCCAATCCCTTCAGTACATAGTATAGCCTGATGAAGGAGCTATACATACTTAAGTCCACCCATTCCCTTCAGTACACCAAAATGTATTGTAATAAACGAATAAAACTCTATACTTTGCGTTGTGTTACTTTTATGATCAAAATCTATATCGAAGGCGCCCATACAAAGGTACAAATTAACGTCATAAACATAAGACGTAAATACGGGAAGCATAACGTTAACATTTGCAGTATATTCTCAACAGCCTGATAAAGGGGCTATACATACTTAAGTCCACCCATTCCCTTCAGTACACAGTATAGCCTGATAAAGGGGCTATACATACTTAAGTCCACCTATTCCCTTCAGTACATAGTATAGCCTGATGAAGGAGCTATACATACTTAAGTCCACCCATTCCCTTCAGTACACAGTATAGCCTGATAAAGGGGCTATACATACTTAAGTCCACCTATTCCCTTCAGTACATAGTATAGCCTGATGAAGGAGCTATACATACTTAAGTCCACCCATTCCCTTCAGTACACAGTATAGCCTGATAAAGGAGCTATACATACTTAAGTCCACCCAATCCCTTCAGTACATAGTATAGCCTGATGAAGGAGCTATACATACTTAAGTCCACCCATTCCCTTCAGTACACAGTATAGCCTGATAAAGGGGCTATACATACTTAAGTCCACCCATTCCCTTCAGTACACAGTATAGCATGATAAAGGAGCTATACATACTTAAGTCCACCTATTCCCTTCAGTACACAGTATAGCTTGATAAAGGAGCTATACATATGTAAGTCCACCTATTCCATTCCGTACACAGAATGGCCCGATAAAGGAGCTATACATACTTAAGTCCACCCATTCCCTTCAGTACACAGTATAGCCTGATAAAGGAGCTATACATACTTAAGTCCACCCAATCCCTTCAGTACATAGAATAGCCTAATGAAGGAGCTATACATACCTAAGTCCACCCATTCCCTTCAGTACACAGTATAGCCTGATAAAGGAGCTATACATACTTAAGTCCACCCATTCCCTTCAGTACACAGTATAGCCTGATAAAGGAGCTATACATACTTAAGTCCACCCATTCCCTTCAGTATATAGTATAGCCTGATAAAGGAGCTATATATACTAAGTCCACCCATTCCCTTCAGGACACAGTATAGCCTGATAAAGGAGCTATACATACTTAAGTCCACCCATTCCCTTCAGTATATAGTATACCTGATAAAGTACCTATACATACTTAAGTCCACCCATTCCCTTCAGTACACAGTAAAGCCTGATAAAGGAGCTATACATACTTAAGTCCACCCATTCCCTTCAGTACACAGTAAAGCCTGATAAAGGAGCTATACATACTTAAGTCCACCCATTCCCTTCAGTACACAGTATAGCCTGATAAAGAAGCTATACATACTTAAGTCAAACCATTCCCTTCAGAACACAGTATAGCCTGATAAAGGAGCCATACATACTTAAGTCCACCCATTCCCTTCAGTACACAATATAGCTTGATAAAGGAGCTATACATACTTAAGTCCACCCAATCCCTTCAGTACATAGTATAGCCTGATGAAGGAGCTATACATACTTAAGTCCACCCATTCCCTTCAGTACACAGTATAGCCTGATAAAGGAGCTATACATACTTAAGTCCACCCATTCCCTTCAGTACACAGTATAGCCTGATAAAGGAGCTATACATACTTAAGTCCACCCATTCCCTTCAATACACAGAATGGCCTGATAAAGGAGCTATACATACTTAAGTCCACCCATTCCCTTCAGTACACTGTATAGCCTGATAAAGGAGCTATACATACTTAAGTCCACCCATTCCCTTCAGTATATAGTATACCTGATAAAGTACCTATACATACTTAAGTCCACCCATTCCCTTCAGTACACAGTAAAGCCTGATAAAGGAGCTATACATACTTAAGTCCACCCATTCCCTTCAGTACACAGTAAAGCCTGATAAAGGAGCTATACATACTTAAGTCCACCCATTCCCTTCAGTACACAGTATAGCCTGATAAAGAAGCTATACATACTTAAGTCCACCCATTCCCTTCAGAACACAGTATAGCCTGATAAAGGAGCTATACATACTTAAGTCCACCCATTCCCTTCAGTACACAATATAGCTTGATAAAGGAGCTATACATACTTAAGTCCACCCATTCCCTTCAGTACACAGAATGGCCCTATAAAGGAGCTATACATACTTAAGTCCACCCATTCCCTTCAGTACACTGTATAGCCTGATAAAGGAGCTATACATACTAAAGTCCTCCCAATCCCTTCAGTACATAGTATAGCCTGATGAAGGAGCTATACATACTTAAATCCACCCATTCCCTTCAGTACACAGTATAGCCTGATAAAGGGCCTATACATACTTAAGTCCACCTATTCCCTTCAGTACACAGTATAGCATGATAAAGGAGCTATACATACTTAAGTCCACCTATTCCCTTCAGTATACAGTATAGCTTGATAAAGGAGCTATACATATGTAAGTCCACCCATTCCCTTCTGTACACAGAATGGCCCAATAAAGGAGCTATACATACTTAAGTCCACCCATTCCCTTCAGTACACAGTATAGCCCGATAAAGGAGCTATACATACTTAAGTCCACCCAATCCCTTCAGTACATAGTATAGCCTAATGAAGGAGCTATACATACTTAAGTCCACCCATTCCCTTCAGTACACAGTATAGCCTGATAAAGGAGCTATACATACTTAAGTCCACCCATTCCCTTCAGTACACAGTATAGCCTGATAAAGGAGCTATACATACTTAAGTCCACCCATTCCCTTCAATATATAGTATAGCCTGATAAAGTCTGAGCTATACATACTTAAGTCCACCCATTCCCTTCAATATATAGTATAGCCTGATAAAGTCTGAGCTATACATACTTAAGTCCACCCATTCCCTTCAGTACACAGTATAGCCTGATAAAGAAGGTATACATATTTAAGCCCACCCATTCCCTTCAGTACACAGTAAAGCCTAATAAAGTCTGAGCTATACATACTTTAGTCCACCCATTCCCTTCAGTACACAGTATAGCCTGATAAAGGAGCTGGCCTGTAATGTATCACTGATGGGTTCTCGTCCTGCTGGTAGTATAGATACAAGATGTTCTAATAGGTGGTGTCTTAGTGCCTGCAGAGTGGAAGCCTGAGGATCCTGTCTTTTCTGAAATAACAAAAATAAATAATCAGTATTTCTTTCATTAACTTGACTTACTGTAGATAAGACATGTCCCGGGGTACTTATTATTGTGGATTTCGTGGGTATCGGTGAACCACAAATTTAAGTTTAAACAATGTACAATTTCTTATAAGCTTGAATGTAGAATTATCAAATACCACAAAATCAAGTATCAAAAATTACAATTTTTTTTATTCAATGCATGATAATTTGTAAGGACCCAAATACTTGAAAAATTTTATGAGGGCTCTATTTCCATAATTTTAAGTTAAAAGGCACATAAGCACGATTTCCTGTCTAAAAGTTTTAACATCCTGATTCCCTGTTTCAAACACTTGAAATGTTAAACAGAAAAGCCATGAACTTTATCTTTTAAAAATTTTGTATTGACACTGAAATACCATTTAAACTTTACACTTACTTTTTGACCTAGTTTTACATATTGTGAAAACCAGCTCCTAACATTTAAATTGTTGCTTAGCAACAACCCACATACAAAAGCAATAACATCAGCTGTTTTATCTTTGATATCCATAGCGACACCGTGATAATCTTTACTTGTCAACAATGTTAAGGCCACAGCTAAACCAGGCATTGTGCAATGTTCAACCTGAATCCAAAAAAAATATTAATGACATATCTAAATAATTAATGGACTTTAACCATATTATATGTAGTACATTGTAGAATGTGTGCACATTTTTATTACCACTTACATTGAAGAAATAAATGTGTCAGTGGAGGTATGTGTTATCTCAATACTTTATTTAAAAGTAACAAGACATGACACTTTTAAGAGTAACAAGACACGTTTGAATGGTTTTACACTAGTAATTTTTGGGTCCCTTTATAGCTTACTGTTCGGTGTGAGCCAAGGCTCCGTGTTGAAGACCGTACTGTGACCTATAATGGTTTACTTTTATAAATTTTGACTTGGATGGAGAGTTGTCTCATTGGCACTCATACCACATCTTCTTATATCTATAACACTTTTAAGAGTCATATTGATATGTTCAAGCTAATTATTGAAGACTTCTGGATAAGACACACAGAGCTTTAGTAAGAGATTATCTCAAAATGTGAACAGAGCTTTAGTAAGAGATTATCTCAAAATGTGAACAGAGCTTTAGTAAGAGATTATCTGAAAATGTGAACAGAGCTTTAGTAAGAGATTATCTGAAAATGTGAACAGAGCTTTAGTAAGAGATTATCTTAAAATGTGAACAGAGCTTTAGTAAGAGATTATCTGAAAATGTGAACAGAGCTTTAGTAAGAGGTTATCTCAAAATGTGAACAGAGCTATAGTAAGATATTATCTTAAAATGTGAACAGAGCTTTAGTGAGAGATTATCTTAAAATGTGAACAGAGCTTTAGTAAGAGGTTATCTCAAAATGTGAACAGAGCTTTAGTAAGAGATTATCTCAAAATGTGAACAGAGCTTTAGTAAGTGGTTATCTCAAAATGTGAACAGAGCTTTAGTAAGTGGTTATCTCAAAATGTGAACAGAGCTTTAGTAAGTGGTTATCTCAAAATGTGAACAGAGCTTTAGTAAGTGGTTATCTCAAAATGTATCTAGATAATCTCTATCCAACATGTCCTTTTTTCAACAACAGTAAAAACATTTTCTTGTCTTTTACGATTTTGCTAGACACACTTTTCAGACTTTACTTGTTTAAATCATTAATATGTAAGCAATTTTGACACTAGACCTTATGAAAATACAATCAAACAATCTATTAATCCCTAGTACAGACAGACAGACAGACAACCTACACAAAGAGCCCTGATGTTTAACATTTCTCCAGGATTCATGGTACACAGATTCAACAAGACTTCCATTCTCCTTCTTCCACTCATTGATTCTTCATCTTGTGTTTCTCCATTAGCCACCAGACTGGTACAAACTACAAGAAAGGCACAATAGAAATTGCTAATTCCACAAATGTCAATTAATGTTAAAAGATGTTTTAATCTTATTGATTAATTAAATTTGTTGTATTTGTAAATGATATAATGAACAGGTAATTTAAAACATCATTTAATATTGATTGACGTTATAACAACCCAGTGCTGTTCATGTAGGGAATTATAAAACATTTTCTGAGGTAAAATGTGAGAACCATTCTATCTATACAAATGCCTAAAACTAAGTCTAAGCTTTCAAAATTAATCTTCAAACAAATGATTAATTACAATAGTAAACGTTTAAGACTTCTCCAACTTGAAGTAAATCAAATATACCTTCTTTAAAGCTGTCAGGAGAGTTAGCCACCAAACGACACAACAACCAGCCTCCATTTGGTAAATGCAATAATGTCTCTGCAACATCTTTTATTTGAAGTAAAGTAGGAAGCTCTACAAAAACAAAAAATGTAATCTCTATTATTATTCTTGTTGTTGTTAAAACTTTCTTTTGTTTTAATTTTGTTTTTTCTAGCATTTAATTTGATAAAAGAATATGCTTTACACTTCTGGTGCAGTTCATATTAAGGAAATTTGCTGGTGAATTTCAAAATAACAAGGTTCTACAAAAACTGTAAACCTACTTATTATCGCATGAATTATTGATATTGCAACTTTCAAAAATAAAAAAAATAATGTGAATATAAACCAGATAAATCATCATGAATATGTCCGACTTAGATCTTCTCTTATATGTAAATGAATACAGGAACAGAGTTCCAAAATCATGAAAATAAATCAATACAAAGTCGGGAAGAAAGAGCTAAATGTGGATATAAAGTTGGGAATAGGAAAAGGCTAATTGTGGATATAAAGTCAGGAAGAAGAAAATGGCTGAATGTGGATATAGTCAGGAAGAAAAGGCTAAATGTGGATATAAAGTCAAGAAGAAAGGGCTAAATGTGGATATAAAGTCAGGAAGAAGAAAGGCCTAAATGTGGATATAAAGTCAAGAAGAAAGGGCAAAATGTGGATATAAAGTCAGGAAGAAAGAGCTAAATGTGGATATAAAGTCAGGAAGAAGTAAGGGCTGAATGTGGATATAAAGTTGGGAAGATGAAAAGGCTAAATGTGGATAGAAGCAGGAAGAAGAAAGGCTAAATGTGGATATAAAGTCAGGAAGAAAGGGCTGAATGTGGATATAAAGTTGGGAAGAAGAAAGGGTTAAATGTGGATATAAAGTCAGTAAGAAGAAAAGGCTAAATGTGGATAGAAGCAGGAAGAAGAAAGGCCTAAATGTGGATATAAAGTCAGGAAGAAGAAAGGGCTAATTGTGGATATAATGTTGGGAAGAAAGGGCTAAATGTGGATATAAAGTCAGGAAGAAAGAGCTAAATGTGGATATAAAGTCAGGAAGAAGAAATGGCTAAATGTGGATATAAAGTCAGGAAGAAGAAAGGGCTAAATGTGGATATAAAGTCAGTAAGAAGAAAAGGCTAAATGTGGATAGAAGCAGGGAGAAGAAAGGCCTAAATGTGGATATAAAGTCAGGAAGAAGAAAGGGCTAATTGTTGATATAATGTTGGGAAGAAAGGGCTAAATGTGGATATAAAGTCAGGAAGAAAGAGCTAAATGTGGATATAAAGTCAGGAAGAAGAAATGGCTAAATGTGGATATAAAGTCAGGAAGAAGAAAGGGCTAAATGTGGATATAAAGTCAGGAAGAAGAAAGGGCTAAATGTGGATATAAAGTCAGGAAGAAGAAAGGGCTCAATGTGGATATAAAGTCAGGAAGAAAGAGCTTAATGTGGATATAAAGTCAGGAAGAAGAAAGGGCTAAATGTGGATATAAAGTCAGGAAGAAGAAAGGGCTGAATGTGGATATAAAGTCAGGAAGAAGAAAAGGCTAAATGTGGATATAAAGTCAGGAAGAAGAAAGGGCTAAATGTGGATATCAAGTCAGGAAGAAGAAAGGGCAAAATGTGGATATAAAGTCAGGAAGAAAGAGCTAAATGTGGATATAAAGTCAGGAAGAAGAAAGGGCAAAATGTGGATATAAAGTTGGGGAGAAAGGGCTAAATGTGGATATAAAGTCAGGAAGAAGAAAGGGCTAAATGTGGATATAAAGTCAGTAAGAAGAAAAGGCTAAATGTGGATATAAAGTCAGGAAGAAGAAAGGGCTAAATGTGGATATAAAGTCAGGAAGAAGAAAGGGCTAAATGTGGATATAAAGTCAGGAAGAAGAAAGGGCAAAATGTGGATATAAAGTCAGGAAGAAAGAGCTAAATGTGGATATAAAGTCAGGAAGAAGAAAGGGCTAAATGTGGATATAAAGTCAGTAAGAAGAAAAGGCTAAATGTGGATAGAAGCAGGAAGAAGAAAGGCCTAAATGTGGATATAAAGTCAGGAAGAAGAAAGGGCTGAATGTGGATATAAAGTTGGGAAGAAGAAAGGGTTAAATGTGGATATAAAGTCAGTAAGAAGAAAAGGCTAAATGTGGATAGAAGCAGGAAGAAGAAAGGCCTAAATGTGGATATAAAGTCAGGAAGAAAGAGCTAAATGTGGATGTAAAGTCAGGAAGAAGAAATGGCTAAATGTGGATATAAAGTCAGGAAGAAGAAATGGCTAAATGTGGATATATAGTCATGAAGAAGAAAGGGCTGAATATGGATATATAGTCATGAAGAAGGCTAAATGTAGATATAAACAGGTTTACACTAGTTGTTACATATTGAGACATTTCTTGAGAAGTAAATCAAGCCAGAATTACTACAAGTACATTACTGTTTGCTTATTAATGAGATACATATATAATTATGATAATCATTTCAAAATTTGACAGAAATCAGGAGTCATCTTGATTTTTCATATATATTTTGCATAGGAGTGTTTTTATGGCAGGTTACCTGCTCTTGATACATACATATGTATACACATTAAAAAGTGGTTATTGGTTTGCTGACTGTCTTCTTATTTGATTTTTTGTTAAATATACATGTTAATTGTTTTGTCATAAATCTGGCCATATGTGTTGCTCATTGTTGAAGGCTGTACTGTGACATAAAGTTGCTTACATCCACATCATTTCATAGGACTCTGTTGAGAAAGCTGTATAATTGGCTATCATACCATATCTCCTTATTTTCATATATGAAAGTGCAGTCTCTACAACATGTATTTGCTATACACATGTTATTTGAGGCTCTACAAGATGCATTTTACCTGCATTTGCTGTACACACTTAGTTAAGTATATGTGTATGCTACCTGCTTGTGCACATGATTTAAATGTATGCTACATGTTTATTACCTGTTTGTGCTATACACAATACATCTGATACTTCCTCAAGATATAGGTATGTATTACCTGCTTGTGCTATACACAATACATCAGATACTTCCTCAAGGTATACGTGTATATTACCTGCTTGTGCTATACACAAGACATCAGATACTTCCTCAAGGTATATGTGTATATTACCTGCTTGTGCTATACACAAGACATCAGATACTTCCTCAAGGTATATGTGTGTATTACCTGCTTGTGCTATACACAAGACATCAGATACTTCCTCAAGGTATACGTGTATATTACCTGCTTGTGCTATACACAAGACATCAGATACTTCCTCAAGGTATACGTGTGTATTACCTGCTAGTGCTATACACAATACATCAGATACTTCCTCAAGGTATACGTGTATATTACCTGCTTGTGCTAAACACAATACATCAGATACTTCCTCAAGGTATACGTGTATATTACCTGCTTGTGCTATACACAAGACATCAGACACTTCCTCAAGGTATACCTGTGTATTACCTGCTTGTGCTATACACAATACATCAGATACTTCCTCAAGGTATACGTATATATTACCTGCTTGTGCTATACAAAAGACATCAGATACTTCCTCAAGGTATACGTGTATATCACCTGCTTGTGCTATACACAAGACATCAGATACTTCCTCAAGGTATACGTATATATTACCTGCTTATGCTATACACAAGACATCAGACACTTCCTCAATGTATATGTGTGTATTACCTGCTTGTGCTATACATAAGACATCAGATACTTCCTCAATGTATATGTGTGTATTACCTGCTTGTGCTATACACAAGACATCAGATACTTCCTCAATGTATATGTGTGTATTACCTGCTTGTGCTATACACAAGACATCAGATACTTCCTCAAGGTATACGTGTGTATTACCTGCTTGTGCAATACACAATACATCAGATACTTCCTCAAGGTATACGTGTATATTACCTGCTTGTGCTATACACAAGACATCAGATACTTCCTCAAGGTATACAATACTCTCCAGTAATTCTGAAGACTTGAAATAAAATTCTGCCTTGTTTTCCTTCATCTGAAACAAATAAAATATTGACATATTTAGAATAATCTCAAAATTTCAGTAAAAAAAATTACTTTTGCTGCTTGTAACCATATACTGTATATAAACAGTAAGCTTAAGATTTAAATCATAATAAGCAATTGATAAGTTAACTCAATAGAAAACCTTTTTAAAAATGCTCAATATACAAATGATAAGATAATTTACCTGTGATGCTACAAAGAGAAGTTCACTTAACAACAGGCGAATTCTACGAGCATGGTCACTTCTTTCAAACTCCATAGCAAGCCCACACTGTAACTGAGATATAAGGACACTGTCAGTCTGTGATGTACCAATCTTTGTCCTGCAAGGAATAAGGTAAAAGAATTTTTGATTATTATCATGCAAAAGAAGCAAATATGTCATCACTTATAATGTGCGTTTGGACAGATAATCTTGAACAAATTTTCCAATAAGTTTTCCTCATTCCACATGTTCCATGTAGAAAACACCTCCGGTAGATTTTGTCATTTCTTTTTGCTGGGTCCTGCACTGAGTTGACAGTTCTCTTTTACCCACTCAAATTTAACCAAACATATGGTGAAAATATTAATACAAAATTAAAGCTTAAGACTAAATAAGTCATTTTTTCAAGGTGAGGTACATGTAAGCAAGTCTTAAATATGATCAAAGAAGTCATTTTTCCAAGGCCATGTATACGTATGAGCAAGTTTTTCGATGACAGAAAAGATATAGCATTTCCATTCCATTTAGACTGGCCACATAGTACCATTAAGTCATGATGACTAACGACTCACGTTAGTAGTTTTGCCTGCTCTATTCCACTCTCACTGTGGAGTGGTAAAAATGAGAAAATGGAGATAGACTCTTATTTTTTAATGATCAACGAAGTTTACAACATCATGGATTATTGTGCATATCCTCCTATAGCATCATAACTCCTTCATCTTTCAACTAGAGGCTGTATCCTAACTAATGCAGTTTAAATGGTTCTTTCATCTGAAGGTCTGATGATTATAACTACTTACTGGCCATTCATCTGAAGGTCTGATTATTATAACTACTTACTGGCCATTCATACATACTGATGATTATAACTACTTACTGGCCATTCATACATACTGATGATAATAATTCAATTTAATGAAATTTGTTTGGAGCTTTACTACTGATTTTTTTTTCTTAAACAGCTATACTCAACTAACTTTCTGTTGCAAGCATATTTTGACCCTACTTTCCAAATAATGTGCAGGGGTATGGGTCGTAGTACATAAGACACACACCACATTTTGTGCCTTGTAAAAAGACAGACCATGTGTTGTTCATTGCTGTTTTGTCTTTGTTGGTCACCCACAGATGCCACTCATTTTTTTAGGGTCCTGCTGTTTTGGATTATGGTCATTTCCCTACAGAGCCTACTGCAATTAATCTTTTAGTAAGACTGTTATAAGTATTTCCGTTGGATGCAATCAACATTTTGATGGCAGACATCTAATTTCATAATTGACCTGTTACAAATTAATACACAAATACAGCTTCTTTCCTCGTACCATCAAAGACTGGAGAAGATTACCAACAAAACTTTTAGATATAGATGATGCAGAGACATTAAAGAACAGCCTCGAGTCTTGCATGACTGCTTTATTAGATAAGATGTGAGCTCACATCTTATCTAATTTAAATCTGCACATGTAAATATATTTTAAATGAGCACCATATTGAATGACTGATTTAGTACTTATGTGATGGGTATTATACCCTTTGCATTTCAACGATGTACAGAATGATGTATATCATGTGTATAGACAGTGATTTTGTCTCAGAGGGGTTTGTAACGGTAAGTCACTACTAACTAACGTTGCAGATCAAAATGTTTACTGTCGAAATAAGAGCGAAGAATGAACGCTTTCAATGTTTGGAAGAAAAGTGTTCACTTCTATGTTTGTAACCTACCCTTATTACTGTCATTATAATACTTTGAACATTGGATGAAGTGATTCCTATTGCCAACTTTGCTTTGGTTGAAAAATTTAAAACTTTGGACATGTTGGATGTTATACAGTTACATGTACATGTGTATACAAACATGACAAACGCAGTCCGCGAAAAAATTGATACATCAAAAGAAAAGTTTGACAGCAGTTCAAACTAAAATACAGACTTCTGTATGCTGGTATCCATGGAGAATTTTGTTTAAATTCAAATGAAGTACATGTTTATCCAATTAATTGTTTGCCGAGTTTATGAGCTTCAGTCCTTGCTTGGAAGTTGACATATTACTAGTCCCAGCATTCATTCATTTATGTATCATTGTCATTTTGCTTAGTTTCTTTTGTTACCTATTCTGACATCGGACTTTTTTTAAACTGAGTTTTACTGTGCGTATTGCTACGTGTTTCTTTATCATACATTGGCTAGAGGTATAGGGGAGGGTTGAGATCTCACAAAAATATGTTTTTTAATTTTAGTTCATTTATATGTTTTGGAGTTTAGTGTGACGTCCATTTTCACTGAACTAGCATACAATTTTATTTAGGGGCAGGCTGAGGATCACCTCCGGCTGCGGGATTTTCTTGCTGCATTGAAGACCCATTGGTGGCCTTAGGCTGTTGTCTGCTCTTTGGTCGGGTTGTTGTCTCTTTGACATATTCCCCATTTCCATTCTTAATTTTATTAAAGTGCATTACTTTAACATAACAATCATGACAATAACACAACGTAACTGTAGCCACAGATATAATGAATATTATTGTTACGTTCGTAATTAATCGGTTCTTAAACCAACCTAGCATTCCGGCAATTACTGTCCAATGTAACAATAACTTTTTTATTATTGTTACATTTCAACGTGATCTTAGACAGTGCCTATAACTGTTTTTGTGGTGTACCTGAGCTGTTGTTCTTTTTTTACGTCTTGTTCTAAAGCATGAAAATCAATAGATAGCAATGCCACAATGCCATTCACAACTTCAATCCCAGATAAGATTTTTAAGACTTCTTTTTTAGCTTTTGTCCAGTTGGAGCTCTCATCAAGTGGTTTACACAAAGCCATTCTAACAAGACATGGAAGAACTGGACGCAAATCAAATTCCTTCGAATCACTCAGTGAAGAGATGTCAACATCTCGTACTGCTCTGAAGATTTCTGGCTTCACACTACACTTTAGGTTCTGCATTGTTATTGGTTAACCTCAAAAATGTTAAGAATTTACTAAAATTTTAGCACTCAAATTTTTCCATGGGGGCAGCCATTTTGTTTTATCAACGTCAGTAGGACGCTTTCTTATAATTGCGTTTCTTACAAGCGCGAAGAAAATACAGATCATATTTTGGTTATGGCTGCAGCTGCAAGACAGAATTCTTCCCATGGTAAAATAATTGGTGTTCTAGATAGCTGCGGAGCCCAAAATAGAGAGTACAGTTCCCCTCTACCCTTATAGTTATGTCATACACATTGTTGTTCATAAATACTTGTCAATGCCAAAACAATATGAAAATCATTTGAACTGCATTGTGCAGACAAAGCTTTTTACAACTCAATTTCAAACAGCAAAAATAAATTGATTTAATCATTTAATATATTTTATGGCCCTGCAACAAAGAGGTCGGGGCGATATAGTTTTACCCTTATCCGTCATTCCACAACAAACAGTTATACACACGGTGACATGGACAGCCTTTTTTTCTAAACACCTTCACATACATGTATAATATATTGAGCTGCTTTTTGGTATGCAAGTCTTACTATGATGAGTTACAGATCGAGTTTAGGTTTTAATAGTTTCGCTCAGCTGATTTTTGCCGACATAACAGCCTTTCAACTTTAAAAATTTTGTGAAAATAATAGTTATACAGACTTTTTTCTGAAGGCCTTCATACATATTGAGCTGATTTTTATGCCCCACCTACGATAGTAGAGAGGCATTATGTTTTTCGGTCTGTTCGTCCATTCATCCGTCCGTCTGTCTGTCCCGCTTCAGGTTAAAGTTTTTGGTGAAGGTATATGTAGTTTTTGATGAAGTTGAAGTCCAATCACATGTTCCCTATGATATGATCTTTCTAATAATAATGCCAAACTAAGTTTTGACCCCAATTTCACGGTCCACTGAACATAGAAAATGATAGTGCGAGTGGGGCATCCATGTACTATGGACACATTCTTGTTAGTATGTGGGTTTACTATGATGAGTTACAGATCGAGTTTACGTTTGGTTCCACTCCGATGCTCTTTGCTGAAAAAACAGGCTTTGGACTTTGAAAATTTTGTGAAAATTAAAGTTAAACAGACTTTTTTCCTAACTGCTTTCACATATTTTCATCACATTATTCTCAGAAACTGCAAATCAGAGCAGTTAAAATTTGGTATCCTAGTGTTATCAGTTTTTTGAAAACATACATTTGTTTTTGTGTAACAAACATTCTGATTGTATCACAAGTTTGTTTGTGTTATTAATTTATATACTATATTATTTTGTAGTAAAACACACAGCATTCCCTGTGAAACAAAGAACAAAAACAAAACATTTTTTTTTTATACGACCGCAAAAACTTTGCGTTTGTATAATGCTATCATGTTATCCGTGTCATCGTCCGAAGACACATTTGGTTTCCGGACAATAACTTTAGAGTTTAAGTGAATGGATCTCTATGAAATTTTAACAGAAGGTTCAATACCACAAAAGGAAGGTTGTGATTGATTTTGGGGTTTATGGTACCAACAGTTTAGGAATTAGGGGCCAAAAACAGGCATTTTTGTAGTTTCCGGACAATAACTTGTGTGTAAGTGTATGGATATCTCTGAAATTGTACCACAAGTTCCATATTACAAAGGGAAGGCTGGGATTGAGTTTGGGGGTAATTGCCCCAAACGTTCAGGAATTGGGGGCAAAAAAGGGGCCAAAAACAAGCTTTTTTTCTAGTTTCCAGACAATAACTTGTGTTTGAATGTATGGATCTCTCTTAAATTGTACTACAAGGTTCCATACCATAAAGGGAAGGCTGGGATTGAGTTTGGGGGTAATTGTCCCAAATGTTTAGAAATTAGGGGCAAAAAAGGGGCCATAAACAAGCATTTTTCTTGTTTCCAGACAATAACTTGTGTTAAAGTTTATGGAACACTCTGAAATTGTACATTTTTCTCCGAAAAAGAAAATAATTTTTAAAATTTCAAAAAGAAAATTGGAGGGGGGGATTTTTTTTCAAATTTTTTTTTTGGAGGGGCTCATATTTTTTTTTCTTCAAAATTTTTGAAAAAAATTTTTTTGGGGGTTCATCCTTTTTTTCTTCAAGATTTTTCAAAATTTCAAATTTTTTCCAAAATTTTTTTTGGGGGGGATTTTTTTTTTATAATTTTTGGGTTTTTTTTCCACAAAAATTTTCCATTTTTACAATGATTATTTCTGATTGATATATAAAAGCAACAAATACTGATATGGCAGGAGATACTCACCAAAAATGGTGTGTAAATTATTATATATAACCGGTTAACTAAGTATTGTGCAACAGCACAGTATTGCGCAATAGCACAGTATTGCACAATAGAAGGAAATATTCAATTGTGGCAGAAACCTATATTATGTCAAAAATTTGATCACAATCCAAATTCAGACAGTATCAAGCTTAAATATTGTGTCCAAACTTGCCCCAACTGTCCAGGGTTTCGACCTCTGTGGTCGTATCAGGCTTCGCTCGGCGAAGCATTTTATTTTCTTTGTTAGTCCCCTACCGACGAAGTCGAAGGGGACTTTAGGTTTGCACTCCATCTGTCTGTCCATCCATCAGTTCAGCAAATCAGTTTTCCACACTTTTTTTCTTTGTGCTTGAAGATATTGATTTGATAATTGGTATATAGTTTTATCATGACAGGTAACAAATCGAGTTCGAATTTTGTTCCGATCTGATGATTTTGTGCAGAGTTATGGTCCTTGGACTTAGAAAATTCACTTAAATAATCAGTTTTCCTCACTTTTTTTTCGTCATGCTTGAAGATATTGAACATGTTGAATGGATAATTGTATAAAGTTTTATCATGACAAGTTACAGATAAAGTTCTAATTTTGTTCCAGTCTGATGATTTTCTGCAGGGTTATGGTCCTTGGACTTAGAAAATTCACTCAAATAATCATTTTTCCACACTTTTTTTCGTCATGTTTGAAGATATTAACTTGATATGTGTTTTAAAGTTTACAGCATGATATAGATCAAGTTACCATTTTGTTCCAGTACAATGAATTTTTAACTGGTAGAGGACTTTGTATTAATATTGCCATGCAATACTCTCAGAATGCTTGTTTATAATCATAATAATGGCACTAATTCATCATCTCTGGATAGTTTTTAAAAGTATGGTAGCTCTGGCATTCCTTTTTGTAAATCTTTTGCATTGGTCCAAAACAGGCAACATCCAAACTGAGAGGTTGAAGAAAATAATTACAGTCATGACAGTGTGCAAGTAGAAGTTGTATAATGACACATGAATGATGTGTTTACAACCGGCCCATTCTAATAGTTCAATCATCAATTAATGTCTGTGGGCCAACTATATACATTATCTTTGTGGAAAACACTGAATATCATTAAGATCACTTATCTTTTAAATGAAAAATATATAACTTTTTCAGAAGCAGATGAAAGAGTGAGATTCCAGACAGAGTTAGAATTTGTACAATGTTTGGCTAATCCTAATTACCTTAATTGTGAGTATACAACGTTTGGCTTATCCTAATTACCTTAATTGTGAGTATACAATGTTTGGCTAATCCTAATTACCTTAATTGTGAGTATACAATGTTTGGCTAATCCTAATTACCTTAATTGTGAGTATACAATGTTTGGCTAATCCTAATTACCTTAATTGTGAGTATACAATGTTTGGCTAATCCTAATTACCTTAACTGTGAGTATACAATGTTTGGCTAATCCTGATTACCTTAACTGTGAGTATACAATGTTTGGCTTATCCTAATTACCTTAACTGTGAGTATACAATGTTTGGCTAATCCTAATTACCTTAATTGTGAGTATACAATGTTTGGCTAATCCTAATTACCTTAATTGTGAGTATACAATGTTTGGCTAATCCTAATTACCTTAATTGTGAGTATACAATGATTGGCTAATCCTAATTACCTTAACTGTGAGTATACAATGTTTGGCTAATCCTGATTACCTTAACTGTGAGTATACAATGTTTGGCTTATCCTAATTACCTTAATTGTGAGTATACAATGTTTAGATAATCCTAATTACCTTAATTGTGAGTATACAATGTTTGGCTAATCCTAATTACCTTAATTGTGAGTATACAATGAATGTAAAAACCAATTCCTATGCAGCATGACAAGTATAGATAAATGGAGAATGTGTCTATGGGACAGATGATGCCCCTGCCTGAATATAACGTTATAAAGTGACATACCTCCAGAAGGGCATGAAGGGTAAAAGTGACAACACCTAAATTCGAATTTGATCTGTGTTTTGTGGTAATAAGCATTGTATATAATCTTCATAACATTTGGTTGAGGCAAACTAAAGTTAGAGAATGGAAACTAATTTTGGAATGTACAGATGGACAAGGGTAACACTGAATGCCTAGACCTTAAAATGTACAACCTCTTTTAGGTTGGATGACATCTACTGTCAATATTCCGCATTAGACGGTCAGTCATTGGCAACAAAACTGCCAAATCTCAGATGACATTAATTGGATATCTCAAAAGTTTTATTTTGAAACATTTTAAGATATTGCATAAAATTAGGAATAAAAATACATGAACTTCACCTGAAGATTTGCCACTGATTGTAATAGATGTAAGACAAGTTGGCAAACTGGCAAAGACCCCTTAAAGAGTTGTTACAAGAATTCTTTAATTTGCAGTTAATATTAAATATTGCTCTCTCCCAACATGACCCATGGCATTTGACATTACTGTTTTAATAAGATTGGAATCATATTGCATATTGTATCCTTGCATGTACTTATATACAGTTAAGGGTGTTGGAGCTGTAAAAAAAATACTGTTGATTTTTTTTTATAGTTTTAGCCCAGAGAGGATTCTTCAAAGATCAGACATTTATTAATTACCTGAAATACCTACAATACTGGAAAGAACCTAAGTATGCTAAATACCTCAAGTAAGTTGGTTTAATATGCGAAATACCTCAAGTAAGTTGGTTTAATATGCTAAATACCTCAAGTAAGTTGGTTTATTTTCACTTATTTTGTGGCCGTCAATAAAACCATGAAAATATCCCGTCATGTTCGTCTTAATTTTATCTTAAAGGATATTAAGAATAACGGACAAGAAAAACCTAAATTTTAAAATGCAAAGCAACACAAACAGGTTTTGCCCTTGAAATTGCGAAATTCAAACTATGCCAAAAAATGAACTACTCTTACAGTATGGGAGAAGATTATAAAGATTGTGTGTGCATCTGACAAGTTTTATTTAAACATGATCTTGTTAATATAAAAATAAAGAGATTTGGGATGATTGTCAAGGAAAAGAGTTCAGATGACATGGTTGTACAGCAATTATAGGTCATGTACACCCTTCAACAATGAGAAAAAAAACCATACCATATAGTCGCTATTAAAGGCCCTGACATGAATTCAAATGAGAAAAGTAGCGGCTTAATTTATAACAAACAGTTTACTAAAAATGAATATGGCAGACATGAACCAATGACACATTTGTTTATTTATCCTTCCTCTAGTCTTTATGCTTGTTGATGTAGTATGGATTGTTCATTGTTTAATGGGGTTTGTTCTGTTTCCTTGTACAGTACACACAAAGTGAATCACTTTTCTTGTGGTTAATAGTTCATGTCGATGATAAGATGATAACACTATTATCACCATGTTATAGATTTTTTTGAATTATACAGGAATATTATTTAGAATGATTCACCATACAATCACTGCAAAAAATCATCACCAAAGTACAACATTTGTGTGTGGCATATTTAAAAATTATGCTATATATCAAAATATTAAAGAAGATGTGATATGATTGCCGATGAGACAACTATCCACCAGAGACCAAATGATGTCTATATATATAACTATAATAGAAAAACAAAGGAAATGGGGTATCTATCCAATCAGTACATGCACAGCAAAAAACATACAAAAAGCAAAGGAACAGTGCTTTTATTGCTGTTCTTCATCTCAAAGTCACAATGAGGCCTTCAACACAGACAAAAAATCTCTCACCTCACTACAAGTTTAAGACGGCCCCTAGCACCTACTTGAGAGGAATTCTTTGTTATTGCAAAATTAACACCAAATTGGGTCCGGTCATATAAGAACATACTGGAAAGAAGTACAGATTCAAAACAAAATAGTTCCTACTCATAGGTGTAAATATAAACTATGTAGAATATAGGTCACCACTAGTCCTAGAAATTTGCCTATTATGAAAATTAATTTAATTCTCATTTCTACTTGTAACAATTTACACTTACACTTCCTGTTAACATGGTTAATAACAAACTGTGTATTCATTTATTTTCATGGTTACTAACAGCCTTCACGATAAACTTTTGAGTCCACAAGCCCAAAGCTCAATTTTTCGAAAAAACTTTAGTTGGTTTCTGTTGGCTTGTAGAGAAGAATTTTACAAGCCTGAAAGCAATTTTACAAGCCATGGCCGTAGGACTTGTGGTTAAGTGTGAAAACTGTACTAATTTTCATGAATTGAAGAAAAATTGCTTTACCCATGAAATCCACAAAAATTGGTTTCCCAGGAATAATAATGAATTGACAGCATTGTTTTGGTGTTCTTGATATTTGACAGATATTTACCATCTTCCTGTAATGTTTTACATCTCTTGCAATAGTTAGACTCCTCCCTCTACTAATCAAGGGTTTACATAATGATGAGAGTGGGTGTTTTCAGTACTTTCCTCCTCTTGATATTCAACCATCTCCCAATTAGGAGTCTGTAGTTGTGTATAATACGCACCCCCTCCTACCAACTACATTTTTGGGGTAAAAAAAGGGTGTATTATACACGACTAATTACGGTAGTGGTTAGGTACCTGTCTTAAACTCCTCCATGCCAGTGAATAGTTTTTCATGAAATTTCAGTAACAAATAACAATTTTTCTCTAATTCTTCGTCAATTTATCCCTTTCTGCACCCATTGTATAAAAAAAATTTAATCAACGTGTGGTTCGTTTGATCTCAGTTCTTCATTGGTTAAAATCCGATTATGACGTCGAATTTTCTTGCTTTCCTCTGAATTTCCTATTGTGACGGCATGAAAAAAGGGGACCATGCCTGATGACGTCACATAGAAAGAACACATCTTTTTGCAGATCATTCGAACAGAAGGAATAAATTTGCCTGCGTATTGTTTGAAAATCATTAGAGAAACAGATTCCACCACCAAATCTCGTGTAATACGGCGAGCCTCGCGTTTTAAATTTGAAAATTTAACTGTCTCGAGTGGATAAATATCGTATCACACTCGATGCAGTGGTAGAATCTATATGTATACATGTATAGCATTATAGATTAATGATTTTCCCATAGTATATCTTGTTTAGAATTAAATCTCTTGCAATATTATTTTTTTTTATAGATATCCACAATGTTTACATTTGTTGGAGCTGTTACAATATGAACACTTTAGAAAGGAATTAGTGAATTCACAATGTGCTAAGTTTATAGACGATCAACAGCTCTTACACTGGCAACATTATCAGCGGAAGCGGATGAAATTATTGATGGACGAAGCAGAACGACACAAACAGGATCAAAAAGATAAAACTAGCTGACACAATGATAAATATTTTAAGTATAGTTTGATTGGTCAGAGGTATTCTCTGAAACGTAATGGCAGCTATGTGGATGGTCAAAATTATTGTCATCTTTTTTAAACATTCAAAGAGAACAAAAGTGGTTATTTGTCATACACATTACATGTACATGATGTATTACATGTATTAAGCAGTAAATTTTTCATCTCTATAAAAAGTTTTCAGGTAGTTTTATAAACTATATAAAATAAAGAGATGTGTTATTGTCATGGAATAGAAGATCTTTTATAAAATTAGTTCCAAATGGAAGAAATATTCTTGAATATTATTTTCACTGGAAGAAATATTGCAATATTTGATCTAATGGGAACAGATTACATAGCATTGTTTACAACAAAGTTTCCATACAAACTTCTATTTGGCAGAACAAATATATGTTGACAGAAAGAATGCCAATGAGATAACTATCCACCAGAGTCCAAATGATGTAGATGTTGGAAACTGTAGGTCACTGTACCGCCTTCCACAATGAGCAAAACCCATACTGTATAGCAAGCTATAAAAGGCCAAGATATACTAGTTCGTATTGTTATACACTCATTCCGAAGGAGGAGAACTGGTTTACATTTGTTCATCTATTTGTCATCTCTCCCATGAAATTTCCCATTATTCTCAGGAATTACAAATCAGAGCTTCCTGAAATTTTGTTGCATAGTTCATGTTCACATGTTATACTGTGTGATGCATTTTCACATTAACCACTTATCAACTACTGTAAATTCAGAAATTATTGCCAGGTTTTTATTAATGCAAATATTAAATGTGATTGGATGAGTATCGCAATAATGAGAACTACATGTAGCATTCAGATATCTGATACATATATCTCAATGGAGATTTTCCTGAATCACAATAATTTATCTCACATTTTTGCACATTTTTCAAGAATCGCAATGATAAACAACACAAGAATTTCTGAATTTACATTACCTGTTTTTTCCCATTCTTATATATTCTTACAAACACTGGTGATGTATGACTTTGAGACAGAATATCAGTTTCCTAAAATTGGGTCTTAAGTTTTAAATGAGTATGCTATACTGTATGATATATATAAAACAATAAGGAGATGAGGTATGATTGCCAATGAGACAACTATCCAAGTTCAAATGAAGTGGATATAATCATTTATAGGCAACAGTACGGCCTTCAACAATGAGAAGAAGCCATACTATATATTCGGCTATAAAAGGCCCTGACATAAAAAATATGAAACAATTCAATTGAGAAAACTAACGGCCTAATTTATAACAAAACAATTAACAAAAAACATATATGACAGATATGAACCAACGACCACTGAGCTACAGGCTCCTGACTTGGGGACAGGCACATAAACAATGTGGCGGGGTTAAACATGTTTGTGAGCTCTCAACCCTCCCCTAACCTGGGACAGTGGTGTAACAGCACAACATAGGAACAAACTATAAAAATCAGTTGAAAAAGGCTTAACTCATCAGATGGATACAAAGCAGAAAAACATCAAACATAAACACAGACGTGGCATGTTCACATGCATTGCTCGTCAACTCTTTGTTGGCCAAATACTTATAGCGCAGGGGTATCAACATCTCAAATATGAGAACTAAATAAATGACTAAATACAAAATATGTATTTGGTTAATTATGATAAGACATCAACCCAACAACTCAGTGCAGACAAAATAGATTTAATAGACCAAGGTATTATATATATTAATGACAACACATTGGAGAGAAAGGTGATCTGTAATATATTTATGTTCAGAGCATTTACACCAAGGTTAAGGCTATTCTGTTTATGTCCTTGTATCAATTTAGAATTTGGCTATTCTGTTTATGTCCTTTTGGTCGTTCAGCTTCTAACATGGCAACGTATTTACGCATCCTTGGCTTTCAAATGTTCGGGTTTGAACATTCCTTTTGAAGGTAAATCGACTTCGGGCACACTAAATTTATAAAGAGAGAGTATCAATTTAGAAAAATCCTGACATCTATTTGGTTAAAACTGTAAAAAGTTGCATAAAAAAAACAAAAATCAAAACAATCAATACAGCTCAAATTTTAAACAATTCTATAAGAAACAACACAACCGAGAAAATACTTTCAATGTTCTATGTAGGAAGCAGGGATCCAGTTCAGACTACCACAATTGGCCAATGTTTAAGAAAGTTATAATACTAGATGATTAGACTACTGCACATGTCAATACCAGAGCTTATA